CACGCTCAATAAACCATCTTTCTAGGATGACTTCATTCCTTGCCCTACTTTTCTTCTCTGGACCCCCAGGAATGTCGGAAAGAGCCTCAAGAACGTCCCATCGTTTACCATATTCGTCCAAGATGACCAGTTCCTCATGCTTCTGGAGCTGTGAGGCATCGATGAAAGTTTCGATGACGAGGGGCTCCGGCCGTCTGTCGGTAGTGGTACAGTTCCGCCATTGGGCGAGGTCTTCTCGCAATGTGTCCGTGTCATCTACCTCGACATTGAACTATGGCTGTTAGTATATGCGTTTAAGAAATAAAGATGGAACGCTTGTGGATATACCCATTTGTTTACTCTCTTGACACCGTCTTTGTAGATTGGCCGCAAAACCGTCCTCGAGTGAAGAATAATCAGTGCAGCTTTCGTGTGGTAGTTCTACGCCTATTAGCACATTTCTGTCTCTTGACCAGCTAACCGACATACCTGAATGATCTGGTTGAGCTTGGTGACCTGGTCCTGTGCCTGTCTCTCAGAGAGCTGTTTTCCATCCGGCGGTATCGAAGGACTGGGGGCCTCCGGGGCCGGACGAGACGCTGGCCGCGGTCGTTGATGCATTATAGGGACCGCTTTGGCACTGGAACGGTGGTGACTGTGGTTTTTGGTGGGCGATGACTGTAGTAGCGGTGTCTACTTTCCAGCAGAGGGAGCAAAAGAGGCGTGGGAAGGGGATGAATCACAGGCCATGATAACATAGCCTGGCACCCAGCTTGTACGTCCTGTTGAAGGAGAAAGAAGTGGAAAAGAGATGAGAGGATAAGAAAGAGGGAGGGAGGGAGGCTATTGTGCTGGCTCAGGGCAGGCAGATACGGTGGTGCCTCTTATGACCATGCTTTTTTTGGGGGGGGGTGTGTGGTGGTGGATTGTGTGGTTCTAGAACCAGGCGAGGCAGCAGGAAATATCTGACCAGGCAGAAGCGAGTAAAGAACAAGGAAGAAGAAGAAAAGAGGGAACGGGTAGAGGGAAGAGCGAAACGCTGCAGAGGTGAATTTTCGTTTGATGCAGGCTGGCCGGTGTGCTGGTTGCTGGTTACTTGCTGCTTGCTAGCGGTTTTGACGGGGAGAGCTTGGTACGGCCGGGGAGCTTCCTCCACACAGGGATGGGCGCCACACTATAAAGAGATGCGCTAGGCAGGCTATGCAGACACAACCAGGGACGAGTATCTGCAACCACAGAGAGTTGTCAGCGTGTAGCAAGGCGCGGAGAGAGAGAGAGAGAGAGAGGGAGAGGAAGATATAAGAAGATGAGGTTGAAAGAAGAACGAAAAGTTGAAGTTGAAACTGACCTTATCGGGCGAGCACATGACCTGGTAAAGACGTATCTATCTCGGGACGAAAGCATGACTAAGCTGTATCTTTGTCTTTCTTCTTCTTTTGCTTGTTTTATTAATGTATGAATGGCTGTTATTATCATCATGTCAAGTATGCCATCTACGTCTTCACCGCCTCCTTTTACTATGTGATATCTACGAAATGTCTGCACCTCATATACAGAGTGTATTTTTATTTATTGAACAGAGCCTCACTGTATGATACCATACCATACATACAAACTCAGGATACGCGATGACTAAGAACCTCACACCGCCCAGCCAAACGGCCTCGCTTCCTACTGGCGCGGAAACACTTTCCTCTTGCCTTTGTTGTCTTCTGTACTGTTATGTATCATACTGCCCGTGGTATCTTAGTGAAGAGGAAAAATACATGGTAAAAGGAAAAGAAAGGAAAAGAAAAAGAGACAAGGGATGCAAGGGAAGAGAGAAGAGTCATAAGTATGGAACTGCAAGGGGGAGTCATAGAAAGACCCCACACACCGCATGAGATGCTTCATACACATCATATTCTTCCTTGCTGCCTGCCAACGGCTACATACATAGTATTATTCTATCATGTAGTGTGATATATATGCATGTCGATCGAGTGTGATGGTGCGGGTGCCTACAGCCGACCAGGCTACATAGTACGAGAGTCGCTCACGGAAGGTCACTTGGCGAGGCTGTTGGCCCTGGTGATGTTAGCGGGTGCTTCATGGCCGTTGACGTTGTGCTGGTCCTGCTGACTCTGGTCACCGTGTTGCCTCGAGTCTTAGGCTTACTATGTAGGGCAGCTTGCTAGGCTCACCGAGTCTTACTAGACCTGCCTAGGCTTAGCTGGAGTTCAACTGGGCTTCAACTAGACTTAACTAACATTTAACTGGAGCTTTACCTCGCTTTAACTGGGCTTTAACTACGCTTTAACTGGGCCTTGCCCGGGGCTTAATTGGCTTAACTAGGCTTACTTAAGCTTAGATAAGCTTAACTCTTGGCTTCTTCTGACTCAGCTGAAGGCTTACATAACTAACCACGTTCGCGGGGCTTTGCGGTCTCTGATTGGTCAACTAGCTCGGCCTGCGACTCTGGGAGCTTTAAAGGCCAGAAAGAAGAAGAAGGGGAAAACATCCCACTTCATCTTCTATCGTCTTCAGCTTCTGTATCATCGTCTATATCATCATCTATACCGCCGTCGATACCGCGTACAGATTTATATGTACCAGGCAGAGTGACTTGATCCGGGACTACCGACCTACAGACAGCTCCGGACCACCGAGATAAGCCACATCACCAAGATCAACGACCGATATAGGAGATATATACGGAGAGACCAGCCAGACAACCAGATAGGGGCAGCCCTCACGCTGCGGCACATGAGCTGGCAACTGCTTCACTTCTTTCTCCGGGATGATGTTGACGCCTTCTCTCGCCTCCTGGCCAGCGCCACGTTCACCACGGCCATTGCACATCCCGGCAGCGGCAGCACCAACAGCGGCAACCCCCACAGCAAGAACTCTCCCACCGTGACGGGCAGCAGGGGTGCCGGCAGCGCTAACCTTGCCACCTCTTCGCTCTCCTATAGCTCCCCCAAGCAGCGCCGGAAGCCGTCATTTTCGTTTTCTCTTTCCCCAGCGGAGAGACCGGCCTTGTCCAATACGACGCTGACACGGAACGATATCAATGCCAGAGACAAGCATGGGCGGACGCTGATGCACCTCATTGCTTCATCAGACAAGGAGAATGCGTATGGCTTTGCGCGTGCTTTGTTGGCGGTTCCAGGGCCGTTTTTGGATATATACTTGCAGGATGCCGAGAGTGGGTGGACCTGCTTGCATAGGGCCCTCTATGCTGGGAATATATCTATTGCACACGCGATCTTGGAGAGAGATGGCAGCAGCGGGCTGATCAAAATTAAAGACCGAGAGGGGAACAGTCCGTTTGAGGTCTTCAACTCTAGTGTGATCTACGATACCCCTGAGGTCACAAAAAGAACCCAGGATGACAGTGACGATGACGAGAGCGTGGGGACAGAGGACGAAGTCGGGGAGGAGTATAGAGCTATCAAGCCTGTTGCTCCACAAGCCCTTCTGAAGGGTGATGAGCTGTTCGTGTTTGGGAGCAACAAGAACCTCTCACTGGGTGTTGGGGATAGTGACGATCGGCAATTCCCCGAACGTATCGTTTTGACCCGCCCAGAAGCCTTGATACAGCGTTTCTATGAAGAAAAATACGAAAACTCTGCCGAATTTAGAGCAGAAACCGGCATCCCGTTCCTCGTCCGGTCCACGCCTCTCGTCGTGCAGGATGTGGTTATGTCCAAGCTCCACACTGCCATCCTCACCACAGATCCATTCAGTAACCTATACATGTGTGGCTTTGGCCCTGGCGGACGACTTGGGACCGGTCACGAAGGGACCTCTTTCAGTCCACAGTGTGTAGACTCAGGTGCCATCGCGGGGAAACACATCGCCTCCATTGCTCTAGGGTTGGATCACACCATTGCCATCTCCGATCAGGGTGAAGTCTTCTCCTGGGGCAGCAATAAGCACGGGCAGCTAGGCTATACGTTGCCCAAGACCAAACCTACCGCCGGCTCGTCGTCCAACGATAACCCCACCCAACTCTCCCCACGCCAAATCTTCAACCCGTTTAAACGAGAGCGTGTCCTAGGCGCAGCCGCCTCGGCCATCCATTCAGTTGTCTTCACTTCCTCGGCTTTGTACACCTTTGGTCGCAATGATGGCCAGCTTGGTCTCATAGATGCAGATGCACGATCCCTTACCTACCAGCCTATACCGCGCAAAGTGGGTGCCTCTTTATTCAGCGACTCCATTTCGTTAGTCTGTGCCATCGAACGAGCTACGGTCGTGTTGCTGGATAATCATGAGGTCTGGGTATTTACTCATTATGGGTATTCGAAGCTAATCTTCCCCTTGGCCGGACCGGTATCGAGTTTTATTCGTAGTAGCTTCATGGCTACACGCTATGGTGGCGCAGAGAGCTATATTGCCAAGATAAGCGCGGGCGGGAACACAATATGTGCACTATCAAATGGAGGAGAAGTCTTTACGGTCTCCGTCCCTGCGCGGCGGGAGGAGGAGAGAGACCGAGACAGCAGCAGGTCACAAACATCAACATCAGCCTCAACATCAACTACTAATCCAGCCAAGATCCGAAACTCACTCCCTCAACCCACTCGTACCTGGGCAGTCAAGAAGAGTCACATGGCCGTCCGCGACGTCGATGTCGGACAGGATGGATCCATCATTATCTGCACCCAGTCTGGCTCCGCATGGTTAAAGGAGCGAAGGGCGGGCATCAAGCCTACGGCTACAGGAGTGGCCGCTGGCAAGGAATATAAATTCGTTAGAGTCCCAAACATCTCTCGTGCTGTCGGGGTGCGTAGTAATGCCTTTGGCGCTTATGCTATTATCCAGCGGTCCAGTGATGTAGCTAGGCGAAACCTGACAGTTGATGAGCCGAGATTATGGGCTGATATCCGTCCCCTGATACCGTTCGGAAAATTGATAGACGTCATCGGTGAAGGTTTGGGGAGAATTGATATCCACAAGCCGACATCCATTTTTCGAAAGAACGAGGACACCGATACTGATGCTGGTATCGACGTTGAAAAAGAGCTGGGTGCTCTACTTGATACCCAGAGGGCTTCTCTATCACTCTCCAGCCCATCTATCGCATGGCTATCCACGACGACTAGCGACACTCGTATCCCAATACACGAATTCATACTCTCGTCTCGCAGTCCTATACTCCGTAACGCTCTCTCCACTTTTCATAGGGAATACTACTTCAATCTCCCAGGAATAATGTCCATCGAGTATGACAAAGCGGGTCAGGTGCATCTCCTATTCATCAGCACCTGTTTCCTATCCCTCTTCAACCTAGCCATATACCTATATACAGACCGGCTCTATGACGTCTGGCTCAAGCACCGAAACGAGCAGAAGCAGACAGATGCAGTCTTAGCGAATGCAGCACTATACCGTCAAACGCGCATAGAGATACTCAAGCTAGCAACAGCGTTAGATATGCCGGCCCTTGAACGCGCAGCAAGAATAATGGTCCAACCGGTAGCAAGTCTACACAGCGACATGGTCATCGCCATACAAGACCCTTCATTCTTCAACACTGCTGATGTACTCCTTGAACTCAGCGGTGGCGTAGAGGTGAAGGCTCATAGCCACATGTTGTATAGCCGATGCACGTTCTTCGACGGCCTCTTCCGGGGCCGCACAGGCGGTCGTTGGTTACAGTCCAGAGTGTCCGGAAACGAACGAGAGGCCCTTGAACCCATACGTGTTGATCTATCTCATGTGGATCACAGTGTGTGGAACTTCGTTATGCGCTATCTATATTCAGACTCTAACGAGGAGTTGTTCGACGACGTATATGTTGCTGACAGTGAGGCGTTTATGGATATAGTCATTGACGTGTTGAGCGTTGCCAACGAGCTGATGCTTGATCGATTGGCGCAAATATGCCAGAAAAGGTTGAGTACGTTCGTAACGACGCAGAACGTGTGCCAGCTCCTGAACGCCGTTATGCCGTGTTCAGTGAAGGAATTCAAAAGAGCAGCTTTAGAGTTCATATGTCTCAATCTTGAGTTCATGCTTGAGAACAGGCTGCTCGACGAGCTCGATCCAGATTTGCGGCGGGAACTTGATCAAGTATGCCAGAAGAACCAACTTACTTCCCAGCCCGTCTCGCGCGGGCGCAACTCTGCATCTTTCCTTACCGAACGCTATCTAGAAATACTCCCCCTCATTGAACAGGATAAGAATCGCCGCGTCGATGCAATGAAACTTCGTTCTCATCTACATGAAGATGAAGTGCGCGACACGATGCTACGGTCTGGGAGTCTTGAACGAGATAAACCATCTCCGTCTCCGTTGTCACGCAGAGGGAAGCAAGTGGGTATCAATACACCCCCGTTAGATAAGTCAGCTTTTGAAGCAAGTCCAACGCTTTTGCCAAAGAGGTCAGTAGGCGACCTTATTTTCCAAATGGACGACGAGCCATCACTTCGCCCTGATGGTCGCCGAGGAGATAGCTCTAGACAAACACCGGCGGGCAGCTCACACGGCTCACCACGAAACCCACCTCAATCCCAACCTCCCATTCTTGTCTCTCATCCTGGCCTAGGTCTAGATCTAGGACCCGCTAGTTTTCCCGAACTTTCAGCAAAGCCTTTTTATACTGCCTTGCAACCTGCCAGAGCCGCGACAAGACACCAGGAAATACCCCAACCCCTGTCTTCTTCCCAAACCCCCAACAACGGCACTACTCCAAATTCTCCACCACCCAAGGCCCCTTGGTCCTCAATCACTCCAATAAAAACTCGTGCAGGGCTCAGGGGCATTATGGCAGAGGCAGATAACCCTATCACCCCACCTAATCGTATAGACGGGTTTCCTCGCGCTGAGTTAGAAGCAACGCGGAATTTCTCGCCAAAGCTATCTCAGAAAGAACGCAAGAAGCTCAAACAGCAACAGATGGCTGCTGAGCAAGAACCAGCGAAACCCGGTGCTAGCAAAACCTCTATTTGGCAGATTGCCCAATCCCCAAATCTCCAACCGGCTAAAGTTGAGGCTGAGGCATCAACTCCGGCGCGCTCTGCCACACCAAAGGCACCGCTAACCCTCCGCCAAACTGTGGCTGGCTCCAGTGTAGTTGCTGGCTCAGTATCCCCCCACATAAAGCCAACATACCCAAAGACACCTCCCCGCGCAGCCGCTCCCAAACCAATGCAACTCAGCACACCTATAGTTAAGTCGTCATTATCGTATTCTGCCTCTGGCCCCGGCCCCGGCACATCACAAATCTCCCTTGCTACAATCCTTTTACAGCAACAGACTGAAAAGGATGAAATTCACGAAGCTGTCACAACAAAACATAATCTACATGATATCCAAATCGAGCAAGAATTCCAGGAATGGTGGGACCAGGAATCTAAACGCGTAATGCAAGAGGAACAAGCTGCAGAAGCCAAAGCGAGGATGGAAAGTGAGAAAGCAAGAAACAAGAAAAGCAATCCTACCAGAGGAAGTGGAAGAGGACGAGGGAGAGGTGGGCAATCACGTCCACATGTTTCACAAAATAGTGAAACAGCACTTTCCAGATCAGCTGGTGCAGAAGATTCAATGGCAGGAAACTCAGCCGATCGCCCTCCTCCCCCTCATTCAGATGATAAGAAACGACATGCGGACCGAGGAAAAAGTCGACATCGAGGTTCCCAAGCGCGAGGCGGTGGAGTTTCTCGCGCACAAAAAACTTGAAATCTTCTTCCATTTTTCTATCCCATGCATGGTTTTGAGTTAATCTCGGCTTTGGACCGAATTGAATGGTTTTCAACTGCCACCCTGTGCCACGCCTTAATACTTCTTACATTGTTTAACTATTTGATGCTCCATCTGTTCGACAATATTGGTTTCAACGGGCGTGGTGATAGTTTGATTTTTATTGATAGACGCACATGCTGCAGGTATCAACAGCTTAATTATTCATGTTTTATATAGACAGTCGAAGGTCATAAGTAATTCTTCGGACCTACATCCAGAGAGTAGCAGTATACTCCATCGACTTTTAAACCACTTTCTTAATATATATTGCTAACATTTAGACTTCGCAGTATCCAAAGGGAATTCAACACCTCGCGAACTTAACTTCCAGAGGTCGATTCCAATCCTCAAAATGGACAAAGATGAGGCGTTGAACTAAAAGCACCTAAGATAACATGGTAGATTTCGACAAATATTCCTATAAAATGAGAACATTTGGTGGAATTGCAATACTCTAGCATTGCTCAATGTTTTAACTTATTAACAGCCAATGCAGTTCAATTTCACTCGAATTGCACGAAGTTCCCCCGTTCAGCGCCTGTTCCAGTAAAGGACGGGACGGGATATATGCGTATCCCTGGGCAACAGTGTAGAGTGATTTCTGCGCAGAATGAGGAATGCCGGCCAGTTCGAGAGCAGCACCACCAAGGTATCGACCTCAGGGGAACCATGCTAATCCGTTTACTCTGAGCAAAACATCCACACTTTCTGGATGAAATTTTTATGAACTAACCTCGGGGCATAAGGGGGTATGTGGACCCGAAATTGGTCCAAAGAATGATGGCACTGGCCTCTTTTCGGCTGCGCATTTTGAATACTGTGGTCCATAGTAACATCAGCCCTGGGAAAAGAGCAGCTTGCAGCCTCGTTCATACCCTCTCCCACTCGGTTTTTGGTTCCGATCGACGAAGCTCGCTAGGACGAATCTGTCGTCTAGCAAGAATAAACTTGCCTGTAAGTACATAGTACACTCTGTCTGCTACCAAACAGCTAGCCAAAGAGCTAACTTCCATGTATAGGCTGGCTACATATATGATTGGTTATAACCTTTGTATGCCTATCCCGAGGTGAGAAAGATCCTGGATTGATTATCCAGAGCCCTCTTCTCCACGTCGGCTACAGCCAACTCCGTATGATATGGAGCATAATATGTATACGGTACAGATATTCACGGCGCCTATCATATCCATTTACAGGGCAGATCATGACTATTGTGGCGGTGTTAACCCCTCTCGAAGAAAGGGAGGAAAGGAAGATGGACATTCAAGGCCCCATCACGGCGTCCAGCCAGAGCAACATATATAGTTACGTAGTAATCAATGTCAGAGTTCATGCCCCGAGGAAGACAGTCGAAAACACAAGTGCTACGGAGTTTCAAAGCCAGCAAACCCCCCCTCCCCCGTCAAGAAACAAAGTGATTAGGAGCCAGCGCTACACAATCTTCTGCGGGTGACCAAGCGACTCGCTCCAGGGGCACCGGCAGCATCGAGGCAAAGGAGCATTAGCATTTCTTATCCGACACTACGAATACGAATGATGCACGGGGTACCCTGTACATACATAGTTTATACATAGTAGTTATCCTGTCGATCTCAACATAGAACCGCTCGGGTGGAGGCCCCAATAATAGTTAGATGAGTCTGAATATTGAGTGAAGTTTGAATCCAAGACTGGAATTTGCCTTGCCCGGCCAGGCTATACTCTGTAGTTATACTATGTAAGCTTCAGCAAAAAAAAATGATAAATAGGGCCCTGGTGTCCCGGAGCTTTTGAGGTTTTAAACAGGTCTCCCCGAAAGCAGGAAAGCCGGAAACCAGTCTTGGCCCTTGATTGCTGTTGTTATTTCTCGTTTAAAGACCAATCCGTATCAACAATGCATTTCTCCCAGTTTGCACCAGTTTTTCTGGCTGGCCTAGCTGCTGCCAACCCACTACGAATCATAGTCGACTCAGGTAAAGAGAAGCCCAAGATACCCGGTCTATCCACCTAGAAGATATAGTAACAGAAACAATTTATCAAGGTTCTCAAACTGTTATTGGACAGGAGGATCCCGATATCATCGGGCCCTTCAAGTTACTGCCAGTTTAGGACCACATGCGTGGGATTTATGTATCGCCTAAGGAAAATCAGCCAGCAACGTTGCTGTATGAAGATCTAGCCTCTAGGCTCTTCTGGGTGGGCGATAGCTTCGAAAAAGGCGGGATGGGTTCCCTCGGGCTCAACCTTGATGGACCTTGTTTGACAGTTACCGATGACAAGCCCATTGCAAAGGTCGTTACCAAGGCAAAGTGTACTGAGGCCGACCGGGTATTCAAAATACTTTTGGGTCGAGCCAAAAGGTATATCAATGACGGTGGAACTTGGTGGTAAGTCGAGTCGACAACAGACATCCTATGTATCTGGGATTGTGCAGATCCTAATGAGATTCTTGCATTAGCCAAAACCGCGGGAGGGGAGGGTCTTGTACTGAATATCGGGCATGACAAAGGTGAAGTTATCGCCTACCCAGGAAGTAAGTCAGCCATCAACTTAAAAAGACGAACGTGTTTCTCGTGGAACTATTGCTAATTTGATGATTTTTTTTCAGCCAAATCAATCAAATTCGACCTCAAGTATAACTAGTGGTTGAGGCTAAGTTATGTACCTTGGATGCCTGCAGCTGCAGAATGTTATCTCCTTTAACTAGTACCACATGTCATAGGCAATATTTATTTTGACAGGCAGAGATTTCCACTTAAATAATCATTTTAGTCTCCCTCTAGGATTTAGTACCTTTTTTGGCACCTCCATATGGTTATCTTGTTATTTTTGTACCTCTATTTGATTAATTCTTGTCCACCAAAGAATCTCGATTATCTCACGGCTTGCGGCTTCGTGTTGAACAACCGCCTGTTGCTATGCGCATGACAGCGAACACAACTGGGTTAAAATTGCACGCCATCGTCCTTGAACTGGAGACCCTTGGGATAAGCCTGCGAGACGGGAGCGTACTGACAAGTCCAATGCACTGTAGATAGAGGTCGCCAGAGGGGTGCAACGATGGATGCTTTGCAAGATCATCGGCGTTCACAAATGATGGATCAGATAAGGCGTATATAAAAAAGAAAGAAAAGAAAAAGCTGCCGGAGGCTTTCAATTGCGTTGAGAAAGGCCGAGATGGTAGATTCCAGGTCGCCAGCTATCTTCCATATTAGCATGAACGGCTGATTCTGGGCAGACATGAGTTTAACCAACGTAAAACCTTTCGTGGATAAATGTAGAGCTATAAGAGTAAACCAGGGTGTTGTTGACACAGTGAGTGTGTGGCTTTTGAAAGTAATGAAGATGGGCCATCTTGGACGAGCTTCGCGCCAGTTTTATAGGACTTAACCGCCTAGCGGGCTGAATCAAAGATATTTCTGGACCTATAGTCAACGTAACGAACGCGACTCAAGGCTAGCACTGGCTGGTCAAGGTCTGAATGAACTGCGGATAACACTCTTCGATGTACTTTACCATTCCATCGATGATATAGTCGAATGTAAAAAGTTATCATTAACCGCTACTAAGCCAAAAATAAATAAATAAATAAATAAAAGATATAGCGATCCGACGCATGGGCTGATAATATCATACAAAAAAGGCGAATTGGCCCTCCTTAACTGATGCCTTAATCGCCGGGCGCTGCAACCTCGAGGCTATTCCACATGCGTCGCACTAGCAGCTCCTCTTCAGTAAGTTGGTGGCCCGCACGCGAAATGCGGTCATCATTGTTTTGATCATTAAGGTCATCAGAGTCATCATTACAGGGGTCGTCGTGGTCTTTAAACCTGACTGAGCCTTGTTTCCCCGGCTTCGAGGGGTTGGCGTGTGAGGTATGGCTGCCATTGCGTGTGTGTGAGGTTCCATGATTGGTCTCATTTGCGTTCACAGGTCCAGAATTAGAAGAAGCGTTTGGTTGAGATGTCCCATCCTGTCCGGCTGGTGGCTTGGTCATATCGTACATTCGATTCAGACTATCTACGACTGGATTCCGGAAACGATGCATAACCGAGAATTCGGAGGCAAGCCGTTCGTACGCCTTCTTTATCCTCTTGGACTCTCCTTCGGTTGAAGGGCCGCCTGCGAACCCGCCTGAAGCGGTGGCAGTGCGATGAGGATCATGGGCTAATCGGGCATGCGTGACATTGGAATCGTTGATTTGAGGTGCTACGACGGGTGCCATGGGCCCGATTGAGGTTTCCGATGGCGATGTGGAGAGGGTGGCAGTTCTTTGGAGCCAGAGCTTCTGCTGCGTTCGAGAATGCGGTTCTGGGGGTCGACGACGGGAATTGGGTGATTTGAGCGCTTTCGAGACTGCTGCTTCAGGCGAGGGTGGCGTGCGAGGTTGATAGTTAGGAAGAAAGGAAGAAGGTGTAGAGAAGTCCGATTCGGAACGGCCACCAGGGTGACTACTCCCGTTTTGGTGGGTGATGAGGAAACGAGATACTCCCACTTCAGTCGACGAGGGTGTAGTATTAGGGCTGAATCGGTGAGGCTCCTCTCTTTCGTTGTTGTGACGTGAATCAGGTTGATTTATTCCACCCAGGCTCGACAGATTAGCAAAGGACGATACTCGGGAGCTTCGTTCTGGAGGTGCCTGAGTTGCTGTGGCAGAAACAGAGGAGATTGCCGGAGGCACCATTCCGGAGTGCTGGCGACAAAGAAGTCGTTGAGTTACATCATTTTGTTGTTGCTCAGTTGGCTGAGCTGAGTCTTCGTTTGATGTTGTAGAGCTCGTCTGCGCCTCAGCCTGTGCTGGCCCCTCCCTCGGTTCGGGCTTCATATCCGCCGCGTTGTTTTGCTGGACTAAAGGTGACTTAGTGAACGTTAAGGCCGTGTTCTGGGGGTTGCCGTCGCTATTGCCAGCCTTCCCTCCTACAAGTGAATTCCGCCTTGTACTCGCCGTCGAAGGAGAGCTATGGTCCTCCCATTCGTCATCTTCATCAGAGTCTGCGAGTTCAAAACCAATGGACTTCTTTTCTTCTGGTTTCTCAACCCTGCTAAGCTCTCCCAGGAGATGGCCTTTTTTGACGACGTTACCGCTTGAGCCCTCTCGTTTTAGGACGGGCGTGGAATGGTTCTTTTTCATGGAAGGGTTATTCGATGACACCCCGCCTAAAGCAACTGCTGAACCATTCCACCGGACATGGTGGCCCGTCTTCGGGCTGGTGGCTGGAGATGATGGGGCAGACTTCTTTCTCATATGCTGCCGCCGGCCGGTCGCTGGTGCTTCTTGTCCACCGTGGGGATCACTGGTAATGTTGTGCGCCATGGCCAACCGCTGTAGTTTGTTCAGGTTCATCTGTGACGTGTTACGACCATGCGCGCGCTGTCCTCCAACCACATGTGGGCGATGAGGCTTATGTACAGCCGGCTTATGCGGCTGCACATGTGAGCTGGGAGGGGTCGACATGTTCACGCTGCTGGGGGGTGCAGAGTCAGAAAAGAAGGGTATGCCTCGCTTGAGGCGCGTCGATTTGACTTGATATTATCATCATATCTAGAGAAAGCGAAGATGTTGTTGGAACGACGGAAAGTCGAAGGTTGGTGAGGCAGCGGTTGGGTCACGTGCGGGTGCCTCTGACGCTGCCATTGCCGCTATTGGCGCAGTTGCCGCAGCTGTTGGCGGCAAGCCATATCATGAGCTATAACTAACGGATACAGAGGTACGCTAGATAGGATAAGATGTTTATGGTCCATGAAGGGCCACGTTGTCTTCCCTCATATATCTACTTGGTATGGTTCTCTAATCACGTCAATATCCGGATCATTCCTTGGGTCAGTTTGAAGCAAACAAGCTTCTCAGGTTATACCCTGCGGAAGCAATATGTCAAATATGAGCAAGAGCAGCGAATGATGATTGGCTGAATGAGTTTGAACGTATATATAGGTGTAAATGTACGTATATTGGTGAGCTTGAAGAGCTTAGGTGCAGGGTGTAAGTCTCTGCCGGATATAACAGGGGCAGTGCACGTGATCTAACTACGTTACTGACTAAGTACAACATTTGACACAATATCAAGGACTACCTTCATCGCACTTAATTCTATAGCATAAGCACTTAATTAACTAACCCATAACTAGTTAGGTAGAACATGACGGATTAAGAAGCTGCCAAAATAATTAACATTTAATATCTTGCTACACCCCTTATGACAAGGATAGACAAACAAATCATATCGCATACGTCACCAAAACGAATATTTCGCGCCCCTGTAGTCTCGATTCGGTAGCTCAGTATCAAAGTGATGTTTGTACTTTAGTTCGTCAGGATGTATAGCGGTAGCAGGAAAAATACAGGGAGAGGACCACGTTGCATGGTTCCATAAACCTGAGCCGGAGCTAGGGTTTTGGCACGTCCCAAGGTTTTCCCAGAGTGTACTGCGAAGTAAGGCGTAGCCTGGCTTATGTTTTATATAGGTGACTCGTAGCTCCCTCTCAGAGGAACTATGAGGGCATCGGTAGCACTGATGTAGTGGTATCTCAATATTGTTGGCTGAAATCCCATGTAGTAGATGATTGTTTCCTTGTTCACATATATCTACTGCTTTATACCGGCTGGTACTGTTATTGACCTGGTATGTAGCCCACATATCTTGTTTCAAAACCAAATTGCCATCAATTAGCTTCACGTCGAAATTCCACGCGAGTTTAACATGTACCGAGCCCTCATAGCCTCTGTCCGCAAAAGTATGGTAATGGTTTACCTTAGCGGCGGGTCGACCGTGTGTTGGGCCAAAACGATAATGGTTCATGATCTCTTTAGCCTGTCTATAAGTTAAATGGGGTTGAATCCCCAATTCTGTGGATGGGCTACCAAGGAAGTGGATTTCGCTCTCTGTATCACATCCATACGGCTCTAGCTTTGGCGGTGGTATTCTGCTTCGTCGATGGAATTTCTCACAACGATAGCAGAGGACGTGTTTGGGGAAATCCACTTCTAGACGTTCTAGAATTTCTATGCGGCCTTTGTGTAAATTATAGAGCTGTTGGAGGACAGTTTGACCCTTGCCAGTCTGCCACATAAATTTGCAGCTCAAAACAAATGCTGCTGCGTCCAAAGGAGGAAGTATGGAAATAATATAGGACACTTCATCATCACTGAGCGAAAAAATCGGAGATCGATCTTTCGCAAATCGGAGTTTGTGGGTAGCCCACGTCGGGAAATCAGTAATACGATTGAGAAGGGAAATAAATCGGTATGCGACAGAAGTCTCATTTCCCTTCTCCCGCCGCAACTCGTTCGGGCTTCGAGGTTTGATATGGGCTGCCGCCATGATGGCAGCTGAAGCAAAGGCTAAAGAACAACAATAGCGGCTGCTACTTTCGTGTAAAGTGTCCACTGAGGTAGCTTTGGGAGTATTCAGTTAGTATCGTTTGCGCACCCGATGTTCAGTTTGTGTGCAACAAAACCTGTTCCTTATAGGTCTTGCAGAATGTTCCTTGGGCCTTCGCTAATGGAAGCTAATAATATATTTATAATAACATAGCAGTCCTTGGGGCTTTTAATTTTGGTCGAACGCAAATTATATGAAGTTCTAGGTAAGAGTATTCGCTGGGTAATCAGAGAAACAAAATTTGGGGAATTATGTTGGGCTTCACCTTTTAAACATGCACAGAGGGGTTGACGTCATTAAACGAGTCGCCGTTAACCTGACTGGAGTTGATAATCTACCAGACCAAAGTGCTGTAGACCTATGGGTCCTCTCAAGTAAAAGCATGACAGGCAAGAGTATGCCTAATAGAGTCGGGAGAATGCCTAACTTCCCAGAGTGGAAGTTTGCGGATATTTTAGTTCGGAGATTGTACGGAGTATACGGAACATATTCCTACATAAGCCGGAAAGGGTGACGGTGGCCGTAAGGTCCGGCGTCTTTGGAGGGCTATATGTATTTTTCATGAATAGATTGCCAAAGGGCGCCCGGCGATCGGGATGGTGGAGGTCGCTAAGTAGTGCTAAACGCTCGCCAATATGTTGATTCCAAAGCTAACTGCTCCCTTCGATTACGTAATATGGCTAAATATAGTTTCTATTAGCCCATAACCAGTAATATAAGAAAAGAATGGCCAGTTTTCTAGCGGTAGTACTTACATGAACAGAGTAGTCTTTCTTTTATTTGCTCTCTGTCCCTTTAGGCCTTACCTGAAAAGCTAGTATGTCTGTTTAGTCTCATCTTATGTACGTTGGCATTTAGTCAAGCGTTAGGATATAAAATACCTACATAAACCATGCCGTCATTATACGCCAGGTAACAAAGTATTGCAGAGTGAGAGGGTTTATAAAGTGAGCTAGTTTTCACATCCTTAGTTGGAAGATGCCTAAAGGCCAGTCAAGAGAACTTCCCAAGTTTTCCCCATAAGATATGCTAGCATGAAGGTGATAAGAATTCAGGGATGATGATTACGTCCGGTCTCTATCGAATGTCATGGGGTATGAAAGGAAAACCCTGCCAAAAATGGTGATTAAAATTATTACAAGTTGGAGACTGCTCGACATGAGGAATATATTATGCTTAGATAAAGCACATGAGCATGGTGGAATAACGCGCTTGGTTGTTTCAGCTCATTCTCCCAGGTCAAAGTTCGATCAGGCTTTCTTCAACAGCCGGCTTTGGAGGTGACTGTTGCTGATGTTGAGGAGCCGGTTGTAGGGCGGGGGACATGGTGTTGTAGTTGGGATACTGTCCGTTTGCCGGGACAGGAGAGGGATACATATTTTGAGGTGTAGCCGTAGATGGTGGTGGAAACTGGCTCGGCGGGTATGGCTGCACTGTGGGATGTGGTGGGGAGACTGATTCTGCTCCCTGTGGGGAATGGTGTGAGAGGTCTTGAGGAGTATAAGAAAAGGCGGGCTGGGGCGGTTGTCGGGAGAATGTTTCGGGTTGTCTAGTTTGTGAGTGCATGCTACCGTGGGTGGAGGCTCTGCGGTCAAAAGAAGGCGCACTTGATGGCCCTGCTCCTTGGTAATCGTGTACTTGTCCTGTCGGTGGTTGTGATTGGTTGGCTGAGTACTGAGGGTATGCTGACGGATGCGGATCGGATGCGCCAGTTCTAAGGTAGAAGTTTTCGGCACCCTCGTGGCCGCCAGTGTTTTGCTGGCCTATTGGAGGGTAGATGTTTGCGTTCGATTGAGGTCGAACACTGTCATAAGCATTTAAAGTTTGGCGTGAATATGTATTGGATAGCCGTTCTTCCAACATTCTGTCATAATATCGTACGACTGTTGATAACTTCGCATGCAGGTCAAGCAAAGTATCTACAACAGTTAGCAGCTAGCCAAAGTTGTATACAATCGTAGAATTATAGCAGCTTACCATATTTACTCACGGTTTCACCATATGTCCTGGCAAGTTTTGGCCTTAGAGCACCAATGCTTTCATATAATTCTTGAATCTGTGGTTCTCGAAGGATGGTCCCTGGTGGTTGATGTTGGAGCCGATCGACCAGCGTAGCCAACAAGTTTATATTCTCGGCTTCTACGGGAGTCAATTCATAATCCTTTTTCGGCAATATTGCAGAAGGCTTAATGGTTGCAGCTCTATCGCTTGAAGTTGAGTTCTTCAAGGCGGCGGTATGTTTCCGTTTCTGTTCCTCCACGTCTTTTAATGATGCTTCAATAGCTGCCTTAAGATCCGGATCCTCATCTTCATCATTTTTCACGGCACTGACTTGTACTTTAGGGGCAGCGTAGGATGATTTAGTTTGGGGAACATAACCCGATGAATTTCGCCCCTTTGAATCTTCCAGGCTCATTTGTAATGCTCGTTTTAAATCTTCATCAAAGTCATTATCTGCATACGCACTCCGGGGTTCCATGCGAGGCTTATTTGCAGGGACAGCAGGTGAGTTTGCTGAGTAGCTGAGCAACCGCGAGGCTGTATTCGTAGATTTAGAGGTAAGTTTGGCATAGCAACCGTCGTCCACTCGAACAGGCTGAATTATCCCGAGATGCGGCAGGGGTAATGACTTGCTTGAACACTGAGCGTCGAAAACGTTCCCGCAGTTGCGGCAGTGGTGCTTGCGGTTGGTAAATGTGAACGCGGTGCGACATCGCATGCATACGTCAGAGTCAATCCACTCAGGAGGCTACCAAGGTACGGTCAGCCTGCTACAGCCCAAAAGAAAGGGGAGGAAGGAGATTCAATATTGTCCACTTACAGCGTCACTATCGAGCATTGTGCTTGCTATTTCGGTCTTTGGCGGGAAGTTATATCCATCGTTTTGTAGCTTTCGATAGGTCTCCGCGATGTAGGAGAGATCATTCCTAGGCTGAGCGGCCATTGCCCAGTTCTGTATAAGTTCTAGCATTTTGGTCTTCACATCGTGGTTAAGAGCATTAGGGCCTTCAGTTTTAAGTAAGGATACGAGGTTATCCATGAATTCTCGCGATGCGATCTCAACAAGAAAATGCCGCCCGCCATTCTTCACGCAGGTGTCGGTCAACTATGCAACGATTTGCGGTTAGAAGTCAAGCAACCACGAAGAAGTAAAGCATAGTATCAAACGGACCTTGAGTGTTGCCAGCTGAACGTTGGGGTTCTTCGTTTCCAATCTCCGCTTCAGGACCTTCATGGCTTCCTTGGGCTGCACCGTCTTTGACCGAATCAGGTCTGATATCTCCAGGTTCAAAGCGATGTCCTCTCTGTTAAATAGTCAGCAACTGTCAAACGATATCGACGCCACTGCAATACAAACACTTACAAACTAGACGACGTAGCTTTCTCGACCTGGTCGTCCAACGGCGACGACGATGTAAACCAACTCGCCATGATGACGACACTGAGAGCAAGCTTGGGGGTTGTAGATAGAGCTGAGGTACAGCCTGTCAACACATCAACTCGTCACGTCAAGCTGCTTCAGAAGAAGAAGATGAATACGTTCAGAAAAACAATCTCCTTCATGCACTTCTGCTTTCTTCTTCTCTTCTTCTTTTTGTTTAATGTTGAGTGCCTGATTTTGATTTCCTACTTTGAGAACGACGTCATGTGACGGAGGTTCATATATCACGTGATAATTTTGTAAAGATTCGATGACGTAAGCTTAACGCTGAATGTTTGAAATACGGACTAATTATTTCTTGTAGATGTCGATGAATAGACACAGAGTCGAGGAGAGTCCTTGACGATGCGCTTGGAGATGCGGATAGGATATGATATAGGCTTCTCGGCAGTCTAACAAGGAGGCAACAACACCACCCGACTTCTCACCTACTCAAACCCCTTCGCTCTCGTTGCGCAGGGAGGGGCCTATGACGCTCGTTCCGGAACGCAATTAAGCCAGCAGCATTTGCAATAGCGAAGAAGAGAGATTCTGGGGACTTGGACGTATGAGATAACTAGGCCTGTTTGAGGCATTACGCTGCCGTGGGATTCCAGATGGTTGAGCCAGCGGAACCGCCCTGGGGTCACGGAGATGGAGCTCCTATACCCGGTGCGGGCAGGCCTCCGTATCCCTCGATGAAGGAATTGCAGAACATGGCAGCTTGCTTGAACTTGGGTGATGATCCATCGGTATATTAGTTTGCTGTTTTTGTCATTCTTTACCAGCTGGAGCTTCGAGGCGGTGCTAACAGCCTGACCTGGACAATAGTTGAACGAGTTGTTACATATCTCCGAAGATGCTATCAGCAAAGCCAAAAACTTCGCTCAGCGAGGTAAATACGATTCCGCACTCGTTAATTACTTACGCGCCTCTGATATTACGGTCAACATGATTCCCCGTCATCCCGATTTTACATATATGAAGCAGAATCATCCAAGGTGGGCAGACCAGTTCTCCAGGTTAATGATGGTGCGTATACCCCCGTAGCTATATGGAGAGAGGGCATAGCTAATGAAGCCAAAGCTAGTCGATTCGCAACACAAAACTATGGAAGACATTAAGCGAAAAATCACGGCCAGCAATAACGCTGTAGGACAGTCTGGTTCGGCATCAACTTCGGTTCCCCTTCGCATGCCAAGCCCACCAGCTTTCAAAGGCAGCCATTAAACACCAGACCTGGTGGATTCTCATAGCTGCACAAGATCCCCTTGCGCAGAGGCTTGCAGGCCTGAGAAACCAGCGGCCGAATGCCGTGCAAGGCAGCAACATATCAAATGACGGATCAAATGGGTCAACATATACCAATACCCTTAACGGAAACTATGCTGCCTATCGGCCACGTCCGCAATCACAGGTTTATTCAAGCCAGCTCCACATGACGCCACCAAAACCTCTGGGCCCCCGAGAGATGAATTTGTCCGCCCCAACTGTCCCTCCAAAGGTCCCTATGTCAACGGGGGATGCACCACTCCCTAGGTACCCGAGCCCTGCCTACAGCCCAATATGGACAGTTCCTTCCACCCCGCCACCGAATCCTCCAAGGACGTCCGTCGACAGTATACGTAATACAGTCTACAAACAAACCAACACAGGGGCCACAAATTCCAACAGCAGCATCAATACCAGTGCGGATAATCCATACCGCTCACAGACCCCAAATGGTGTCCGCCCTGAGACTGACTCTGGAAACAGAGGCTTGGATATCCATGTTGGTCCTACAATTAGCGCTAGCAAGTTAGTGGAATACATCCGAAAATACGACGTTCTTCTCATTGATGTTCGCTCACGAGACCAATATGACTCTGGTCATATCTACGCCAAGTCTATCTTATGCATCGAGCCTGTGGCGCTAAAGGAGAACATCTCTGCTGAAGAGCTTGAAGATCGCCTGATAATCTCACCCGACAGTGAACAATCTCTATTCTCCAGGCGGAATGAATTTGATCTTGTCGTTTATTATGATCAGAACACGGTCGAGCCAACCTATTTGATAGGGTCTCCTGCAGGAAGTGCAGTTCCGCATCTGCGAGCTCTTTATGATACTTTATATGAGTTCAATTTTTACAAACCATTAAAGGGAGGACGACCTCCAGCTCTTCTAGTTGGTGGGTTAGACGCTTGGGTTGACTTGGTTGGCCCACAATCCCTAGCAACCTCCCAAACTAGTGCGATATTAAGCTCTGTTCGTGCACGAAGACAGGTACCCAACTCAGCGCAGCCTCTACGGAGGAACCCCACTGTAAGCGCTAATTCAAGCTGGGAGGTAAAGAAGAGGCGGCTACGCGACTACAAGCCTCTTAACCCCGAAGAGGAGCGGGCCTGGCTTGAAAAGGCAAGGAATGAGGAAATAGACACGAGCTATGTTCCTGAAGAAGGAGACATAACTGAAGAACCAGAGGAAATCGACGGATCTACTTCACGGACCCCCTCGTTTGTCCATACATATGAAGACTTCCTCAGAAGATTCCCTGAACCACATGATATCCGTGAGTCGATGGTGCATACAGGAAACGCAGTACAATTCCCATTGTACGATAGTGCTGCTGTCCCAGCTCCATCCAGACCACCACCTGCCATCCCTCGGCCAAGTTACAGCGGCGTCGCAGATCGTGGCCAGACACAGCCACCACTCGCTCGACAATCGTCTGCCCATAAACAGGCGTTATACTCATCCCCTATCGACCGGCTAAGGCTCCCCCGAACTGGGCTCATCAACCTGGGTTCAACTTGTTATATGAATTCGATAATACAAAGCCTGAGCGCCACAGTTCAACTCACGAAGTTCTTTGTCGATAACCGCTTCCATTCCCAGGTTCAAAAGAACTGGAAGGGTTCTCAAGGCGTCTTACCAGGTCTGTTCGCTAATTTGATTCGCTCTTTGTGGAAGAATGATGTCGAGGTCATCCGGCCTACATCGTTTCGGAAGTTCGTTGGTCGTCTAAATACAGAGTGGGCGGGAAGCCAGCAGCAAGACGCAAAGGAGTTCTTCGACGTTTTGGTTGATTGTTTGCATGAGGATTTGAATCTAAATTGGCAAAGGACGCCCTTACGGCCACTGACATTTGCGGAGGAGATGCGTCGAGAACAAATGCCGATTCACAAGGTATCGGAAATTGAATGGGGCCGATATACTCATCGTGAATTATCTTATATATCATCTCTTTTCGCCGGACAGCACGCCAGTCGGCTTCGTTGCACCACATGTCGAAAGACATCCACCACATATGAGGCATTCTACAGCATTAGCGTTGAAATACCCCCAACAGGAACGGGTGACATCTACCAGTGCCTCAACAGTTACTGTCAAGAGGAAGTGCTCAGTGGCGACGAAGTATGGAAATGTCCATACTGCAAGCGTGAACGAGAGGCCGCAAAACAAATTATCCTCACTAGAGCTCCTCGATTCCTAGTCTTTCACTTCAAGAGGTTCTCCGCCTCGAGGCGCCAGCAAGCTCGTAAAATCCACACGCCGGTTTCTTTCCCCCTTAACGGCCTCGACATGACCCCCTTTATGATCCAACAACCTCAACCATCCCAATCTTCTAGGCCTGTCTCTCCTCTACCAAACATCAATAGTACCGACGGTAATCGAGATGATCTACAACTACACACCTCCAAATCCCAATCAATGTTAAAGCCCCATGAACTTGCAACTTCCAGCCCATATATTTATAACGCCTACGCTGTCGTACGGCATTTAGGCTCCACGATGAATGAAGGTCATTATATCTCCTTGGTTAGAGATGATCTTCGCAAATGCTGGCGGAAGTTTGATGATCAACGAGTAACGGATTTCCAACCAAGTTCTTCCAGGTCTTCCCCTGATAATTTGCAAAATGAACAGGCCTACTTGGTTTTTTATGAACGGACCCCAGTTAACTGATGCATGCTATTGGAGCCTCGCCTTTATGTATTTTTCGATTGCACTTTATATTTTTTGGTTCGCCTATTTTTTGTGTGCTTTCGTCATGATTTAGAGTGCAATGAGATACCTAAGTTGGGGACTAAGGAATGGTCGGGGAAGGGTTAAGATAGAAAGCCTGTACTCGTTTATATACCCCGTGGAAATGATGAATTGATAACTAGGGTTTGTTTGAAACTTCACCTTCGTCTATCAACACTATAGACAATATAAATATCTACATACCAGAGTATGTACAGCATAGGCTACCAATATGCTACTAGGACGAAAGAGCAGAATGAAACAAAGAACTCCTGTATATTAACTACCTTGACTTCAGTTTTTCTTCAACTCATCTTGATAATACATAATTGTAAGCGTGAAGGGTTAAAAAAAAGAGCACAAAAAACATCAATTAGACGAAGTCAGCTGGTAGTGTCCATTTCTTTCATCTCAAGGTATGTATGAATCTATGTGTATGAGTTTGAGTTTCGCTGGAAGGTGGAGACTGAAAAATCCAGTAGTAGGTGAGGTACCAGGCAGCGTTATTAGTGATATAGCCGGATGCTATGTCACCCCCTCAATGTTTTTATCATTTTTCTTTTTTTTTCTTCGTTATATTGGGTATTTCAAGGAGTTCATTTAAAGTTCCTCGTGAGATGGGGTGTCATCATCTTCGTCAGCTGGGGCCTCACCAGCGTCACCATAGAGTTTGCTGGTGATTGGGTAAGCGACGTTGGAGAGCTTCTCTCTCTGCTCCTCAAAGTCTTCAGCGGTAGCAGTAGCGGAGTTCTCATCAAGCCATTCAGTGGCTTCCTTGATGGCTTCCAAAAGCTATTGAACAGTACGTTAGTATGAAGTAGGCCAAATATAAAGGAGCTGAGTGCTTACCGTTTCCTTGTCATCCTCATCAATCTTGCCACCGAGACCCTCACTATCGCTGACTTGGTTCTTGAGGGTGAAAGCGTAGTTCTCGAGAGAGTTACGAGCCTCGATCTTGCCCTTCATGGCCTTGTCTTCCTCAGCGAACTCAGCAGCCTCAGCAACCATACGGTCGATCTCCTCTTGGGAGAGGCGGCCCTTGTCGTTGGTGATGGTAATAGACTCGGCCTTGCCGGTTCCCTTGTCTCCAGCGGTGACCTTAAGGATACCGTTGGGGTCAAGCTCGAAGGAAACTTCGATTTGAGGAACTCCACGAGGGGCCGGTGGGATACCTGTCAACTCGAATTTACCCAACAAGTTGTTATCCTTGGTCATGGATCGCTCTCCCTCATCTAGTAGCAGGACGTTAGCAGCGGTCTCTTCTCTATATTGAGCTTAACGGGTGTAACTTACAAACTTGGATGAGGACAACGGGCTGGTTATCGGCAGCGGTAGAGAAGATCTGGGATTTGCGGGTTGGGATGACAGTGTTGCGGGGAATGAGCTTGGTCATAACACCACCAGTGGTTTCGATACCGAGGGTCAATGGGTTGACGTCCATGAGAACAACGTCTTCAGTACCCTTCTGTCCGGAGAGAACACCAGCCTGAACAGCGGCACCAAAGGCAACAGCCTCATCGGGGTTGATCTGCTTGCTGGCCTTCTTTCCACCGAAGTATTCCTCAAGAAGCTCTTGAACCTTGGGGATACGGGTAGAACCACCGACAAGAACGATATCGTCAATCTCAGACTTCTTAACCTTGGCATCTTTGAGAACCTGTTCAACTGGCTTGAGGGTCTTCTTGAAGAGATCCATGTTCAATTCTTCAAACTTAGCACGGGTCAGGGTCTCAGAGAAGTCCTTGCCATCATGGAAAGATTCGATTTCAATGCGGGTAGACTTCTGGGAAGAGAGAGTACGCTTGGCCTTTTCAACCTCACGCTTGAGTTTACCCATGGTCTTGAGGTTCTTGGTAATGTCGACATCATTCTTCTTGTTGTAGAGCTTGACGAAGTGGTTGATGACACGCTGGTCAAAATCTTCACCACCCAAGTGAGTGTCACCAGCGGTAGCCAAGACCTCAAAGGCACCCTTATCAATAGAGAGAAGGGATACATCGAAAGTACCACCACCGAGATCGTAGACAATGATCTGGCGCTCGTCACCAGTCATGTCAAGACCGTAGGCAATAGCTGCGGCAGTTGGCTCGTTAACGACACGGATGACATTGAGGCCAGCGATGGTACCAGCGTCCTTGGTGGCCTGTCTCTGGTTGTCGTTGAAGTAGGCGGGAACAGTGACGACAGCATGGCTGACGGTCTCACCGAGGTACTTCTCGGCGATATCCTTCATCTTACCCAGAACCATGGCAGAAACTTCCTCAGGAGTGAAGTTACGGGCCTTGCCGTTAACTTCAACGTTGACGGATGGCTTTCCACCGACATCGGAGACCTTGAAGGGGAAGTGCTTGATGTCCTTCTGGATGTCCTTGTCGGAGAACTTGCGACCAATGAGACGCCTGGCATGATGTCAGTACTTATCTTCAGCAGAGATAACTCAATAGCAAAACCTACTTGACATCGAAAATGGTTCGATGGGGGTTGGAGGAGTACTGATTCTTTGCGGCGTCTCCAACCAATCGTTCTTCATCGGTAAATGCGACGTAGGAGGGGGTGATTCGGTTTCCTTGGTCGTTAACAAGAATTTCGACCTTTCCATTTCTCATAACACCAACACAACTATAAGAGTGCCAATCAGCATTTCTACCCCTCCACGCAGGGCTTTAAGCGAAGGACAGATCAGGCGAAAACATACGAGTATGTGGTTCCCAAATCGATACCAATGACTAGACACCAGTTAGCATCCTAGTTTCTCAATTGTCATGCAGCAGAAGAGACGTACCATTCTTGAGGCCTTCGGTCTCAATGGGCGCCTGGTCTTCGGCATGTGCGGTTCCTAGCAAAGCCAATGGGGCGACCAGGACGAAGAGGAGGTAGAAGATGGTGGTCCACGCAAAGGGCGAGGATGAACCTCGCCTTGACTGTCTAGACATCTTAGATGAAACCGTAGTGGGCTGAAACGGTGGCGGTGGAAGAGTTCGCAGAAGAGCTCGCTTCTGGTTAAACCGGTGCAGCAGGAGCCCTCTATCAACTCCCTGAGCTGAGATGAGCTTCCAAACAGTAGGGGTATAGGAAGGGGGAGAAGAAACAAATATCAGCAAGATGAAGACTCCCGGTGTCAAAACTCCTGGTTGAAGTTGAACGGAGGAGAAGAAGAGAAGAAGAAGAAGACGGAAGATGAAGTCGTTGCTTTAATATTTGAACCGCAAGAACGCAAAAGGAACAAGTTGGCCTCTTCAGCCGCTAGTCCGTATCGGGTTTAGTGCGGCCCTTCACCGACCGCATAGACTACTCCGTGAATTTTGATTGGCTGGTAATGCTGAGTCATGATTATTACTCAGCAAGTGGCCAATTAGACGACTTGACGGCTTCTGATTGGCTGAAACGTTCGATATCAAAAAGGATTTTTGAAGTCGGAGAAACGAGAAACGAGCTACAAAAGGGAGAAGGAGGCTTGCAACAGTCTAAGGGTATAAGCTTATAGGTTAGTACAGAGGTTAAAGACGACGGCGCCTATACATCGTCTGTGGCTACGTGGCGGAAAGCGGGAGACCCTAAGGACTTACAACAGAAGCCAAAGCTGTAGTATGATCCCGAAGATGCTAGATGATGCTATGCGTTGGAGTGTACAGAGTAGTGCTATGTGTCAAGAAAGGGTCACTCTAGCAGTCCAGCGGCAACGGTGTCGCCAGAAGACCTCAAGACTATTCGCGCAGGAGCTTCCAGTGGTATAGACTGGTCAAGCTCTACCACCACTCTTGCCACGTTACCCGGGGCCACAATCTTCGGTTTCCGCTTAGTTGGCTTCCCAGATCCCTTATCCAAGGTAGCTACCAGCTGCGTGATCCGGCCAGGAACATGGAGACGGCCCCGGTGCACGTCAATATGCATCGGCGTCAAATGGTTGAACGCAAGCACCTTTGCCGTGAAACTGGTGATGTTCTGGGCTGGTGAGCCAGGGCTGCAGACGATGTCACCGATTCTAAGATGTTTCGAGTCTATATCAGTCAGGTGTAGGACCACGTTCTGGCCGGCCACAGCCCAGTCGGTAACCTCATGATCGACTTCCAGGCTCTTGATCACGGCTTTTTCCCCGCTAGGCATGACAAGCAGCTGATCACCCATCTGGAGATGACCGGCATCAATCCTCCCAGAGATAGACAGTGGGTTCTGGATACCCCCTCTGAAGATATCTCCTATCGTCATCCGCAAGGGTTTGTCGAACGCGTATGAGAATGGCTCCGAAGTCTCCAGTTCCTCGATCAGGGTTTTACCCGTGTACCAGCCGACCTTCTTATCCTCACATCTCCGCGCTATATTCTCACCCTGAAGGCCAGAGCAGGGGACAAAAGAGATATTCTTCGCCTGGAAGCCTGCAGTTATCAAGAAGGATGATATCTGCTGTTCAATCTCCTCAAACCGGTCCTTACTCCACCCCACCAGGTCCATCTTATTAACTGCAATAACCATCTTCTGCACTCCCATGCTTCTTACTAGCAGGGCATGCTCCTTTGTCTGGCCCTTTAACCCAGACTCAAACTTGCCGGTGCTAGCGTCGACGACCAAAACGGCAAAATCAGCCTGACTGGCACCAGCGATCATATTAGGTACAAAATCACGATGTCCGGGTGCATCCAATATCGTGAACCTCGTATCCTTCGTTTCAAAGTTATTCGAGGCAATGTCTATCGTCACTCCTCTAGCTCGTTCCTCTGCTCCCTGATCTAGAACCCAAGCAAACGCAAATGAGCCCTTGCCAATTTTATCAGCTTCACGTTGGTATTTATCTAATGTTCGCTGGTCAACAGCTTTAAGATCGTATAAAAGTCTTCCCATAAGTGTGCTCTTGCCGGCATCGACATGACCTGTAAACTGTTAATCAAATACCCCAAGTTCACAATCTGAGCATGAGACAAACCAATAACAACAAAGTTCGCCGCTTTTTTCCTCTTTGCTTTGCGATGTTCTTCCAGTACATTCAAATTCTTGCTCTTCACTTTTACAGGCTCAACTGAGAGCTGTTGCACGCCACCAGCTAAGTCTGCTTGGGCTTTGCCAGTTGCTTTCTGGTTCGTATTCCGTTGCGCCTTCTTCTCTGCAGAATATTAGATAAATTCCTTAAAGATGCGGATGGAATGTAATTTAGGTAACTAACCTTTGGCAGCACTCTGGGCCTTTATGACAATATCATCTGGGCTGGGTTCTGCAAAATTGTAAACTTCAGTAAGATCCCGGACAACAAATGTGAACAAATTATATGCACGAGGCGGAACGTTGGATGCAGTTGCGTCGAGTGTATCCTTCTCCCCACTTATAATTGCTGCAAAAGCGGAAGGGCCGGCTGCTAGCTTGTCGACAGACTCGGGTACTGCAGTGTCCTGTCGTTGTGCATGCTCTTTATGAGGCTCCTTTGAAGCTATTTGCGATACAGCTTTGGCATCCTTGGCAGCTTGCGGCGATTCCTTATTTGGAGTCCGACTAAGACTTCTAGCTGGCGTCAATGGCCTAGAGCCAGGAGATATCTTGCTTTTCCCAACTCCCGCCAGCCTATCTCGCAACGAGATGGGTTTATTCCCTTCATCTGTTAGGCCTCCTACCGGCCCATCCTCCGGAGACTTCTGCTCTTTCTTCTTCCGCGCAGCAGCCAAAGCAGCTAGCTTGGACATCTTCCCTGGTTTCTCGGCGGATGAACCTCCCAGTAGTCCGAAGCGGGGATAAAGTGGTTCAATCAAAATATCTGCCTTCCGGTGCGGCGGAACATTCAACCACGGAGAGTCTTTAAAGAAGTCACGCGCCGAAAAGTGAGTTGAGCGAGGTAATGGAAAACTTGACATTGGCCATTCTACCCAAAGAAAGCATGTTAGCTATAGCTCTTTGACTCAGTATGTGAAAACGGCTTCCCCGCACCAGGAGAAACGTAAGTAAAATGGTGACGCACCGTAAATTAGGGGCCGCACCCATATCCAGGAAGGAGGTAAAGCGCATTACTTCCCAAGCGTCCGCGTGCAAAGGTAGGGCAAATCGAAGGATGGGGAGAAAGAAAAGAAACTCACCAGCTGTATTCTTCTTTTTTGTAGCAGCAGTGGGCGTCCTTGTCTTTGTTCCCTTCTTTTCCTGCGCTCTATACTTCTCTATAAGGTAGCTATCAGCATATTGAATACGCCTCTCGTGTCCGATGTCAAAGGAAAAGAAATGCATACTGGTCAGGTAGTCGACAGATTTGTCCACATCATAAAAATAATGCCACAGGGCCTCCCAGATATCGTCTTCTTTAGCTTCTATAGGAGGTATCTGGGTCTGCAGCAGCTGTTGCACCTCGAGTGTTCGGACTCTCATCTGCTCGCGATCCTCGGGAGAGAGCTCGTCCTCATTGTCGTCGACTTCATCTTCAAGATCGTCATCGTCATAGCTAATATTCTTAACTCGATGGCGAGACATGATGTGTATATAGATGGATGTTGCTGGAGATGGATAGTTGTTTACTCGGTGGATGTCAAAGTGTTTGGCGGGGTTAGTTAACTAAGGCAAGTAACTACTTAACATATCGTGGGGTTAAGCTACAAAAGGTCCAACATAACAAGCAGCAATGATAGACTATGATGCCCCTTCAACTTCAATACGAGATATCATATTATCTACAAGGATGCAGTGAAATAGGTGGTCAATCCTTCGGACTCCGAGTGGGATGCGATGGATTGCGAGTGCCCAATGTTCCAGTCTCGACCCCTTTTTTTATGGATGACACTGTAGGAGCCAATACGGCTACAAGAGAGAGAGAAGAAAGCGATTCAGGGACATGATAGATATAGGTCTGAGCTCCTCTGATTTCTTAAAGATGGTCCTCTAAACGGCCATAGGCCCCCATCACTCCTAAGAGTAAGTTTCTTGCAAGAAATGTAAATCGAAGGGGAGAAAATAACAAGACATGAGAAAAAGGGGGTAAAACAGAAGAAGAAAAACAATCCCATAAACTAAATGAATTCTAAGGTGGGCTCTTGTATATTTTTAAAGCCTCAAAAAGAAAGGAAGTGTTGAAGCGATTAGGGCCAAGAGAGGAAAAAGGAGTCATAGATCCGGCAAGGTTGTTTGATCATAAGCGGTCTTTAAATGGTGGCCATTTATTGGCATTTTTGTATCCGAAGAGAAACAGGGACAGGAGAGTACGTTGCTCTATGCCTGCTGCTGCGCCTGCTGGGTGCCCATGTACTGGTAGATACCGTAGGCAAGAGCAGCGCCGACCAGGACGACAGCGTAGAGACCAATTCCGAGACCAGTAGAGTCGCTTGAGCCAGAAGAAGTTGTGGTAGTTGTAGGGGCGGCGGCCGGGGCTGGGTCACCAGGCTGTGTAGAAGTTGTAAGCCGGCAGTCCTGGCAGACCGGAAGGGGGGGAAAGATAACAAACATACCATGCGCTTGAGGGTGCCAACTTTGAGACCCTCGAGGATCTCACGGGCTTCGTCGCTGTGCCCTACATCCTCGAAGGCCTCCGTGGAGTCTTGACCAGCAACATCGAGCAGGACTTCCTCACCGCCGCTAGAAAAATGAACAGATAAACAGTTAGCCGCCTAGTTCCAAGTTACTGTCGGATGCCGTAGTATCCAACGCATAGAGAGACGGGTGCCTCAGTTGTCTGTGACATAGCCGAGGCACACAAGGGGAGATATGGGGACAAACATACGGATGTTCATCGACGAAAGAGGAGCAGTCATAGACCTTCTCATGGATAACAACGTAGAGATCCTTCTTGGTGCTGTGAGCAGCGACCTCCTTGAGGTTGAATTCCTTGTCGGCGGACATGTTATCGGCTATAAGATGAGTATAGGGACGGTGTAAGAGTCGTAGTGGTTGTATCTTTCAGCTCAGCAGCGGTTGTCGGCGTTGAATGTTCCTTTTGTCATGCGAAGGGCGAGATAATTCCGGCCAGAGTAATTAATTATTTTTTTTGGTTTTGCAGGTTGTCGCCAAGCATTTTAAGTCCCCGGAGGATTCTACGATAAAACAATGTTGATATCGTTCAATTCAACCAGCCTACGGTATCTTATTAGTGCTATAGTGAGTAAAAACCCTGGAATGGTTTTCTTTTTCGACATTTCGAGTCTTTCTTTTTTCTTCTTCCAAAAGAAGGAAAAAAAGAAGCCGAGATGACCTGATATTCCTCAACCAATCAGAGCATGCTGATTCATCGGAGGGAAGAAAGTAGCTCCGAGGGTTTATTATATAAGCACCCTCTTGATTGGTAATGGCATGTGAAAAGGCGAAGGAGATACAAATACATTTATGATAGCAGGTAATATATATAACTACTCCGTACGCCGGGGCCCGCCTATATTCCCTTTGAAAATTTAATTTCCAGCAACCTATCCACCGGCACATTCAAATGATCTAGTTTTGTCTTCTCACGGTTCTTGAGGCGGATAAATGCCCATAAAAATACACGGCGGATCAGGTTCGAGGTTGGAAGGAGGTATAGCTTGTCCTTCCCAACTATATATGTGATGGATTTCGTTGTGGAGGATCGCTTGGTGAGTGGGATCATAGTGGATGATTCCTGCGTGAGAGGGGAGAAAGTGATCGAGGGGGACTCGACGTCCTGGCCGTCGCGGTGGGGAGGGGTGACGGATCCCAGTTCATTGAGTATATCTCTTTCAAAAAAGTTCCAAGAGACGATATCCCCGTAGCCGTATTGCAAAGTAACGTGGAATAACCCCTGGATTCCTGTTTGCCTTAAAGTGAATCGGCGGTCGTCGGCTATCTATAACACAAACCATTGTTAGGTATGGATGATAGAATGGGCATCAACGTTACTCACTGTGTATCTCAGGGCACGCTTAACATGGAGAAGGATGGATATGTCATGCATGGATTCAAACTTGTGGACGAAATGTTTAAATACCGAAGGAGATCCGGCGTCGTGGTCGGTGAGAAACACCCCAATCCCTGTGTCAAAGTTAGTGACTAGAGCTATATTCTTGCTAGGCATTTACTAACCTTTTATCCTCTTGACAAGTTGGTCTGCATTTTCATCACACAGCATCAGCTGGCCATCCGGGTTTGGATATATTATTGCTTGGGATACCCTCTCGTCCTTCCGTGCAGCCCACTTGGACCCTTCGCCATAGCTCCAGACTAGAAGGGTAGTTGTCAGAACTGCAGCTAAGACGAGCGTGAACCATCCACCCGACGGGACCTTGACCAGGGCAGCAGAGAGGAATAGAACATCAACAAATCCTATGAACAGTGATATCGGGATCACGATGAGGAAATGGACGTTCCAAACAACAATAGCAACCAGCGTCACCAGCCATGTTGTAATAAAACTAACGCCAACTACACATACTCCATAAGCATTGCCCAGTCTCGTTGTCTAATGGCAGTTAGTTCCAGCTGGTGTGGCCTACCATGTACAACGGGCAACTTACATTCTGATAAACAATAGTAACCGCAAGGGCGCAGGCCATCATGGACCAGTTGGCCAATGGTATATATATCTGACTAGTTATTCGCTTTGATGTGTGCACACGTGTAAGCTTTGGAAGATACCCCAGACGAACAGCTTGTGATATCAGTTGAAAACTACCAGTAAGCATTGCTTGTGAGGCAATAATTGATGTTATCATGGATAGCACTAAAGTGGGCCAATATAAGCCTAGAGGAACCGACTTGAACAATGGGTTTTCAAAGGCGTCTAAATGTTCGCTGATATACGCAGCTTGGCCGCTGTATATAATCAACAAACATGGCAAAGCGAAACAGAGCCACGAGACTCGGATAGCCCTGGATACAGGTGCATATTAGTACCAGTGTGCCTCTACTTTGATTAGACATCCGGGCAGGGAGATACTTACTTTGCTGAGAATGCACCGAGATCGGCAAACAGTGCTTCAACGCCTGGGAGGAAATGTGGTCAGGAAAAGTTTTCTATAAACTTGGTATAACGGTACATACCTGTAAAGGCCAGGAGGACACCGCCGAGTGATTTCCAGCCTGCGAATCCATTACGGAGCAGGAATGAGATAGCATACGTTGGAGAAAAGGCTTTCAAAACAGAATAGTCGTACCACACCAGATTCTGTACCTGTTAGTCTCTGAAATTTTAGCACGAGCTATTCAAAAGAGTTTACGAACAAGGAGGCCAAAGGACGTATTGCATAGTAGCCAGATCGTGACAACGGGAGCAAAATAGTTGCTCAGCTTCGATGTTCCTATCGGTTGGAGTGCAAAGAGGATGACTATTAGGGCACAAGCGATACCCACGATAGTATGGGATGAGGTGTCTGGTGCTGCGATTTGGATACCTGCAAGGACATAATTCGGTTGGTACGCATCAACGGTAACGTTTTGTCGAGAACTCACCTTGAACAGCACCGAGAATGGACTGTGCCGGTGTCAAAACGCTATCTATACCGTGCGTTAGTTTTACCCGTAGTAAAAAAGGCTTATCAAACAGTCTAAGTTGATACCTGACATGACCATGCAGACACCTAATACAGCGAGAATAGTAATCATGCGTTTAGCAGCAGGGCTATTCATTAGCCATCTTTTAACATATGCATTGAAGCCCTTTCCACCCTTCCACTTATCCTCAACCTTAGCTTTGGAATCACGCCAATCAAGTTGTACCTGGGTAGACGTTAGTTAAAGTAATATGTTCTGTCCAAAAAGAACAAACTTACATGTTTTCGAATTATAGAAAGGAGGGCAAAGGACCCTCCCTCTCCATTATCATTTGCACAGAGCACTATTCCAACATATTTGACAGTTGCAATAAGCAACAAAGCCCATATAATAAGTGACAAGGCTCCAATCAAATCAATCAGTACCGGCTGGGTTGAGAATGTCGCTGAAAAGACGTATAACGGGCTGGTTCCGATATCTCCATATATGGCGCCGATCGATTGATAGGCCAGCCTGAATGTAAACAACCACAGATAAGAAACTTGACAACGTTACACTTGATAAATTATTCATGTTTCACGAACCACAGAGAAGCCCAACCATGCTGTTGCTAGTTTGAAAAGGAACGTTAACGTCATGCGTTTAAGAGCCAGCCATGTGGTGCAATAATCTTGGTTGGGTTTCCAACGGGCCCTCGATCCATGATTGGCCTTACCGGTACTGTGGGATGGTGCTCTAAGTATAAAAGACTGTCACTTTCGCCGGAGTATGGGAGGCTGCTCTCCCTATCCACACGACTCGAAGGTGATCCGTGGCGGTAATCGGGGTGGAGCGAGATCCCTGAGCCGATTAACACAGATGCAGATACGGGGATGTTTTCATAGCCTTGTTCGATGGTATCTTCGCATTGAGTTACGTGTGTTGAGCGTATACTATCAGTGTCACCGTCATTTTCATCAACGGGAACGTAGCCTGCTGCCATCATTTATATAACTGCAGTGCTGTTGCATGTTCGAGGAGGTTTAGGGGCAAACTGATCTCGGTTATATATTTACACCTCGTTGCCCGTGCGGCTGAAAAGGCTGATGTAATCAGAGAAGTTTAGAACTTGGCCAATAAATCTTATTTATTTTAAAGTTTTGTCAATAAGGCTGATGATTAATACCACGTTTTATCCGGAGGTTAAATATATTTAGTTTTAACTTAAAACGCGTTACCCCTGAGCTTTAGAAAATGGGGATATCAAGAAAGATGCTGTAGAACTGACCAATAGCAGGTGTAGTGTAAGAAGGAAGCAGTTTATTGTTGGGCGGGTATATCACACTAAATGTTGACCAAGATAAGACTACATCGGAGATAGGCATTAAAGACAGACACAAGATAAGCACGCCAAACCAGAATGTACACGATATTCTCAAGCAAGTATAACGCATTCTTAATTTGGCCAAAAGACAGATCCCCCGATTACCCAAAGGCATAATAACGAGCGTGCGTGACAAGAAAGCCGGACCCGGATGATGCAGTGCTATATCAAATATTAACGATAGTACCTATTGGGATTTGTGTTGGGGTTCGATGCTCCGCCAGGCTGTTGCTGAGGCTGGTAGGCTTGATATCCCGCGGGAGCAGATGGGGCCGGGTAGCCGGGGTAAGGAAGATGTGGAGATGTTGACTGTGGAATTGAAGGAGGCTGGTGTGTTGGTGGTGGACCGTGCTGTGGTTGTTGCTGCGACTGATCTTGTGGGGGAGGGTACTGAGAGTTGGAACCTGGAGGAACAGTCTGAACAGTCTGGGCGTTGAAGTCAGGTGCGGCGCCTTGGGGAGGATAGTTGGCAGGTGGTGGGTAGTGTTGTGGTTGGGTTGTAGATGGCTGGGTTTCGTGCATGGGTGCATGATACGGGTGTTGAGCATTGGGGTTGACGGCAGTTTGAGGCGAGTCGTATGCAGATGTGCTCAGTTCCTGCGGCTGGTCCAACTTCGTCTGTATCGTGTATTGTGTCTGTGGGTTGTTGTAAGCATCTGGACCCTGCTGGGCGGGAGCCGGGGTGTGTTTCCTGTTCTCTGGCGAAGCAGTTGAAGGGTAAGGTGGGCCAGATTGCTCTGCACCGTAGTAGGCTGACGGGTCATTAGATGATGGTGCATTTTGAGCGCCTATAAGTGAGTGTTGCATTAGTTCCAGCGCTTAAGAATGAAGAATAAAAAAAAAAAAAAGGAAAAGAAACTAGATAATCATGTTTCCGTACCGTGTGAAGGGCGAGGAGTAAAGTATCGCTGGGGATCCTGCTGGTGTGGACCAGAAGGGTACTGTTGTCCTCCAGGAGGCGGGTACCCATATGTAGCCTGAGGCGGGGGCCGCCCGAACTGTGGCTGACCAGGATGCGCCATTGACGTTTCAAGCAGAGCCTCATAGTCCCGACGTGCTTTGATAAACTTTTCATTCAATTGCGTAAAGTCATCTATTCAAGTTAGTATGAAACTCGAAACTTCCAGCAAAATAGAAAAAGTGGCTATAGTACCTTTCTTCTTCGAGTACTTGCCAATCAGCTCTATCAATTTCGGTCGAATGGCAAGGGTAGAGTGGTACAACGTTGTGATTTCCTCGTTCTCCTGCACATTTAGTTCCGAGTTACTCGTGCTGAGAAGGGCTAGCAGTTTCTCCACGTTCTTTATCTCAGCAAACACCTCCGCTTCCATTTGTGCTTCCCTCTGAAGTTCTTCTTGGGTGGGATCCGAGAGTTTCTCGACATAGTTTAGAGGGAAAATGCCAGTCTGGCCGCGAAGAGAGCCCTTCCACCAGTCCTTGTAAACTGATTCTAGAACAGCGATCACATCACCCTTGCGGAATTGAAGTTCACCGGGCTCCGAGGGTTGGAAATCGTATAATGCTCGCACACGAGAGACGGTGGCAGCAGTGGTACCGGAAGCAATGGGCGTTGGCTGGGATGTAGTAGCCGTTGTTGTATTAGATGGACCCGCAGCGCCTGCTTTCTGAGAGGATTCACTGTTGGAGGGCTGCTGTTCGGTACTGGGTTGTTTGTCCTTGACCGACAGCGCAAGTGCCATCTGCAGCTCCTCCTCTTCCTTTTGTCTGTCCAACTCGGTTATTTCCCGCTTGGTTGGTTTCGACGGGGGTTGAAGGTTTGGGTCTGCAACCCGTCAGCCTGGAAACCAATCGGAGCATGAACTTGAACTTTTTTCATTATTTCTTACTCTGGGATTTGAGCTTCAGGTACGCTTGTTCCATAATCCCTAGGTCAGGATTACTAGAAAACATCTCCGTCCATTGCTCTATGTGTTCTAGGATCTTCGCCTTTACCTGCTGGTGGGTGTTCTATCGCAGACGGATCCATTAGCTGAGCGGTTGCTATGAAGGCGCAAAGATGGGCACTCACCCTATCATTTGCAAGTCGTAAAAGCGCATCTGTAAAGCTCTTAGAGGCCAGCTCCTGGTATATCTTCAGTCCGCAATTTTGTGACAAGGCGTTTGCAAGCTGTGCGTATATAGATCAGCATAAGTTAAGCTTTCTACCGCCAGTAGCAGCAACAGCATACCTCGAGCGTGTAAAGCTGCACATTGGCATTTCGGTGCGCAAGCCTTCGTATCATAGCAGCAACGGCATCTTTCGCCCTAACCCAAACTCCGTCAGCATATACTCCGGCCCATACACCACCTCTCAGCTTCCATAACTTACCCAGAGCTATCCGAAGACACCTTGTCACAGACATCCTATCCCAATACCCCATTAGCTGATGTATCCTAGGTCCAAAATAAGGAAGATCGGCCATTCGTACAAGGATATATTCCCAATTCTCCGAAGTCAGATTCTCATCCGTCGCCTTGGCTATTGATAGCAAACAAGTTAGCACCACGCTACAAGCACAGCGCAACAGCAGGAAAAAGTCGACGAGGCGCGCAGAAACAAATCACCTACCGACAGCATCATCGAATGCATTCTGCTGCACTCGAAACATCGTGAGAGCAAGCTCCTGTTGATTCTCTCTTGTTCGTTCAGCGTGCTAACAACCCCGCACAGGCCACGAGCTCGCGGTTCGCGTTGTAATGCGGTATCTCCAACTTTTCTTTAGAGAGGAGTATGTCGATGTGAGACTGCGAGATGGTGCGGTTGTATATATGTATAGGTGTTCGAGGATGTAAGAAGTTGAGTTTGTGGGTTTGCTGAATGCTGCCTTGCTTTGCTTGCTTGCTTTTGATGGTTGATGACGGTCGATGATTACGGCAGCCTGAATGGCTGAGTGGATTTAAGCTCGGTGGCGCAGGCTTATGTAAGAGTGGCTAAGTAGAAGTGAAGATAGACTATATTCAAACGTATACATATTCACAGAATACACAGCTATAGCCCGTAAATAAGAACCATCCATCTATCCAGCAAATCAATAGATAAATAATAGCACACTGGATTTTAAGATCAAGAGAGAATACATTGGAAAGCCAACGAGAAGATGGAAAGAAGTAAAGGAAATTCGTCACTGTGTTTTGTTTTAGAAGAAAAAAGCCATATCGAAACCCAGGTTCTTTTAACATGATATTGGCTGGATAAACGCATCCAGAGCGAAGCAGAAGCCGTAGTAGATACAAGAGCATGAGCATGAGCAGCAAGGTAAGCCAAGAGCAAAAGGGGACATATCAAAGCAACGCATTAAATAGAAGGAAACAAAGAGGGTGGACGAAGGGGAAAAGAAATCACATCTCATATTCATGTCACGTATAAGTTATATTTCGCAGTCGGCAGATCGCATCGAGGAAGAGAAATAGAAACACGGAGAGAGAGAAATGACTTTCCTCGCCTGCCTGGTTGCACTGCATGGCATCGTCAGGGGTCAGTCAGTCAAGCCCGTGTCGTGCCATGACATCCATATTCATATTCTGTCGGGTTTTTGTTCTCCTTTTCCTCTTCACGTCATGGATGCAAGCACGTTGGAATCGTTTTCATCTCTGCTATCCCGACATGCAGGCAGAAAGACCATTGACCTCGTCGCTCAACCACTTCCACTCTGGTCCGTTCTGGTCATGAACCCTAGCATATCGCAATTCCCATACCACCTATCCCACCGATTCCCAAACGAGATAAATAAAAAGAAAGGGCAAATAAACCATTCTATAGCTGAATCCGAATAACCTGAAGAAAGACGAGAGGAGGTGAAGAGGAGTAGAAGTGGAAGTCGTGAGAAGAAGAAAAAAAAGGTTGTAAAGGAAGAAGCGTAGAAGTAACGTTAGCAAATCTGAAGTTGGGTATCGTGACGAGAGTGGAGTTTGAGATGAAGAGGAAGAGAGAAGTAAGTATATGGAGTATAGTATACGATGTAAGGGGATATCAGGAGAACCAGTAAGGGAGAAAAACAAAATAAGGTAAATGGTAAAAGGTAGAATGGAAGAAAAGTTCAAGTGATGTGCTTGCATCTGTGTGGTATAGCTCAGAAAAGAGATATGATACCGGTTCGTACTATGGTTGCTTAAGCGCCGCCTTTCTGCGCCTTCTCCTGAGCTCTATTAACCCTAGCAGCTTTAACAAGTGGAGCAAGACTGGTCAATGGCTCACAGAAACCCATAAAAGGGTGCTATATCATAGTTAGTTACATGGACTTAAAAGGCAATAAGAAAAATGGGGTAGCGTACCTTTAACAAATCGTGTGCAGAAGCTCTCTTCTCAGCATCGACTTTCAGCGCAAGAGCCAGGAACTCTCTAAAGACTGGCGAGAGATTCTGTTCATCTTTTATCGTGGGCGTGCCATTTGTAGCGATCAAGTAGAGGGCTCGAAGAGGGGATTCAGTGAGATAAGGTGGTTCGCCTTCTATCATTTCGATGGCCATGATGCCTAGGGACCAGATATCTACTTTACGGCCGTAGTCTTTGCGGGTCACTACCTCTGGAGCCATCCAGTAGGGTGTTCCGACCATGGTGTTGCGCTTGTGGTGTGCATCGTTGATTTGGGCGCAGAAGCCAAAGTCAGCTAAAAGAAGTTGGTCAGTATGGGGTTTGCAAGAAGAGGAGGATAATGGAGGCGGACTGACTTAGCTTGATGTTTCCTTCTAGGGAGAGAAGGATGTTGTCCGACTTGATATCTCTATGGATGACTCCCTTGGAGTGCAGGTGCTGCAGGCCATGCAGGACCTAGATACATGTTAGTATATACAGCAAAGAACAGAAGGTGTGAACGGGGGCGTACTTCTCGACAAACAGCAGCAATCTGGCCTTCAGTCATGATATTAAAGGTAACCACGTCGGTCAAACTGCCTCCCTCCATGTACTCCATGACGACCCAGAGGTCTCCGCCGTGTAAGAAGCTGTCCATGTAATTGACGATGTTTTTATGTCGGCTCTCCTTCATGACCAGGATCTCATTGATGATGAGGTCCTTCTTGGGCTGCAGTTCGAGGTTCATCTGCTTGATAGCTACGCAGTGATTTGTGCCGATCTCATAAGCAGTGTACACGCCGCCGGACGCACCCTGGCCGATTTTATGCAGGTTGCGGTATTTGCGGGTAGGATCGCCGGTGGTGCAGATGGTATTGAGACGGGCGCGGATGTCGATCGTGGGGGTGGGAGCTTGACGTGGGCGTATGCGGGGACGGGCAGCACCGGGGGGCATCTGGTTGGGGCCCGGAAGAGGGGCATGTGCTGGAACCGGAGCGGGGACTACTCGGGGGCCAGCTGCGTGTTGGGATGGGAAGTTCTGTGCAGGCGCTGGAGCTGGAGGAGCGTAGATGTGAGAGTCGGGAGGTTGACCATCTACAGGCGATGATTCAGGGGGCATCTGCTGCTGCTGCTGCTGCCTCATGCTTCTGGATCGTTCGATCTGTTTGTTGGTGATGGCCTGCTGGGCGGCAGTGATAGCTTGCTCCTGCATCTGCTGGTACACTGCCGGCGAAGTAACAGCCGCAGAGGGTTTGCGGGAGAGGCCGCCGGGGCTGACTCCGCCATTGGCGTTGGAGTTTGAACGACTTCTGGTGGTAGGCAAGGGCGCAGACTCGGGAATAGTCTGCACACCAAATGGAAGAGAGCCTGCTGCGCCGGTGGGGGTAATTGGCGGCTGAGGCGGTGGTCTGGCGGCGACAAGATTCGTGGGGGCCTTGGGAGCCGCTCGATTGGGGACCCATCCGGAGCCCGGGGAAGTGGAGGTGGTGGTCGGAGGAGCGGGAGGAGGTGGACTAGCCAAGGGCGTCGATCGTGGGATCGGGGGTGGCGCGCGAGGGTTCTCAAAGCTTCCTTCGTGATTCTGGGGAAAACGGGGAGAGGTAACCGTTGAAACAACGTTGTTGGTAATGGGTGTGACCTGATCATGGTCCACCAGATGTCTGGCATTATCAAACTTGTGCCAGACGCCATCGTCTTCACGGCCAGCGGCGTTCTTTTCATAAAACTTCATGATGTCGACCATTGTCTGCGGGTGCTGTTCTTGCTCCTTCTTTGAGATACCTGATTCCTGGAGCATGCGTTGCCAATCCTTTGGCAGGCCCTGGACAAGGGTCAGGTGAATACAATAACAAATTGAAACAACAGGCTAAAGAAACATACCGTAAACTGTCCGGTCTGATTGTCATATCCGACGTGGGTGACATGCACCGGGTTCTCTGGCGCAGAGATCTTGATATTCCGAGGCGAGCCAAGCATGCTGTTGACGAAGTTGGAGAAGCCAGTCTTCTTCCGGCTCAATGACAGTCTGCTGCCTCCTTGGCTCGGATGTGAAGTAGACTGTGAATTGGAGTTGGAGGTTGAGCTCGGGCCTTCGTCTGAATGCCTGTTGGCGGGAGCTGACGTAGGGCCAGGAGTAGCACCGGCAGCAGCAGCAGTAGTAGGAGAAAAGCTGGCCGAGTGGTTGAGACTGGGCGACACGTCCGGGCTCGACTTGTAGCTGGCTGGCATGGGAGGACGCGAGAGCAACTCTGCCGCTCTGGACCCGGCAGGAGGAAGCTCCGTCTCTGACACTGCTGCTGCCGGCACTATCGCATCATTGCTGCCGGAGTGAGACGTGGAGGGGACGTCGTCTTCCTCTCCCATCGAACTGTGCTGCCCATACGAGACTCTGGCGGGACCATGCTGATTGGCGTAGTTCTGGAACGGGCCCTGACCCTGACCCTGTAAGCGCCCAAAGTCGACGCCGTTGGAGATGCTGGAGGCCTGGCTGCCATTCGCGGTGGTGACTGCGACCCCGAGCTGGTCGACAGAGGCAGAGGAGGAGGCAAAGTTGCTGGACCTGGTTCTGGAGTGGTCTCTGCCCGCGGAGCCGTGGGAGCGTGGGTAGACTGGGGCGGACGGATGGCGCTGCAACGAGGTGGAGGACTGCTTCTTCTTGACGGACCAGGACGAGGTGAGGTTGGTGAGGGAGGATAGGGGGCTGGACGAGGCCATGAGCAAGCTGGGAGGCTGCTTGTGTAGTTTCGAGGATGGCCGATGCGGTTTGGTCGATGGTTCAGCGTCCATCTTGAGCTTGGTGAAGCTCACGCTCTCTCACTCTCTCTCACTGCCTATGATGTCGTTGCAGACGCACTTACGACGACAAAAGCGCGATGCAGATGAAGGCCAACAAAGGAGCAGAGGGTGAAGAAGGACAGGGCGTTTGATGGGAAGAGAGAGCAAGTCAAGAGCAAGAGAGGAGGAGGAAGAAGAGTGAGTGAAGAAGAGCAAGGTGAAGAAGGCCGGGGAGGAAGAGAGAAAAAAGAAGGCCAGCCCAAATTGCAGGAGGAGGAGGGAACAAGAAGAGGGGAGAGCGCGGTATCGTCTTGTCAGGACGTGTTACTCCACTGTAGTTTTACCCCGGCTAGTGTGCGTGTATCTGTGTCATGTACGGTAAGTGACATCCTGGTACATGGTTGGACCAAAGTGACAGCAAGTTACACTCACTTTTAATACCAAAGTTACCGTTGAATTACCAGCAGTCGACATAGACATAGACATAGACATAGATATAGACGTAGACATAGATATAGACGTAGACATAGACATAGATATAAGGATAAGAGTAGTGACCGGTTCACTGTCCGCCTGGCACATCCACAGCCTGACTAGCCGTTAGAGACGGACGCGGAAGAGGTCGCCTGCAGCAGTTAATTAGAGAGTGTCAGGGATATATGTCAATTTACCAGCACAAGGAATAGCAATGAATAATGGTAATATCACAGGTCGCTACCAGCCTATCCTTGCATCTTGTCATCCATTACTACTCCTTATTCACTGTCATTGTTCGCTTCGCTGTGGTCACTGTCATTGTTCGCCTCACTGTCTACTCTACTATATGCTGCACGCTGACTAAGCAGCAACCTGCAACGTCGCCTCAGCTTCGACTTGGGCTTTTGGCTTCCCAAACAAGCGAACATCCCAGCTTCATCTTCTTCTCTCCAGTCGAGCTGCTCGTTTGTCGAGTCTTGTGCTGTCTTCTCGTCTTCTTCGTTAACGTGCCGGTAGAGTCGAGACAGGAGGATGGAGTGATTCTTCTCCACACGCTGCTTCGTTTTGTCTTTTTTGCACACTGTAAACGCATCGTACGTCTCGGATCACTGTGAGTTCGTCGTGGCGGCCCAGATGTGCTGTATGCTGACGCCAGTGCAGATAATTACACGGTATACGAAATAGGAACTGACTGGAACTGAATTGGCCGCCATGCTGTCACAAAACACCGGCATGATCGTCAACGGCGCCCCCAAGTCTCGCGCGGAGGAACTCCTGGCCAGACACGAGAAGGAGGCTGCCCAGGGGCCCACGGTCGAGGACGTCGTCGACGAAGAGGATGTCCTGCACCCCCCGCCCTCCATGGCCAAGGACACCGCCGTCCCCGCTGCTTCGCCCGCTGCCACTGCTGCCGCCACCACCGCTGGTGCTGCTGGTGCTGCTGGTGCTGCTGGTACTGCCGGTACTACTGGTACAGAGCAGAAACCGGTGAAGAAGCCCGCTCTCGATGTCCAGTCCGAAGAGTCCTTCCCCGCCCTGGGAGGTGGCCCGAAGTCGTCTCGTCCCTCTGCCGTCCCAATGGCATGGGGGAGCAGTAAACCCAAGTCCTCGACCGCCTCTGGAGCTGGTAGCGCTGCCGCAACGCCGCCGCTCGCTCCGGTGGCCAACGGTCGACGGCCAGACCAGACGGCCGGCTCGGCTCCACGACAGCTCGTCATTCCGGGCAAGCATGTCGACCAATTCCGCTTTGATTCCTCGCAGATGATCCCCCGTGCACAGCTCAAGAAGCCCATCTCGGACATTCTGCGGGACATCAGCAAGAAGTCAAAGGTCCGTCTCGAGGTCCGTGAGGGCCCCGGAGGTGGTTACATCTTCGAAGGCACCGGCAACGTCGATGCCGTTCGTCAGGCCCTGAAGGAGGTCGCACAGCAGGTTGGCAGCAAGGTATGTCCCCATATGCACACCCACGCCTATATAGTTAGCTGACCGGAGTAGAAATCTGTCAAGGTGCCGGTTCCGGCCTCGGCGAGGCCACACATCATCGGCCGCCAGGGTGCCGTCATTCAAGGCATCTTCGACCGCACAGGCGCTCGCATCTCGGTCCCCAAGCCCGACGAGTCGAAACCACTCGACGATGACGATGAAGACAACACGATCGACATCCTCATCGAAGGTGACGCCCTCGCCGCCGAGATGGCCCGTCGAGAGGTCGAGGCCCGTGTCAAGGAGCGTACCTCAAACGTCAACCTCCGGCTCAAGACCGTTGCCCCAGAACTCTTCCCCTTCATCGCCGGGCCACACAACGAGTCTATCAGCAGACTCGAGGAGCTCACCAAGACCCAGATCAGGGTGCCTCGATACTATACCTGGGGCCACCGTCCGCCTCCCCAGGAACCCACCACCCCTGCAGGGCCAGTGACATACACGCCCGACCCTGATCAGCACATCCTCATCGTTGGTGAACGGCTCGCCGCGCAGGAAGCCCGTGCCCAGATCGAACGGAGGGCGCAGGAGCTGCAGCGACGCATCACCCTACGTCACCTCGCCATCAACCGCGGACAGCACCAGTTCATTCTCGGCGACAAGGGGGATTCTCTGCATGACTTCCTTGCCTCGACCGGATGTGCCATCGTCCTCCCTCCTCCATCGGACGATACTGAGTTTCTCACTGTCACTGGCCCGGCTGAGAACATCGATGCCGGTATCAACCGCGCCATGGACTTGGCTACCAGCATGCAGATGGCCAACATTGACGTCTCACGCCAGCACCCCAACGCCCCCTGCGGCTCGGATGTGCATGCTCGAGCTCTGACGGCCTACCTTCAACAGAGACGTGTGATCGAGCATCTTGAGAAGACGCACGAATCGCATATCGTCCTGCCGTTGGAGACCGCCAATCCCCAACGCCTCCATAACGTGGGAAGTATATTCACGCAACGGTAAAAACACTATCCTGGCTCGTTCAGACATCATGAATCTGATACAAGCCCTTCCTCCGTCCAAGCTGGCCACTGTACCCATTGATCCTTACCTGCATGGATACCTCCGTTCGCGTGGCATGCCAAAGCTAAAGGAGGATTACGGCGTACACCTTGTCGTTCCTGAAACCGTTGGTGCATCCGATAGGCCTGTCAACGTAGTTCTCGCCTACGAGGGTCCAGAGGAAGTCAATGCCCAGAGCCCGTGTCTGAGACGACGTCCCTCTAGCGAGGAAGCCGTTGTTTTCCAGAAAGCCCTGCGTGAGGCCACGGAGTATTTGAGAAGCGTGCTGGGTGATCCCAACGACGTTGCCTCCGAATCAGTCCCCATTCCAGTCAAATACCATGACAGACTTCGCCGTTTTGTCACCCAGGATCAGGCCAGCCGGGGCGAAACTCACATCCCCGTTAGCCTCGCGCTAAACGATAACAACGCTTGCTTCCGCGGCCGTAGCGCCGACGTGGCCAGCCTGGTAGCGAAGCTGTCCACCTTCGTGGCCGATCAGGAGCGTGACGACCGTGAACGCAACCACGTAACCAGCTTTGATTTCCCCCAGAAATACGCCAACTTCCTCATCGGCAAGCGGGGTGAAAACATCAACAAGCTCCGTGAAGAGTTCGACGTAGATATTAAAGTTGAAAACGGCAAGGTTGACATCAAGGGACCCCCTGCCAAGGGTGAAGCCGCAAAGGCACGTATCATCGCCCTGGCGAAAAAGCTTGAAGACGAAGCTACGTATGTTCTCAAGATCGCACCGCAGTACCATCGCGACCTTATCGGCCAGAAGGGAAGCCAAGTCAACCGTTTGCAGGAACGGTATAACGTTCGTGTCCAGTTCCCGCGGGCAAACAACAGCGCCGTTGCAGACGACGTATCAATCGCTGACGGAAGCGAAGCCGGTGCTCCTACCAATGGTAACGGTAACGGCAACAGCCGCTCTCGCCCTCCCCAGGCTGCTGACGAGGTGATTATCCGTGGACCCAAGAAGGGAGCTGACAGCACTCGCGATGAAATCCTCTCCCTCTACCAATGGCTCGTAGACCATTCTCACTCTGCGGTTGTTTCTGTGGCGCGCGACCAAATACCATCGCTTATTGGCCAGCGAGGTCGCGAGATGGATAAATTCCGTGCCGAGACGGGTGCTCAGATTGATATCCCTGGCCCTGAGGCCGGTGAGGGCGATGCTAGAGTTGAGATACGCCTTAAGGGAACCAAGAAGCAGGTCGAAGATGCGAAGAAGCTGCTGCTAGCTAGAGCTAGGGAGTTCGATGAAACTGTTACCCGCACCATTGAGGTTGATAAGAAACACCACAAGGCTCTCATCGGTGGTGGCGGTACGTATTTACTCTACTTGATGGTCTAAGACTAAGATGCATAGTGCTAACAAACGGTAGGTGCTAACATCCGCAAACTAATCGTTGAATGCGGCGGACCAGACGACAGCACCGCCTCTCGTGTCGTCAAGTTCCCTCGTGCCGAAAGTGATGAGACAACGATCAAGCTTGAAGGCAAAGAAGCTGTGGTAACCAACCTCATCAAGGCAATTGAAGAGTTTGTTCGCCAAAAGGAAGACCAAGTCACTGTCTCGCTGGATGTTCCACAGGCACAGCACCGCCTCCTCATCGGCCGTGGAGGTGATACCCGCCGCCAACTCGAAGCCCAGTTCAACGTGATTGTAGACGTGCCTAAGCAAGGTACAAACCGCACGGATGTCAAGATCAAGGGCCCCTCCGCCTCCGTCGAGGAAGCCAAAGCACACATCCAAGCCATGCTAAAGGACCAGCAAGGCGAAACCGTCGAGGTACCCAGACACTTGCACCACATCATCTCTGACAACGGTGCATTCTTCCGTCAACTCCGCAACAACCACCAGGTCACTGTCGATCACGCAGGCCACAAAATACCTGCCCGTCCTACCCCAGCCGCGTCCGAATCCCGCGCCGACTCAACCTCCCTCCCTCTCATCACCGACTCCGCCGACACCCCCATCGACACCTTCTCCTGGAAAGTCGTGGAGCCCGGCACCGCCGCTCCATCAGACTCTTCCGAGCCCACAGTCATCCCCTGGGTTCTCTCCGGCTCCCCAGAGAACGTCGCAAAGGCCAAAGCCCTCCTCACCGCCGCCATCCAATCTGCCTCCCAACCAAGTTGCACCGGCTACTTGATCCTCCCCGACCCAAAGACGTACCGTTTCGTCGTCGGAACGGGAGGAAGCCAAATCAACTCCATCCGCGCCCGCACCGGATGCAGAATCAACGTTCCAAAAGGCCAGTCCAGCAGCGAAGCAATTGAAGTCAAGGGCTCAAAGGAAAACCTAGAGCTCGCCAAGGAGATGATCCTCGAGGCCGTTAAGACCGGTCTAGCAGGCGCTGGATCCAGGAGGTCGTAAACATAACCCTATCTCATCCCATCCTGGGCCTCTACTTATATTTCTTGTTTATTGGTTTAAGGCCATCTTTGCTTTCTTTTGGACCGAGGCCAGGCAAGGCTAGGTTGGGCTAGGCTAGGTAAGGTAAGTTGATTGATATCACGTCCATAGCATGCATGTGTACGCATACATCTCATTCATGCACCTATCTATCTCTTCATTCATGTATTCATTATATATATATAGCTGTTGAACGGGAGAAAAAAGGAGTGGCGGATGACAAGACTGACACTGACTGATTGAATGATCAGAAGATGGAGGGAAAAAAAGGAGGGGGCGGGTTAAAATAACGCCATAAGAGCCCTGTTCAGGATGTAGAGTTATATTTATCTCAATGTATTACTCCGTTGTTTTTTTTATTTTCTTCTCTTCTGTATACTGTTCCAACATCTATAAAATATATACAAACTACCAACTATCATGGAAGATTCCCTTGTGGCTAGTAAATTGCCAATTATCCAAATTAGTTACGGGTATAGCAAAACCAAAGACTAGATATACAATCAAAGTTCCAATCAAAGTAGCCAGGAGCAACGCTTCAAAATATACAGTTCTGCCTCATATTCTTCCTTATACTTATCACCAAAAGCAGTGCCATATAGGAATTTTGCACGCTTATCTGCTCCATACGGCCACAATGACCGGATGTACTCCCAATACTCGGGCTTAAAGCCAGCATTTTCCCAATCAATAACACCCGATAGCCGCCCACGAGTGACAAATAGATTAGTCATATGTATATCGGAATGGGTGAAGTAAACTTCATGTTTCTTTTCGTACAGAAAAGAGAGTGGTGGTTTGTCTCTGGGCCCTTTGACATCTTGAAGGAGGCGATCAGTAAAACCGGCGACGGTTTTGAATGGGCCCCAAGCCTGATAGAAGAACCTGTGGTCATTAACGGGGCCCCCTCGCGTGTCTGCAATGAGGTAGTCCGATTTATTTGGAATGCGCCGCAATTCAGCAATAAATTTAGCCAAATCTTCTCCTATCTGTTTCAGTTCTTCCCATGTAACGCGGTAAAGTACCTTGTTCAATGGGTATCCATAAACTTTTGTCATCAAGATAAAACCTGATGATTTATCGATCATGACCGAGTCAATCAATCGCGGCGTACTGATTGATACATGCTTTTCCGCAACTAACAGAGCACTAGCCTCGTTTTCTGTATTTTCACGGCCTTTCTTTAGAACAAGACCGAGTGGAAGATACTTCACGTGTGAGCGTTTTTGTCTAGGATCCCAATACTCTACCATCTTGTCGACATATTCGTAAATCCGTATGCGAGCAAAGTTGGGTATAATGCGCAAAAAACTTCGAAGGAAAAGCCTTACTACCCAGTTAAGCTCTTTAGGCTCTAGCGCTCCGTAAGTTAGTAAGAGTCTGATTAAATATAAAAGTATAGATATTATACCTGGTTTTATGGGCCAGCCTGCTTTAATTTCATTCTCTATATCAATAGTGCGCAGTGGTTCGCAAACGGTTCCATGGATTCTTAGTAATAGCCGCGCGGGCAATGGGTGACTAGCAGGATTTATCGTTGACGGAACCTTGTATAACTCGTTGTCATAGGGTATTATTAGTGGCGTCATTAATTGGGGCCTTGTGCGCTCAAGCCGCCACTATAGGGCTTTATGTTAATAAGGCATCAACATTGTAAGTGTTCGGTTTGAACATACTCCACCGTCCTTTGATTTTGGTGCATCCTCCGGTAGGTATGGAGGTTCTAAGTATGGTGACTTGATGATCTCGAAATACCCATAACGAAAACAGCATCGAATCGATGGCTCCATCAGAATAAGATTTTTGAGAACACTCTCTCTACCTGGCGACCCTAGAAGACTAAACATCTGTTCGGTCTCTTCCTTGGTTATGGCGGCCTCAAGGAGTGGGCGTAGGTATCCCTATCAAGCGTTGAGAGTTAACAGACATCCAACAAAGTGTCCAAATATGCAAGCATACCCCTGGCTGTAAGTCTTCGTCTTCCAGAATCGATGGAGGAATAATATAGATGGGTTTAACGCCTGCAGTACGGCCGGTGATAAAGCAGCGACCACCGTCACGCTCATAAAGCGCAGCTTCAATCTCTGGATCTAAATTCATAGGATCCCCGCGGGACACTTATCACACCGGTTAACCCTCAGCTAGTTCTAAGACCTGTAGAGATTTTTCTTACTCTTCTTCGACAGCACCTTCAACTCCTCGTATATCGAATGGAGAGTCTCCTCCAAAGTACTAGACTCAGAATCCTGGGCTACCCGGTCGCGAACATATTTTGACGAGTCATAAGGAGCTCTCGACCCACCCGCGAATAGATGTAATGCATTGTTCTCAACTGAGGGGAGCTCTGCAGAGTCTATTATTTTGAATGCCTTCACAAAGTCCTCTTCGTATCGGTCATAGCTAGCCGACGGTGCTTCTGCCATGGCTGGAGTATGATCGAATTGTCCTAGATCAAAGGTTGATGTGACGGCCTCTCGAGAAGGTTCAAGCTACAAATGATGTCAATAGAGTCTAACCTTATTTGGGAGGTCGGCGGCTGTAACCGTAACATCTTTTATCCGAAAAACTTACTTTTCAGCCTCCCAACCTCACATAATGCACGAGCATGGAGTAGAGCACTCAACAGGCACCAACAGCCATCCCGGAACAGCAGCAGCCAAGCGCGTCAGCACGCTCACACCCCAAGGGGAATAAGCCTACGTCATCAAAATGGGCCTACATGACCATACGCGCCGAAGCTAAGGAAAAGATATGCAGTTACATTAATCAACCCACTTGTACGCTGGACTCACTACGTATAGGTTGCCCAATTAGCTGACAAAACAAACCCTCAAACCCTTTGGCGACAAATGCTTCCACTTGGTTGGTAGGATCCAAGCCGTGAATACCCTCGGGAAAAGAAATGTGGAAGACGTATCAGGCTGTTCCACACTCTCTGTCTATATTTACACATAGATATGGGGGCCATGACCAGGGAATAGTTATTGACAACCAACCGTATATCCTTATTGTCTAAGAATGTTGGTTCCAGACATGCCCCGGCTGCATGTTTAGTGACGACGGCACGGTCAGGTTTATATTGAAGCGCCGTTTGCCAATGGATTTCATCGGTCTTGTCGATGGATCCGACCGCCTATACCCTGGTATTCCAATTGCTATACAGAAAACATGGGTCATATGAAACTTCATCCTGGCGTTACCAGTCATTTACTGTTGGCAGGCGCTAAACAAGACACTCATAGATGTACCTAAGTATAGATCCAGGTCTTACCAGCCAGTAGTTTTGTGCAACCAGGGTGGTTCTGTTGACACCCATCCCAGGAAGGCCTGACCTTGTCTTGAAAAGAAGATTACCTGCGAGTGGATGTTGGGGTTCATGTTTCTAACAGTGGAAGCAAGATTATGGAATTTGGGCTGCTATGAAGTTATATAAAGCAGCCCAAAGCTCCCTAGTATCATGTTCATCTTGCCAGCACACCATTCCATTTCATAACAATATTCTTTCTAGAACCCTACCCTGAATCATATAATTGCACCTTTTTGGCTTCACCTACTTGATCTTATACATTATCACCATGACCTCCCGTGACGGTGAAATTCCATACCCATCGGCAATCACAAGCGGAGACCGAACAAACAACCCCTCGCTTGAACTAGAGCCAGAAATGCTCTACATTACACTATTCCGTATGCCAAAGGATGGGAACTATCACTGGGCCCTAGTCATCGCAACTACCAATCGAACCGGTGTGGTCTACCATAACACCAACGATGGAGAGGGCTTCTACATCAGCCGCTTCCTTCATCCGCATTTATTGAACTCGGCAAGGTTCTTGGTCGCTCTTAAGGTGTCCAGACTCACAGCCTACGAGCGCAACTTCCATGAAGAATTCCACAGAAGGATCGGTGAAGTTCCAATAGAAGGTCATACATGCCGCACCTGGCTTTTTGATGCCCTTTTCGAGGTTGCCGACCAGGGTCTTATTGACCTTCAGCCAAACAGGGCACAGCTAGTTCAAATCGAAAATGAAGCCCTTATGTACGCTGAAAGGGCTGCCGGAAATAACAGTTACATTACAGTCGCTATGAGTAATGCCTTCAAAAAATAAAATCTCAGTTATCTGGCACAGATACAGCAACATCCTAACATTCGCCATTCGCTGCTATCCCGGATACAGACCACACAAGCCGAATAAAACCGATAGTCCCTTGGTTATGGGCCATGGCTGTTAAGCCTTACTTTGAAACTTTCCTATTAATTATTTCTTCCTGTTTCATCTCTGCATTACTGAGACTACCACTACGCGCAAATGTTCTTAAAAACCCTTAGGTTTTAGCAAAATATACAGAATAGAAGTACCATCTAATTTACCCAGTACAGAGGTCTCTGCCCTGGGTTCTCATTGCACCTGTACTTTAGGGCTGTAAAACCTATACACAGAGTCTTAGATATTTGTCAGGATGAAAAAAGGCAAGCCCGCGCTAATTGGCGGCAGAAGGACTGGTTATATTTAACAATATTTTATTTTGTGGCTGAATTGCGCTAGTTAAAGATTTGTTTATACTATATCCTTTTACCGAGTAAGGAAACCATATAAATAACAGCTAGAGATTAAGGTCGGGGAGGTTTTTAGTAGCGTCCTTCGTGTCCCTTTATCGATTTTAATTTATCTAGATCTTGGCTGTGTTTGTCTTCCATAGGCATTTATAGATGAATCTCACGAGTTTTAGATTGTGGACCGAGCTCACCACGTGATTCAAAGGATTTAAAATACTCCGATATGATTACATAATCTAAACATGGCAATGGTCGTTCCACGTGACATCGCAAACTCCGGTTCAAGTTCAAAAATATAGCATCAAAAAAGACAATGAAGCCAGCTGGCTTTACTTTTGCTGGCAGCAGAAGAGGTTGCATTGCGCTGATGTATGAAATACAAGTATAGTATCCTGCCCTGCATCGCTCTTCGTTGGTATCGCCAATTGCTTCATTCCATGGTTCCGCCACGCTAACTAGTTAACTTAAGTTGACCGTTATCAATGAATGAATACTTGCATCATTGACTCACGACACCCCGTACATACATATATAATGCGATAGAAGAAAGATGAACAGGATCCCTTCGGTCCCGTATGGGTAGTCAAAGGAGCCTCCGACTCAAGCTTGCCCTCTCTTGATCTCACTCCTTTACCGAGCCCCCCGCAGAGCCGAACCTGAATCCTAGGAGACGCGCGGTTGAAGCTAGACACAAGCATCGGGAGTGGTGTATATGATAAGATAAGGAATCATGGAGGCAGACTGGGACGAGGTGTCTCGTATCGTGGTGCCGCCTCCGGGCCCGCATTTGTTGCCTACGGTGGCTACCGCCATCGGGTTCGATGATACGCAGGAGTTGTTGTGGGCGGGCAACGAGTTTGTGAGTTGATACAACCTGACTACCCTCGACGTGATATGGACTATGAACTAAGTGATGCCTTTAGGGCCGCGTGACGTCCTTCCATGGTCCTGAGTTACAACGATATACCTCAGTCAAAGCCCATCCAGCTTCTGAAGGACCGGTGCGGCAGCTCCTCTTCCACGACAAGGGAGTAATATCTCTATCTTCTAAAAGCGTCCATCTAACATCCCGCCGTGGCCTGACACAATGGCATCTCTCCGCTCCAGAAATGGTAGACTTGCGCTGCATGAGCTTTACCACGCATTTGTCTCGCCTCATTGTCGCCGGATGTCAACCTACCATGCTGATAATCGATTTAGACAAGGGAACGGTGGTGGAAAAGATACCCGCGGAAGCTAACTATACCATTATGAAAAAGTCTCGACATCTTTGCGCCGCAACAGATGCAGGGTCAGTTCACGTCCTGAGTCTAACGGACTACAGCCTCCTGAAGAGCTGGAAGGCCCATGGAGCCGTGATTAATGATATGGATGCCCGAAACGACTTTCTCGTCACATGCGGCTTTTCCGTACGGCATATTGGAACACCCATTGTCGACCCTCTTGCAAACGTGTACGATTTGAAATCATTAACTCCGCTATCCCCTGTCCCTTTCCATGCTGGAGCAGCCTACGTTAGGATGCATCCCAGACTACAAACCACCAGCTTCATAGCCTCACAGTCTGGCCAGCTACAGGTCGTCGATCTCATGAACCCGAATTCAATCAGCCTCCGCCAAGCCAATGTCAGCTTCATGCTAGGCATGGAAATATCACCCTCGGGAGAAGCCCTTGCAGTAAACGATGCTGAATGCTCTGTTCATCTCTGGGGCTCTCCAGCCAAAATACACTTCAACGAAATGAGCAAAGAGACGGAATTCCCTGCTGTGGCGTCTCGACCACCACTCCTAGATTGGTCTGCAGATACACCCCTGAATGTAGTTGGTATGCCATATTATCACGATCGCCTCCTTTCTGCTTGGCCTAGCCACCTCGTTTTCGAGGTAGGCAGTATTCCTAAACAAATTGACCCCGCCATCATACCGTATCTGCACCCTAGTGATATGGGTCAATACGCTCCAAATCCACGAAAAACACACAGATACCAGGTTGAAAACACCCGCTGCCAGCCTTCTACGGAAACAGCTTTGGCGGCTCCCAAGTTCCTGAGCGAGAAGGCTAGGGCACATACAAAGTCCAAGTCCCTTGGTGATCAAGACTCAGCGGATGCCTTGGATGGGTTAAAGATCAACGGGGAGGCGGACAATGACCCGTTATTAAAGTATAGTAATGTTGAAATCAAGTATAGCAAGTTTGGCGTGGACGACTTTGATTTCAGGTAAAGTTTTACACCCACTTCCCGCTTCCAAAACAAAGCCTATATATTGACTCTTTCCAGATACTATAACAAAACAAACTTCTCTGGTCTAGAAACACATATCTCCAACTCGTTTACCAACGCACTTCTCCAATTATTCAAATTCATCCCACTTGCCAAAAATCTCGCTCTTCATCATGCTGCAACAAACTGCATCTATGAGAACTGCCTACTTTGCGAGATGGGATTTCTTTTCGATATGCTAGACAAGGCAAACGGCCAAAGCTGTCAAGCAACAAATTTACTTAAAACATTCAGCGGATTCAGAGAGGCAGTTAACCTTGGCCTTTTAGAAGAGAACCTGACCAATAAATCACTCGCTTCTACCATCCAATCGGTCAATCGATTCTTTTTAAACCAAATATCCCATGATTATCGACTTCTTTATCCCAGTTCCGACCAGTTGGATCACGTACTTGCAACTTCAGCAATAGAGTCTGTTCGATGCATGTACTGCCGTAACGAAATCGTCCGAGCAGGAAACACTTTTGTAAGCGAACTGATATATCCCGCAGTCGACATCAAGCAGGCCGCACGTAACCCAGCCTGTCGATTTTCAAACATACTTCGTGCAAGTATCGAGCGTGAAGCTCAGAACCGCGGCTGGTGCAGCACATGCAGACGTTACCAGCAAGTTGCCATCAGAAAAACAGTTGAGAGGATGCCGATGGTGTTGATGATCAATGCAGCAATCAATAATCCTGTTTGCAGACAATTCTGGTCTATTCCTGGTTGGCTGCCTGAGGAGGTCGGAATCGTTACTGATGGTAAACAGATGCGCTGTTTTGAAGGTACAGACCTACAGGCACAGAAACGAGAAAATGCATCCAATTTGCTTGTGTACCAACTCGTTGGCCTAGTTGCAGAGATTGATATTGTAGATCAAAAGAAGCCCCATTTAGTGTCTTTTATCGATGTGGCCATCTCTGCAACGACTCCGACTGGCGAGAGCCAGTGGCATCTCTTCAATGACTTCCTGGTTACTGAAGTTGACAAGAGCGAAGTTTTATCGTTTAAACAACCATGGAAGCAACCATGTGTGCTTTCTTATCAAATATCGACTGCGAGGCATGGGGTAGATGACTCTTGGAAGAACGCGCTGGATACCACTCTCCTTTTCTACGAGTGGTCCATGAAGTAAGACATATCTTACCCTAATATTTGGTTCCGTACAAGCTAATATAATGTTCTATCCTAGCAATTGTCGCCCAATTGAGTCATGTCAGGTTCTAAAACCAGACGAAAAGCCCGCCCCAGGAACTGCTATCGCTCTAGACACAGAATTCGTGGATCTGGAAAAGGCAGAAATCGAGGTCAAGGCGGATGGAACTCATGAAATGATTCGTCCTAGCAAGAGCGGCCTCGCTCGTGTTTCCGTTATCCGGGGCAACGGTAACCTTCAAAGTTCGCCTTTTATCGATGATTATATTACCATCAAGGACCCCATTGTCGACTACGTCACTCAATATTCAGGCATTAAACCTGGAGATCTAGACCCACGAACCAGCACACACAACCTAGTCCCGCTTAAGGTGGCATATAAGAAGCTTTGGCTACTGCTTAACCTGGGTTGCGTCTTCGTCGGTCATGGACTTGCATCTGATTTTCGGAAAATCAACATTCAAGTTCCAAAAACGCAAACCATCGACACTCAATATCTATTCTTTCACCCCTCTAAAAGCCGTCGATTAAGCCTTCGATACCTGGCATGGGCAGTTTTCAAAGAATACATCCAGGAAGAAAACACCAGCCCTTCCCCGAAAACCGCAACAGCTACTCCCGATCTCCCCACATCAAACCCAACCTCAACCCCCGCAGCTACAACCGCAGAAGGCCATGACTCCATCGAAGATGCACGCATGGCTTTACGGCTATGGAAGAAATTCCAAGAATACGAAGACGCAGGCATCGTCAACCAGATGTTAGAAGAAATCTTCCGTGAAGGAGTAAAGCATGGATTCCGGCCGCCTCCTCGCCATCAGCCATCACAATTATCCGCTACCTCTACATACCAGCCCTCAAGCTCTGGGCTAGCAGTTTACAACCCAAAGCTGTCAGGACCAGCCACTGCAGCCTCGCTGTCCTCACCCCCTAGCGGGCGGAATACGCCGGACGTAGCGTCAGGGAGCAGTGCACTGGGCACAAATGGTGGTGTTGCAGATAATAACACACCGACGACTCCACGACAAATGTTCCGACGATCCACCGCGTTGACTCCAACGAGTAGCAGTTATTCAGGGGGTATTGGAAAGTACCCCATGTTTGGAGGAAGCCCCATGCGATAGCACTTAGATTAGTCTTGTCATATATATGGCCTACCCCCTTGTTTCTCCCAGTGATCATGTTTCCTAACAGAGGCTACATCATGTTTCATTGGAATTGCTGACTCTTACATACACAAGGACGATTGCTGACACTCCCTTCTTCTCGAAGAGTACATATGATCATGAACATGCACAGAGATAATACTACATATACTCAGCAATTGTGACATATATATACAATATAGTGTTTGACCAAAAAAAATTCGAAATCGATTTTATGAACATTTCACTCAGCTATTTATAAGCAAGCAGAACGCGCCTTCCACTATATACGGATATCCTTTTCCTTGATACCAAACACAGCCTGATGGTTAGTTATTGTACTCTTCGCTGGCCTAGTTTCATAGCAGAGTTGATTGACCACCCTGCTGCCTTATATCAAGTCTATTATAGCTGTATTATTTTTCCTCTCATATCTTATACCCCCATGGAAGACGTTAAGTGTGATGGTGACGACCACCGGTTCATACAGAAGTATGTCCACGCAATACATAGTCTCAGACTTATCACGGAGATGGTTCAAGACATCGAAGGGAACAAGGTGAGGAGGATCGAGAGCGCCATCGACAAACTCACAGTCCGTTACAGCTTCTTCGTGACGCCAAGCGATGCCCAAATAAGGGCCGACGTCGAACTTGTGTGGAATATGGTATATAAGCTTGCCGTGAGAACCAGCTTCAACAACCAGTGCCAGGAGGCACTGGTACATCTCCTCGTCTGTGTAAAACACAGTCCCCCGGTTCCTAGACTGAAGAAAGAGGGTCAGCCACCTCCGTCGCAGAAGCCACGAAAGCCCAATCTCGGAGAAAAAAAGGGTCAGGGATCAAAAGCAAAGGTAAAGCCTCCGTCGACGTGTTCATCCAGCAACAGCAGTCAATCTGGCGGAGTCCCGATACCCCCAGAAGAAGGAGATATAAAGGGAAGGGAAGAAAAGAAGAGTGGCACCAGTCTCCCTAAAGATGCGGGGGCGGTGGCTGAAGGGGTATCTACACGGTTAGATGGAGTATCGAACGAAGCCAGCAATCCGCCTTCCACTCTCCAGATTGACAAAATGACTCTCTGGCAAGATTTGCCGTACCTTGACGTCTATCTACTCGAGAAGTTCACGAAATTGGCCAATTTACCGCTTTTGGAAAGATGCAACTTTGCCTTTTTCGTTGGCCGGATGATTTCTGCGAGTATAGATGACTATAAATTTGGTCTCCTTGCCCTCTGGCTCATCCGAGAGGCACTGGAAAAACCTCGTACGCTTAACGAGGTTTACAGTGGCGATGAGAACAAAGATGAAGAATCAGAGGCAGAAGAAACGCACACGGAGGGCAAGAAGAAGGGGAAAGGCAAGAAGAATGGAAAAGGCAAGGCGAAGAGGAATGGCCAGAAAAAGCAGAATCAACAGCAGAAACAGACTCAGGGCCACAATGTTAATGGTAAGAGTCTTGATGACTTGGCGCTCAACGATCTTTTGCCTCCGTGTGTCGCATTGATTGAAAGCTGCGGCAAGAAACTTGCAGAGTTTTCAAAGAAAAATATCACCTACAAAGGGGAGAATAAGAAGTGGGCGGTAGTTGGGAAACTTGCAAAAGCTATCGGAGAAGATGAAGCAGGTTTCAGCCTGAAAAGATGGATGTATTGGAGAACACGGCTGAAGTCGTTCATTCGGTATGGGCTCCAAGGCATTGTGTACGATGCACGAAGAGCGCTTAATGTCCTCTGCAACGCAGGCCGAATGTCAGGAATAAGAATCCCTGGTGATATGGAATATTTCCAAAAAGTGGTCAGGTACAGAATAAAGCACAAAGGCAAGGATGCACGAGATACAAACGACGATCTGCAATGGGTTGAGGACTGGGTCGGTCCTTGAGCCATGTAGAATTTGCTACCCTCCGTTTCTGAAGTTCTACTATCATTACCACACCTTATTGTTAAGTATCGTTAGATAGACAAATGCACAATTCAAAGTATGAATCCTCAAGACTTAAGTTATTGAGGCTCATGTCAAGCATTTTTGGCCGAACCTTATAGACGACAAGCTACTCAGCTTACAAATATTGAAATGCAAGGGAAATCTTTAGTGTCAATTCATATAATTATTGTAGTTGAATTTTTATAATTAGACTGTGTCAGATACAATTGGAGTGATCTAACTCGGATATCCAACGAAATCTTCAAATTGGGACAACTAGTTCTACATCCCGATTGATAAAATATCCCTTTCCCCCCCATAGCCATTCCCAAATTCCTCAAATACTAAATCCAGTTAGGAGCATGCTGCTCTACACACAGGTGCAGCCCCGGTAGTTGTTGGTACATCGTCCATCCCTTCCATCACAGCCGTTTTTGTTGCACGGCTGGAAGAAGCCCCTGCTACACCCATATCCGCATTGACAGCCAACGTATTTGCCCTGGTTCTCCCGTTAGCTTTCAGAACATTCCGCAGACATACACTAGATGACTTACAGAGGTGCAGGTTAAACTTCTTTCATTTCCGTTGCAGTTGCTATCCCAGCAGTTTCCGTTTGGATATCTGCACTCGTTGGGGTGGGCGACGTTGTTTCGATTTGGGTAGGCAAAGATAGTAGTCAGGAAGGCCAGGCTGGCAATGACTAGTGACGAGAAACGCATGGTTCCGGGGTAGCTTTGTTGATAGTGGTGGTGTTTGATACTGACGTCTGATACTTTGGATTAAACAAGTTGCTTTCTGATGAGGGAGTATTTGAGATCTCAACTTCGAGGGAGCTGCTATGTTGGTATATATACCCTTTCAGAGGCCTGGGAGAGCTGAGCCGGGTGCTTGCAATAATCAGCTGAGATGCCATCTTGGGATTATTTCACTGATAGGATACCTACCGTAGCTGATACTACTATAAGAAGACACCTGCCGGGCACCTACCGGAGACATGCATAGAATCACATATTGACCGTCCAGATAAAAATTGATTCCTGCGAGATGCCGCGCAGGGATTAGAAACGCCCCTTTTCGAGAGAGGCGCATCGGGGAGATGAGATAGGATCAATACGGCGGTGGTTATAGAGGTGGATGAAAAACCTGAAGGAATCGTATATATATACAATACAAAAAAAATAAGCGATATGGGGAAGGCCAATAGTCAAGGTAATGCTAATATATTGGCCTTCCCTCATCCCATTTCTTGCTCTCTCTCCTGGAGCTGGTGTCGGGCGTGTGTACCGTCACACCCTCGGAAGAGGGCGAGAGTGAGAATTTAACCTTCGAACTCTCCCGACGGGTAGCTGAATCCCATTCATTCACGACGCCGCTGACGCCGCCAATCCATTCCCACACCCTGGAGACATCACCTCCACGGCCCTCACGGACAGAAGCCCTAACATTAGCATTCCCTTCAACTATTGCTTGTACACGCTTCCACAACTTCTCACGGCGACTTCCCCGTAGCTCATCACGTAGTACATCATCGCGCAGCTGACCCACAGATATCCAGGGTTCTAGTGCTTCGCCGCGGGCATGAAGTGCAGCCTGTGTAGCAAGCCGGTCTAGTGTCATACCAACTAAAGATGGAACACGAGCGGCATCAGACCGCCCGGCTAAAATACGCGATCGGATATATGCAGCGAGTAAGCAGCAGATAACTAAAACGAGAATAGGGAGTCGATATGCGAGGAGAGAGAGTCGGAGGTGGCGGCGGATGGAGCAGCTGAAAGATAGTTTTGCGAGAGATGTTGATGTGAGTCTGATGTCTGAGCTGGATGATGGACTGTGGTTTCGTACGCGGTTCTGTTAGTTTCGAAACATAGCATGTCAATAGTCGAATACATAACTTATTGAAGGTAATGGAAGAAGGGGCACTAGGGTTGTAATCCGACGCCCCGTGGAATTGTAGGACAAAAGATATTATTATGAAGAGCCATCACTTACCCTGTGGTGACAACGATCTCTTCGCGCCCGGTTATCTCGCCCAAAGCACCTTTCCAAAGGTCTTCAAATTCTTCATCCGACATTCCCTTCCTTCTCAGATTGCCTACTTTTGCCTGAAGCTCAGTAGCCGTGACTTCTGGTGTAGTAACTACCTCATCTGTCTCTTCGGTGGATTCGCCACACTCGAACTTTGCGCGTTGGGTCCTTAATTCTTCAACGGCTTTATCCGCAACCACTTTGATACGTCGGGCCTTTTCGCCATCTGCTTCGCAGGTAGGAGGTAGAGGGATGATACCGCCCAATGACAGCGGGTGAGGTTTGAGAACAAAACCTTGCTCACAGTCCAGCGTCAAAATTGGGGTAGCAGAAGGCATGCTGGGGGCACGTCTCACACTGTGGTTCGATAATATTTGCCCAAGATGGCACGTTGGTGTCCTCCAAAGACCAATGGGCTTTGCCAACACCACAGTAGCCTATTTCAATCTTATCTCTCCGCCACCAAAGGCCAAAGCCACTTAGCAGTGTTAAAATAACAAACCATGATGCAAAGGCACCGCTACTGCTGCGTTCATTTTGTGACCGGCCTCTCAGTATGGATTTTCGCCTTCCGCCATACGCCTGCTCTTGATCTAGCGCCAACTGTTCGTCAGGCGTGAATTCTTCTCCGGGATCGAAATCAGACTGTTCCTCGAATTTAGGCGTCCTTTCGAATTTGGAAAGTGGCACATCAAATGTAGATCGCGTAGGGACTTGTATATCGTCCTCTTGTTTCACCTTTGCCGGTGTTCGCAGCTCGGATCTTCGCTTTCTCTTCTCTTCGGCCTCGGACAGCCGCCTGAATCCACTCTTTCTTCGATGCTCTGCATTTGGTGATCTAGATTGGGGACTATTCAATGGAGAACTGCCACCCTGGAAAGGGTTATCGTCTGTAAAAGGTGTGTCCACAGTGTAATCACTTTTGATAGCTGTCGGTGTTTCAAAATTATCGTAGTGAGATGCACGGGGGGTAAGATACGCCTCACTTTTTCTCGACTTCTTTCCGCTTGGTCTTATCGGTGTAGCAAGAGGAGTGTTGTCGTAATTCTCCGGCATATCGGTATCTGACGATCGCGGATGTTTGCTTGAGCCCCTAGTTACCCTCTTTGCCGCAGAGAGAGGTGAAGTGGCCCTATACTCCGACTCAGCAGTCGATGCCCTGGTGCTAGATCTAGTCGCTCTTGATCTGCTTCTTTGGCGCCTATCGTATGTCTCGGGCCCCTCCTCATCTACCTCAAGGCTGGGTTCAGGTGCACCGTTATGTGACATATTTGTTATTCCCCTGCTTGTCCTTCGCACCCGTTCCCGCTCACGCAGCAGTTTCTTAGCTTGTGGAATAACCTCACTTTCCAGGATAGCTACCAGTTGAGATTTTTTCGCAGATGCAGGATACGAAATATCATGGTTAACAAGAATGGACCGAAGCCGTGGCACTGTCAGCGAATTCAGGTCGAAATCGGGTTGAAGATAGTAGAGGTCATCGTTTGCCTCTAAACCGGACGCCATGGCGAACGTAGCGATAGGGTAGAAGCAGCGGATATGGCAGATCTTAGAGGAACTTGGAGTGATCTCTCCTTTTTCTTTCCGGGCTTCTTCTATCAACAGTTGCGGTCGTTTTTTGTTTCTTCTCGTTGATGGAAATTTTGTATTATTTGTCAACTTTGTTTGGTCTCCTAGGCAACCACCCGAGAAGCGAGCAAAGGCATCGAGCAAGGCACCTATACAACTCCAACACAACAAGGCCAATAAGTCAATAAATTATTCGCTTTTGCTTCTCTTGAGCTGAGCATTTCTCATATAATCGTTTAAGTTGTTCGTCTTGAGATTTCTTGCGGCAAAAAAAAAAGCAGGAAAAAACAAAACAAAGTCACGTGATAAAACCGCCATGAGTGATTACGTCATTATCATGTGATATTATATTCTATATTATATAAGCATATCCTTTTATCTACAGAGAATAAAAGGAGAAGATTATGAATTGGTAGAGAAGAACAAGATAGATTGGGCATGATGAGAAAACCTGTATGGTAATTATTCTGTTTCTGTCATATTTAACAGCGCCTTGCCCGTTAGACCAGTGTATATAACTTGCAGCCGGGAAACAAATAAGAAAGCAAAAGCAAGACAAAAGACGGCACAACAGGAAACAGCCGAGCGAGTATGATAAATCCATAATCCATCCCCTCTTTCGTTGATCTCCGTAAACTCCAAGCGTAAAAAGGCGACAGTTCCCGTTAACCACAGTTGCTGAGTATACATAAATCAAACATAAAAATCAAGAAAGATAAAACAATATACAAGATTTTTTGGGCGGAAATGCAAAAGATGTAGTAGATCAGACAGATAGGATAGATATGCCACACGAAAGGGTGGATAAACGAAACAGACGGACGATGGTTTAGAGCTCACTTTGGGGCTGAAGGAGCTGCTAAGTTAAGGGCAGATGATTTGGCGGAGGATATGGTTGACTCTGGCATTTCGAGAGAGTAGCCACTAGGTGGGGGCGTGGTAGGGGCTTCATTAAGGTTGATTTGGGCCTTAAGTGCTTTAAATTCAGCGAGTTGGGATTGAAGTTGTTGGAGAATATCTGCCATGGGTACGGCATGGTCGAGAAGTGTGTCGTTTGGTTTGAACGGTTGCATCATGGTTCTGATTGTAAGGGTGTTGGTGCAGGTCTAGTCCGGTGAAAATTAGTACTTGGCTCAAAGTTACAAATGCAGAGAGTTAGTGGATAGCTTACCTCTATACGTGCTACTTGATGTTCAAGCAAGCTCATGACAGCAGCATCGTCAATCTCGTCACCACGGGCCTTGATAGCATTGATAACTTGCAAGTCTGGTTCGAGTAATATAGTTCCAGAAGGGTTTTCAAGGGCACTGCAGAAGGCTTCCAAGCGAAGAGCAATCTTGAGTAGTTGCCAGAACATATCTGCATCAATATTCAGGGTAGAGTTCTTGCCAAGTGTTCCCGGAGAGGATGCTTCGCCGGATGCAACCATGTCCGGTTGAACAGAAAGTCGTCCTGACAGAGCATGGGGGTATAATAGGTATACAGACTCAGGGTTCTCGAGACCTTTTAATTTACGCTCACCAAGGTCCTTGACTTCGAAGCCCTGTGTGCTCAACTGGTAAAGTTCACGACGTGTAGCCTGGCCCAAAGCCTCGTCTCCAAACGTATCTTCTGATGATTCGGAGTTTGTTCGTTCGTAGTCTGCAAAGGCTTCTAAAGTTCTCTCCATCTCCGTAACGAAGTCGGCTGAAACGAAGATCTGCCCGCCGTCAGCTACCGCAGAAATTCGAGATGCACGGTTAACCATTGGCCCGAAATAGTCCATTCTTCCTGTCACAGGATCCTTTTCGCACAAAGGCCTTCCCCAATGCATACCCATTCTGACGGACAGCCCTCTGTATATAAGGTTTCCATCGTCATCATAAGTTTCGCGACATGAAGGGGTTTGAAGCACTTCTGTCGGCCAAGGTGCTTCTAGTAACTGCATTTGACAGGTGAAACACCATAGCAACGCTGCAGTCGCAGTTGAGAATGATACCATGAACGCATCTCCTTCAGTCTTGACTTCAAATCCACCAATCAGTCGCAGCTGTCTGCGGAATAGTTCATTGTGAATCTGAATGGCGGACCTCATAGCTAATGGGTACGTTTCCCAGAGGGATGTAGATTGCTTAATATCGGTGAAGACTATAGCGAGTTCACCTGTGGGGGCCTCAACATGACCCAGTCTTGCCAGGGTAGAATCACTCGGGATATCACGGGCTCTCTTTGCACGCTTGGTGAGAGGGAACATATGTTCATCATTAAGAGGAGAGGGTCTTGATAGACTTGTGCTTCTGAACTTGCTACGTTCTCGCCGTTTGAGATCATGAACACCAGCAATCATGACCATTAGCTTGTTTGTAGCACCGTAAGAAATGGCTAGATCACGAATCTTTTGCGAGGCGATCATTAAATCCCCTCGTTCGGACCTCGCAACGTCAACAACCACATTCGGCGTTACATAGTCCCACAACTGCCCGGATGCGAGGATAATCATTTCGTCCTGAGCCGTAAGTGTAATCTTCACCGTGCTAGGGGCTGCAATAACAGAAGGAACCAAATGGAAGTGCCCAAACGCTCGGGAAACCGATAATTGGTCATTCAACTTTCCGTTGCGAGAAACATACCCACCAGCCCGTCTAATCCGTTCTCGCTCAGACGCTTCTGCGGGGTCATGATTTTTGGTAAGATGCTTGAACTGCCCGTTTCCTTGAACTAGCAGGGCCTGGGCATCACCGACGTTAGCGACGAATAGCTCCATATTCTGTAGATATAGAACAGTGGCGACTCCTCCCGAAAAGGCATCTTCCCGATTAAGCAGCTTAGCGGCTGTAGGGTTGCGATCCCAGTGACGTGATTCCTTATCGTCCACAGGCTTATATGCCGCAGTAGCCATATCCTTGTTGAGAGCCAAAAATGTTCTTCGTAGAGCGTCTTCTGGGGTTTCGCCGTTTTGTTTGCGGAGCTTCCCCAGTTCCTCCATGAAAGTTGATGTAAAGTTTTCATGCAGAAATTTTGCAATCTTGGAACCCCCACTCATTGATGGCTGGCCATCAAACAAACCAATGATTGTTTCCATATCACTACCTCTAAAGCGCGGCACCACCATATCCATCATGGATAGATGTTCGTTCCTGCCAAGACTATCCGCCAGGCCATATGCAATGTATCCAGACAATGACGCAGAGGTTCGTACACGACGATCTTCTGTTTCTTCAGGGATGGTAGGGATAGTAATAGTAACATCCATCAAGCCAAGAACACGTATGTAAGTCAGCGAGCTGAAATCTGTCAAATCTGTTGACGGCGTGCCATCAAGACTTGGTGTATAAGCACTGGAGGGGTTGATGCCAAATCGTTTGTTTCCGGAAAAATTGAGGTATCTCAGGTTATGATTCCAGTTCCAGTTCCAATCATACGGCCAGTTGGAAATGTTATACTTAAGTGAATTGCTTCCCACGTCAAGGACTGCAAGTTTATTTATCTTGCAAAGCTCTGCTGGAAGGACTTGGAATTTATTGCCATTGAGATGGAGCACCTTTAGGTTACTTGATTCCTCCAGGTCGTCGGAGGGTAGAGAACTAAGTTCATTTCCGGACAGATAGAGCTCGGCAAGATATTGTAATCGCCGGATGAACCCAGGAGGCAAGTCCGTTAGGCCATTATACGACAAATTCAGCACCCTCAACTCCGTTAGTAGCGCGATTTGATGGAAGATGTCGTCTTCGAGACGGTTATCAGCAAGGTAAAGTTGTCTTAGCGAGCTAGCAAAGGTGCTTGCTATTCGTTGTGAAAATGTTGAATCTTTCCTTGATTCAGCAGTTGCACGAGATGCATTTGATGATTTCCTTCCACCAGGAGAGCTCATAGATGGTATCGAACCTTTCCTAGTCGAGTCAGGGGGCGTGCCGACCTGTAGACGACTAGTAGATGCATGGCTTGGTCGTCGGAAATCATAATCTTCGCTCCTCCCGCTAACATCATCGTAGCTATCAGCACGAAGCAATGGCGTCCCCATCGGTGTTAAGCTATTAGAGGATTCAGATGGTGGGAGCGGCGGGGAAGGAGCTGGTTTGGGGAACATTTCGAGAACATTGGATGAGACGTTTAGGCTCTCCAGCTTAAGACAATACCATATCTCAGCAGGGAGCCTGTTAAGATTACATTCCCGGAGATTCAGACTTTTTAGTTCTGTTAGACAACCTATTGACGCGGGTAAGATGGAAAGGGGGTTTTTTGCGAGGTTGAGATGCTCAAGCTTCTTCAAAGAGCCTATGTTAGGAGAGAGTGTGACGAAGTGATTTGTGTTTAGGATAAGCTTGGTTAGGTTGGGAACGTTAGCAAATAGAGAGTCTCTGAATTCAACCAATTTAGCGGATGCAATATTTAGAGAATGAAGCGTTGGTAGCGGGGAAGTAATATCAAACTCTGTAACGGGGCAATGGTCAAGTACCAAGGTCCTAAGCCTAGGGAAGGAACCAGAAAAGGCAGACACGGCGTTGTGGCCAACTAGAAGGGTTTCCAGCCGGGGAAGAGAAGACATGTTGTCAATCGAAGTGATGTTGTTGAACCGCGCATCAACCTCTTTGAGCTTGGTAAGGCCCTTGAAAGTCTCGACAAGCGGCCCACTCAGGCTATTATTGGTAACCCATAGCCGTTCCAGGGAGGTGAATTGTCCAATAGTCGGTAAATCCTCGATTTGGTTGAAGCTTATATCCAGGTCAACCAGACTAGTTAGGTTTCCCAAGAAATCAGGAAGAGCACGGAAATTATTTGACGACAGGTTCAGACTTCTCAGTGAAGGGAAATCCCAAAAGTTAGCAGGTAGGCTGGATAGCTTATTGTTTGCCATCTTCAGGCTGACGAGGCCCTTTAACTTGTGTAGATTGGCATGTTCAAGCTTTTCCAGCCTGTTGTTGGATATGTCCAGGTAGGTCAGCCGAGAGGCCAAGCTAAGACTCGGAGGTAGGTGCCAGGCTTCATTGCTCGTAAATCTAATCTCTCGCAGGTTGATACAGCTCTGAATGAAATCCTTAGGAACGTCCAGGGCCAGATTCTTCGAGAGGTTTAGAGATATAATTTCTGACGCTTTCTTATATAGTTTGAGCGGTATTGTGGCCACACTTCTCCCTTCAAGGTCGACGTGGCTATACTTCTGGTTATCTGTGAAGCCCAGCTCAGGATCGAGATTCGAATAGACACCTAGTTTAGTAGGAAGGAAGGTGAATCGACATATGTAGCTATTGTCTTCACGCCCTATCTCGGTGATACGATCGGACATGTGGTAGCCAACTTGCTGGAGGAGACGCTTCTGCATCAAGATCGGACGCTCGCTGGGTTCGAGGGTTCGACTGAGATCATTCTTTCGCATCACTATTTCATAATTATTAAGGTCTTCTTGTAAGAATGACTTGCGCCCCAACATCTCCAGAAGCTGGGTGACAGTAGTATTGAGGCCGGCAGAAAGAGTAGCAAAGGTCGAATCGATACGGAAAACACGTATACAGAACGGATGGCCGTCTTCGTCAACATCCATTTCAGGACCAGCATCAGCCACGCTAGACAGGCGTGTGCCTCCATCTTCTGTTGGCCGTTTGACTTGCCAGCTATCAGGAGGATGCCAATCATCTGTCCCAATGAGATCTAGCGGAGCCAGAGCCTCTCCGTTGGCAAGGAATGGCTTTGAGCCTCCAAATATACCAACACTGGTGTCGGTTGGCGATATGGCGTCAGGATGGGTCACTATACCAGACATATCACCCAGGTTGGTGTCAAGAAAGACATTGTTAACGTCATTCTTGTCGCGACGCTCCCTTCCGCTTTTCCCACGGCGACCGTGCCGGAGCCTACTTGGCCCTATTGCAGACAGCGCTTTGCTGGTGGAACCCTCTTTCTTACGGTCAGGGTCATTATTCTCCCATTGCCGCGAATTCGAATCAGAACTGCCCTTTCTACCACGAATTATGGAACTTGGCTCGGCGCCGAAATAGCTAGGCACTTTCCCCGTGTCCTGGACGGACTTTGAAGACGAGGGCAAGTTCTTGAGGGGGTTGGTGGGTGCTTTGTTCCAGCGGATGCGGTCTAAGAAGGATCTTTTGGGCGCAGAGGAGTAAGGGGATGATTGATCACGTATGTCTCTGACATTGATGCTCCGTGTGCTAGGCGTAGGGCTGGCGGAACGAGCGCCCAGCGTGGTAGAGGAACTCATCGGGGTCGGTGCCTGCAGGCTATGCTCTCTAGACGATCGCATAAGGGGTGGAATCTCATCACGGCCAGAAGCAGGCCGCGACGGGATGGGGGAGCTGATATTGGCGCTGCTGGGGGGGTCTTCCTTGCTCTGAGTATAGCGGTGACCGGTGAGATGAAGTCGATGTGTCGGGCGCACCTTGGGCGCAATAGCTGGTTGAGGCTCAGAAACGTCAGTGGGAGCTTGCCGCACAGGAGCTTCACCCAGGTTCGGAATATCCTTAAAATCCTGGTACTCCCACGGAGTGACTTCGCTAGAAGGTATGGGGGTGCGCGGGCGAGCGGGATCAGGGGAAGCAGTTCGATCGATCAGTGAATTTGTGGATCCCTTCCGCACTCTGCCAGCAGAACCCGTTCGCGGCCTCGAGCTGGACAGTCGACTTGACGATCTCAACGTTGAAGGAAACGAAACGTCCTGCTGGTCGAAATCGTCGCCGAATATTCCCTGGAGTCGCTTGTGGAATCTTCCCCCGCTGGAACGAGATCCTTGGCTACCGACGGTGGTCGCGCTGGCTACAGACGGCCGTCGAAGGTTATCTCCATCGTCCTCGTCCTCGTCCGGACGAAGAGAATTCGACGGCGCCTGGGAGGTGAACGGCTCGAACGAGGGCGACGACTCTAGCTCGGGTGAGTCGTGGTAGAATGTTCGTTGTTGGCTCGCATCGGACGGCAACTTGGGCGAGGATGTTGCGCTAGGGCCATGACTGACAAGGGCCAACTTAGGAATGGTGCTTTTTCCAGGATGAACTAGTTCTTCGCGATGTGATATCATATTGAAAACCTTTTTCGGGTTTCCAAATCCGTATGATGTTCGCCGCTCCCTGGGAGATATATTCGGGGAGTTGGTAGGAAATGCAGAAGCTATCGTAGCGCCCGCGCCAACTTCGGATGAACTACTTTTTGAGAAAAGAAAAGGAGTACGGTTTCAAGTCAGAAAATATTCCCACGCAAAAGGTTTTTTTTTTATACAGCCGGAGAGTGAAACGAAAGCTACACTCGGAAAAGAAGGGGATTTTTGGAGATGGGAAAGGAAGAGGCTTACTCGCTACCCTCCTCCCTGTATCTGTTGCTGGGCCGGGCCCGGGAGTTACTGTCATCTTGTTTTACCGTATCCTCAGAGCGCCTGCTACCCGTGCTGGAGGTCTCCGAGCCATTGCGGGCATCCGGATATCGAGTTGGGTCCTGTGGCATCGACATACGAGCGAGATTAAACACGGCCAGCAGTATCAACCATCGGTAATAGCCTTATATCCCAAACCAACCCTTCAAAGAACAACCAAAAAAAAATTGAAGAAAAATAGGGAGAAGAAAAAGTTGTCTGCTGCCACTCAATGCAAAAAGAATAGGCAAACACTAGGCGCTCTGCGTAGTTATACAACTATCACGGTCGTCCGTCAAGCGCAGGTCGCCAGAATGTTGACGTTGTTAACAGCGTATAGAGCATCCAAGGCCTGCCCAACCTGTACACTATAAGGAATGGCATTCGACGAGAGAGAGGCTCAGCGGTACGACAGCTTCGAGCGTATCAAGTGGAAAGCAACAAACAGTGCTGGTCGATGATGGGCGGTGATGCGCAAGCGATGCTGAGCTAAGGACCGCAAACGCGCAAACCGACCGGACAAGGCCTGCAACAGAAAGAAAGCAGCAGGCTGGGTTCAGCGTCTCTCTCTGTGTCCGTCCAGTCACTCCGTTATTCTCGCAGGTGGGCGCAGGAAGTAATACAGTTCGTCATTGACACTATAAGGTCGATCTCTCTTGTTTGCCCGTAACACCAGTATGGAGGCGTTGTCCGGCTTGCATAGTAAGATTTTCGCATCAACCGGGGGTGCGCGTTCAGGTTGGCTCGACTCCTGCAGTGCTCCGTTATGAAACTCTCGCGAGACTTTCTGGCTGAATCAAACCAGAGTGCGCGAAGGGTCGAGAGTGTTCGAGATGTTGCGGAAGCTCGACGTTGTTTTTCTTCTTTTCGCCTTCAAAAGCTGTTTTGGCGGCTCTGCTCACGTGACTAGTGTAGTCAGCAAAGAAAGAAAAAAGACGTCAAAATCAACATCAAAACATCGACAAGACGAAGCAAGACAAGCGACAAGCAAGGATCTGAGATGGGATCTGGGTGATCAGGACAGCTAGAGGCACGAAGGATCCCCCCACAGGAGCTCTGGACGCTGAAACAGCTCCATTACACCTGCAGTTTGAGATCTCTTGCCGTTGGTTTCGTCTCCATCAAGATACCCTCCCTATATATACCAAGCATATAGGTGTGTATATATACTGTGTATACCCACTTATCCAGGCCAGGGAGACCGTTTCCTGGACTTTTGTTGAATTTGATACCACGGCAGAATCTACGCCCGCTATCAATGCAAGACCGTCCATCGACAGAGACAAAGATTCAATCTACCATCTGTGGCAGCTGTTCAGACCAAGCCAGGAGACCCAAGTCCACAGGCCTATCACCCATATAGACGAAACACGGCAATCCTGTATTCTGGCATCTCCAACAGTGAGCCTCTCCCAGCACGGCCCGGACGGAATATAGCTACGTGACGGGTAGGACTGCGATTGTTTCACCCTGTCTTGCTGTAAGACCTTTTATGTTTCCACTGCTCCCAATGTCTTGAGATCTACGATGACTGCGGATTGTGCATGAGACCGAAAATGCTTGAATATTTTATTTTATCTTCATTTTTTTTTTTTCTACTTTCCAGGTTTATTCCTTCACCTCCAGCTTCTGCATAGCTTCATCTACATTCTCTCCAACAGAGGCCTTGGTACTGCCTTCGCCTTGAACTGATCCGTCTGGCTGAGCGGTGGCATTCTTTGCACCACCAGGGTACTTACTACCCTTGTCTTTTGGTTTCTTCTGTTTCTTCTCGGATGCGGGAGGAGGCGGGTAGGCCTTCTTTGCTAGTTCCTGCCACTCAGGGTCTGCGGCGTACGCGGCCTGGATGGGAGCAAGGATATTGTTCAAAGCCGTGGTTATGGCGTGTTTTATGATTTGAGGTGTTAACTATCATTCAGATTAGTTGAACGTTGCTGTTATAGAGAGAAAAAAAGTTGGGGGATAAGACTCACTTTATCAGCTTGATAGTCGGCCTTGACCGCGTCGATGGAATCGTACACCACCCGCCCGCCTTCCTCCTCGCTCCTCTCGACCGCAAAAGCACCCTTGCCATCCGCATTCTCCAGTGCACTAACAGGAAGCAAAACATATTCAACAAAGCTAATCATTCCGTTCCCTTCGGTCTCCTTGGGCATCGCGTAAGCCTTGCGGATCTTCTTCTTAACAGCTTCCGCAGTATCGAGAATGTCGATCTTCGAATCCGGGTCGGAAGCAGACATCTTCCCTCCAGCCAGACCAGGAACCATAGGATTCATCAAGTGTGCTCGTTCCTTATACCCAATGCGAGGTAACGTCTCTTGGGCCAGGGTGAAGATCTTCCTCTGGTCGACACCACCAAACTGCGCATCAACGTCCAAGTGTTCTTCATCCAGAGCCTGCATGAGCGGGTAGATGAGTCCAGACAGCGGCGCATTGTCAACTTGCTTGACGACCTCTGCACCAGCCTTTTTGGCATCATGTTCAGTTACCATGCTGCTTAGCCGGAATATATCCATTGTATACTTCGCTGAGAGCTGGTAGGAGGATCCGAGCACAAACTCGAGTTTCTCGATGGGAACGTGTATAGCCTTAAGCATTGCTGTTATTACATAGCGGTAGTATTCGGCGCGAAAGTTGACGAGGTCAATGGGTGCTTTGAGGTTGTCGAGGAAGCCGTGGATATCGGCCAGCAAAATCTTGACGTGACATCCTGCACGGAGAAAGTGGGCGATTTTTACAATGGGTACAAAGTAGCCACAGTGCGGCCGGCCGGTGGTTGCAGTTCCTAGACAAGACACATTTTAGCAATGTGTCCGCGGTAATAAGTCTCATACGCATGGTCTCTCTTTTTTTATGACTCCCTGCTAGTGGGGGCCGCACCTAAGTAGATTTTAAGGGGTCTGTTCTGCTTAACGATGACATCCTCGATGATCTCTGGTTTGAGAACCTCCTGCAGGTTCTGAGTGATCAGACTGATCTTCTGCTGCGGTGTTAATTCTGACCCCATGGCTGCAAGCTGTTAATATCGTGAACTTGCTTGCTTCTTCCCACTTTTGCTTCGTGGGGAAGTTTTTCCTTTCTTCTTAATAATTGATGTGTAAGCATCACGTGATTGTTAGTCATCATACAAAAGCCGCAGAAGAGAAGAAAGCCTCCAAGCGGTTATTCGAAACATTTGATACCAACGCTGAGCTATCCTATACAAGCTTAAAGGAAGCTCTACCCTCACTTACACTTGGCTCTCATGCTTGAAACTTGGTGCAAAGGACACGAACAGCGCCCAAGTGTATGGTATTATGGCTATTTATGAAAAAGGATACCCCCGGAGCGTTGTGCAGACCATCTAGTTGGCATGGAACATCCGGACCAAACATCTCCCCATGCAACACTGTAGAAGATATAAGCTGGCGAGTCTTCGGCCGAAATGGTTACACTGCCTCGCCTATTATACATTCAACGAGACTAGCGTGGTCTCGCGGACGCAAGGACGACATGGGTATCTTGACGGGCTTGCAATGCCTATAAAGTCGATGGACTTCTCCCTTGGTCCATCTATTCTGTCAAACACTTTGAATCCAAACAGCTTGAATCCAAACACCCAATACCAATATCCAATATCGAGATTATCACAATGCATTTCACCCTTCCAGTACTGTTTGGCATGATGGCCATTCTTCTTCCTCACGCCACTGCCCTGCCACATCCAGCCGACGGGGGTGTAGCTAACTTGCCGTCATGCTGGGCGGTCTGCTGGGACGCAAGCATCACCTGTCCCAAGATAAAGCCTGTAGGTAGCCAATTTGATTCTCTTTTATATCTACAGTCGCTGCCCGATAGAATTGCTAATGTAGTTTTCCACACTACAGTATCGCAGACAAGATGGGGTAGGTTGAATAGAGATATATCCTCTGTTATCCTCGGCTAACCTACATATACAGGACTGTTGGACTTGTTGCAGTAATCCTAATTGAATGAGGGCGTCCGCTGGTGTATCGTATACAATGTGCTAAGATAACTGTTGGGTTTATATTCATCCAGGATCCTTGTTCCTAGTATTGTAGGCCTCCACTTTTGTAGAGAACGCCTCCCCGCTGGTGGATGTGGTTAGAAAGATGCAAACAGAGTGTATAGAAGTAGGCGGGAGAAACGAGCCAGGGCTAGTGCCCTTCGATATTTGTAAATGTAGTAGATACTGAAGAGGAAGAACATGCTATGCAACAGTAACACCTCATAACGCCTGCGCTAAAGCTGGCCTCAGTGCTTAAACCAATCCTGAATGCGCTTTAAGGCACGTCTTTTTCCTATCTCTTACAATTGGTCCTTTATACTTGGCATGGCTTTGACGTCATGAGCATATTAATTACACATCGGGCCGTACCGCACACTATATTTAAACTGAGTAAAGGCCATTAATAAATCTACAACTTACTATGTACACAGTGCAGTTATACATGGGAAGAGGTGGAAACGAGAAAATATTCTATAGCATGGCTACGTATATATATAGATGTATTAGATTGTCAGAGAATCACTTGGAAGGGCATCTTGGCGCTTATTATCAGAGTTCCTTGCTCTCTTTGCTTGCTTGTTCGAGCCTTGAAGGACATCGTCATCATTCGGGTGTGCAAAACTCCACTGTGCGGCTTCATAAAACTCGGGCTAATCAGATGTGACTGTGTCCGAGTCATCTTGTGTTATTGGAGTCGATGCGACTTCATCAGACGTTGAGAGAACTTCGGATTGAGATTGCGCGTGCCTCTCATTTGCAGATCTGATAAACTTATCCCTCTGTTCTTTTGCCCAATCCCGTGCGTTTCGATATGCAGTTGCTCCCTTTCGAAACGCTTCCGAATCTCCTGTCATAGCCAAAGCTTTAAGCTGGGTCATAATGTATTTAGGACCGCCACCGTGTTCTGGGGTGGGTGCAGTGAGATGTGTTGTATAGAGCTTGAGCATACCCCCGTGATAAGTCGATGTAATCGTGTAGGCGTTACCATCATATATAGGTTCCTGCTTATATGACTGGAGACAATGCATTCCTCGAGCACCCAACGCACCATTGTAGCAAGCTTGGCGAAAGGCGACAGCAAGGGATCCATCTAGTCCCTTTACTTGCAAGAAGAAGTTAGGGGCTATAGGACGGTGGTCCGACGTTGTCGGGACAATTTTATGCTTAAGATCCTTCCTGATTTCCGCCTTGAGACCCTCAGGGCGAGCACCAAGGAAATGGTCCGGCCTTGCTGGTACCAACAAGCCATCTGTCAGAGGAGAAAGGTTTGCAAATGAATAATCTCCTCCAACACATGTAGCGTCTCCAGTATCTCCATCAATAGTTTTGATAACTTCTATTAATATGTTCTTCTTCCGGTAGGCCTCTGTATCTACTTCGTCAAATCTTTCAAACTCCTGCTCGGGGAACCTTGAGGGTGAAAGGGAGCGCCTTGGTTGGGTCAACCTCTCAATTATCTCTTCCCAATTATTTGGCTTTGGAAATTTTCGACCACCAGAATACTCGAAACCCTTAGGGTAAATTCCATGTTTAACGAGGTGTTGTTGAAAGTTCCGGTTGTAGCCCGCCGTTGAGGACGCCGTGGCGACCCTTCTGGTGCTGGAGCTATTATCATCAGGAGAAGCTGCGCGTCGCTTCCGGCCCCGTAAACTTGCTGTGCTCATTGATTGATTGATAGTTATGGATATCAGTCACTGGGAACTACTAGGCATTAGTATAAGTACAACCGTGATATAGAAGTGCATACATCTTTAAGATCCGATAAGTCAGGTCCACCTTGTCCAGAGAAATTCTTCAATTATCTCTCGTATGTTCCGTTTGCAACTTCTAAAGGGTCGGTAAGATATGTCTGAGTCCGACTCTTCAACGTGGCCTGAAGGCGTTGGCCCGTGAGTAGTACTCTTTTGCAACGACAAGGCTCGTCTATCTTTCTGACACAGCTGCGTCGATCGAGCTCTTCCAAAACGTCCTTTTTTCATTATCCCCATATTTTGGGGGGCGCATGCCAGCGTCTTTAATCTTTAATTGGTTTGGCCGCGGAGTCAGCTCTATGCAAGCGGAGAGTTGGTCATACCTACATAGTATGCATCTGCATAGAAAGCTAGCATCTCCAGGGTTGCTGCCCGCGGGGCTTGCATGGGAAATACGAACCCGCACCAAGTAAGGAAGATATGATACCCTTTTTGCCCGCCAGGGTGTAGAAGAATGTAGACAATACATAGAATGATGGAAGAAATAATAAAGGAGAACGAAAAATGGATTAGAGAGGTAACATGTATCTCCATCGTGCATAATCCACGATGATGAAGCAGTGGATTGTTGAAGAGCCGCAACACAGACGAACATCCCATCTTTATGTAGGGCCCCAGAACGATTATTATTTAACTATACGCTGGTTGATGAAGGTGGCCGCTAGACGTTCACGTAAAACGCTAACTTCCGGTGCGGTAGATGAAGCAACTGTCGCGATCTTACCGTTGCCTTATAACGAGGCCGCCCACAGAGTCGTCGTTGAGGAATACCATTTCACACATGGGATTCCAAACTGCTCCCCGCTGGAAGCATACGGCATCGCATACGTTCGCAGGCTGGTCTCGTTGAAACTCTACGAGTTCCAACCGTCTGCGACGCAGTTCACTGTCCTCCTGGAGCATAATGATACTCTCACGGTATCGTCTGGGGGGGATGCTCTGATTGATCGAATGATGACGATACATGCATTGTTGGCGTTTGGGGTGACTATCCTTGGATACCTGCAGTGATCTAGGCCTTATCGTCATCCGGTAACCAGTGTTGGATAGAGAAAAGGTTGGTTATTGGTGACAGCTCAGTCAACTTCGTGCAGATCGAAGGGATGTCGCACTTCTAATGCCTCATGCTTTTTTTGCTGAGCCAAAATATCTTGATCGTCTCCGTATCAGGGTTCAGTATGTCTATCTCAAGACTGGTAGAATATGAGGAAGACAGGTATACAGATCATACTGTGCAGTCCGCCGGAACCCGATGTTGAACAGCATCAAGTCCAGAACCAGTTGAGCTTCAGCCTCTCCCACCTTTTCTCGAAAAGATAGGTGGAATCATTCTCGCTGTACGGAGTAACCATCGCAGAGTCATGCAAAGGGTATGCAAAGTGTAAAGGACTTCCCTGCAGCCATGCTATCGGGCCAGGTTTCATTCGCTGTCCGATGGCGGACTGTGCGACACAGCTGATATGAGCTCAGGTTACCCACGCCCGTTGCCATCGGTTGCACCGATGACAAGACATATTTCCAGGGAAAAGAGTTCTAACCGGGACACCCGGCACGACCTTATCTGGCCTCTCTCTCTTCCTCTCTCTCTCCTTTTTATCCTTATCTCTTCTGATACTGTCGACGGGGGAATCACTAGCACCAGGGCGAGGCGGTGGACTATGCAGGAACCAAGACAAGGTCTCAGGGCCTTTCAGGATAGTTGAAAGTAGCCGTGTCTATAAATAAAAAGGCTATCGGAAGCGGCTTAACCTAAGCAGCAACTATGCATGTACAAGCTGGCATAGATTAATGCCACCACCAATCCAGACTTCCACCAAGAAAAAAAATTCCTGGGAGTTGCGAAGCCGCCTACCTGACTAGTCGGTACCTTGCATGAGATAGTTACGTGCAGGCGTACTATGCAACTTCTCGACGCCCTCAGCCCTCTCTCTCCCGCTCTCGCTTGTTGGGTTGGTGTCTTACGGGAGCGCTCGCTGACCCTTTTTGACTCAGCGATGGATGTAGCCTGCACGGAGGATTAAGCAAGCGAGAACCAAGGCGTGTCATGGGATGTAACATGTAACGTCGGACAAAAAGCATGGAGAGCTTTTTTTATCCTGGTAGAGTAAAAAGAAGAAAAAAAAGCACTCCCATGCAGTGCTACCGGTGCGCGCCGTGCTGGGAAAACAAGCGACTCTGCCCGGTGGGCTCCATCTCCATAGTGACCATCTGGTGCCCCCCTCACACAACACTGGCGCGCTCTCTGATTGCTCGATAGGTTTGCTATCTGGATGGCGTGGGTCCTGCTATGGCGTGGCTGGGTTTTTAAGCGACTTTGACTTGAAATATGACAGACAAGCCAGACAGGCCGGCCAAAAGAGACTGACATGCGGGTACCCTAGTCGAAGCTGTAACCAGTCCATCATCCGTCCTATTCTCGACTATATCTTAAGATGTCAGTAACTATTTGCCTTGGGACAGAAGTGTTCAAAGGAGGGAAAAAGGAGAAGTACAGGCTGCGTCAGCTTGGAGACCGGGGCTCCAGGGCATCAGGAGAGAGATGACGCTGGCCGAGAGGATCTTCTCCATCGTTCGACTCCATCGTTACCCATCCTTGGGACTATCGCATGTCTCAGTTCGCGCGAGAAGAGGCTGGGGAGAGAGTTGGACGCTCCACACGATTGGCGGGAAAGTCGGTGGTTGGTTTTGCTTTTTCTGTCCTTTATTGGTGTGGCTGGCTCTACCTCTTCGTATAGAACATATATAGGCCTCCCTCTGCTTCTCGGGATGTCTACTACTTCTTTTCACAGACTAGACACCGGTCACCTAGAGCACATCTACTACAGTCCAAGATGAAGTTCACTCTCGCTGCCGTCCTCCTCGGCGCCCTCTCCGTCTCTGCGCAGACGTCCACCAAGTGCAACCCGCTGAAGCAGAGTACGTAGATATCTATCACAAGAAGAAGAGCAAAGGACTGATGGCTTTATAGGTTGTCCTGCCGACCCTGCGCTGTCTGGAACGGCAGACTTCGACTTCACCCACGAGTCTCCTCGCTTCCATGCCAGCGGAGGCGCTCCAACCTACGGCAAAGACGGCGTGAGCCTGACCATAGGCAAGCGTTTCGATGCCCCCAAGCTCACCTCAGACTTCTACATCATGTTCGGACACGTCGAGTGGGTGATCAGGGCTGCTCCGGGCAAGGGAATCGTCTCCTCTGCCGTCTTGCTGTCTGACGACCTTGACGAGATCGACTGGGAGTTCCTCGGCGGAGACAACGCTCGCGTGCAGAGCAACTTCTTTGGCAAGGGAAACACCGAGACCTACGACCGTGTTGGCTTCCATGATGCTCCAAACAACAATGGACAGTTCCATTCCTATGCCGTTGACTGGACTGCTACCAAGACCACCTGGTATATCGACGGAAAGCCTGTTCGGGACCTTACCCCTGAGACCTCCAAGAACCAGTATCCCCAGACACCTATGCGAGTCCTTGCCGGCAGCTGGGCTGGCGGTGACCCTTCCAACAACAAGGGAACCATCGGTAAGCCTTTTTCCCCCCCATCTCTCTTTTACTTTCCTGTTGCTAATGACGACAGAATGGGCTGGTGGTGAGACGGACTTCGGTCAGGTCCCTTTCACCATGTTCGTCAAGTCAATCAAGGTGACGGACTATTCCACCGGCAAGGAGTACCGCTACACCGACATGTCTGGCAAGTGGGAATCTATCGAGGCTGTTGGCGGTAAAGTCAACGGCCAAGGCAAGCCCGGCGAAGGCCCCAAGGTAGAGTCCTCCACACAAGAGTCCAGCCCAAGCACCAGTGCCCCTGCACCTGTTCCCACTGTTCCTGGAGGCGGCATCGGAAACCCCCAAGCACCCACTACCGGATCCTCTCCCTCTCAAACTAAAGGACCTTCCCCAACGATGACTTCACTCTTAGGGCTCCCCAGCAGTTGGATCGTAACCGAAACTGGAACTGGGGGAGTCGTTACGCCGACTTCGGCTGCTGTAAGTGAGACTCTCCTATTTAGCCCCATTTATCACTCGTGGACTAGCATAACTAAACGGGAAACATTAGGAAACCTCTCATCCTTCCGATCACACCTCCCGGTCTTCTCAACCTGTCTCGTCCTCGGCTTCGGTCTCCTCTGGTAATGGCCACGGACATGAAATGACTACCTCGTCCGGTTCTGGTAGCACCAACACTGGCTCCGTCCCCTTGCCCACTGGAATGCCTACGGCATCCGGTGGTGGCAGCAGTGCATCTCCAACCAGCCCAGCCATGCAAGCTCCTGGCAGTGCCGGCGCAGTTAACTCCGTTAGCCGCACCCTGGCCATCGCCTTGTGTGCCATGGCGGTCTGGGCAGCTCTCTAAGCATATCTGTCTCTGCTGTTGATGCCCTGACGATGCTGATGCTGATGCTACCGACGACACCATCATATCATGACTTGAAAACCTGCATATACATCCTTTACACGCACATATTCCCTCTTGATGCTGCCAGACGACTCTCCCTTATTCGTACATATATACCATACATACACCCAACTCGCACATACAGACATACGTACACGAACCTCCGCAGACGACCCATGACAACGACAACGATAGATCACTAGAGACGATAGACCATCCTTCTACACGACAAATCCCCCAACTTACACCGATGAGAAAACACAAGTTCAGCACCGATTACGACTCCCTTTCCCCATTCCCCGGCGTGGCGTTATGTTTGATTCTTTTGCTTTATTCTTCGACTTGCTTCTTCGGCTTTATGCTTCTTCGCGTTCTTCAATGGTTTCAGCGTGCATCGTCTCCTTATTCGTTCATTCTACACGATAAAAAGACAGCATTTGCATCCATCTCGGCGGCATCACTACTATCATTAGACAGCACCAGACCAACTGGGAGACGGCCACGACTTTTTTCATGAAACTTGGGCTACTTATGTACTTACTTAGGGGAAAAGGGAGGCAACTAGTGTCTGACCTTGTAATAATTAATACACCATTCTACCTTTATTTCTCTCATTGAAGCTACTTCTGTTCAGTCAACCAAGCAACATGTAAACATCCGCATCCCTATATTGTGTTTCAAACCAGCGCCAACTAGTTAAATCCGGGGGTGGAGAGACCCTCGTATAGCAGACACTCTTATACCCCAGGAAGACGCAGGCTCAAGTAAGATGCTTGTTATCCCCGCATCGCCATCCTTACTACCGAGGATGAACGAGATGGACCAAGCCCAGAGAGTGACGATGGCTGGCCGCACATCCCAGCAGTCAGCGCCGGCGAGGCGAGGAGCCCTCTTCTCTTCCTGTCACACTTCCTCGTCGTCCCGTTTTCTCGTCTTCTTCTCCCTTCGTGCCTAGAGGGACACGACACGAAGCGAGGTAGGCCGTGTCTGGCAGAGTTGGCCGACCTCAAAACACATAGCATATATTTATTTATACATATATATACCTTCCAGCGATTCAGACCGGATCAAGTCCGTAGGCCTCCTATCGGTGGAGAAGAACTACAAGTCATCAAACCGGGAACCAGGGACTACAGAAGACAGCAGAGTAGATAAAGAGTGGGCTCGCCCGCCTCGAGGCCTGATACGAGTACAACCATCAACGATGGACGAGAAGCTAGAAGAGCAGACCGAGAAGGTCAGCCAGACCAGCAGAGAGGAGCGAGCGGAAATTGCAGATCCAGAGAAGAACCAGAAGGCGGTTGGAGTGAGCGAAGATGCAGACGAGGCGATGAAGGCGTTTGCGGAAGGGGGACCGATCGAGTTGACGCCAGAGGATAACAAGCGGCTGCTCAGGATAATTGACTGGAAGCTCATGCCGATGATGTGTGTGGTGTATGGGCTGAATTATCTCGATAGTAAGTGCGTCTGCTGAAGCGACTTGAAGTGCATGGCTGATATGTAGTAGAGACGACGCTGTCGTATGCCAGCGTGATGGGATTGAAGCAGGACATCAATCTCGTCAAGGACAATTACCAATGGCTAGGCAGCATGTTCTACTTTGGTGCGTGAAGCGATGGAACCCTACTATGCAAGGTAGATGATGTCTAACCGGTGCAGGATACCTGGCATGGGAGTATCCCACGTCCATCCTGCTGCAACGACTACCGCTGGCTAAATATTCGGCCTTTTGCATCGTTACATGGGGACTGATCCTTACGCTCTTTGCGGTCGTCCATAATTTCCCTGGAGCCGTTGCAGTTCGGTTCCTGCTCGGTGTGTTCGAGGCTGCTGTCACACCTGGCTTTGCCCTCATCACCTCCCAGGTATGCATATTACTGTTTTTCATATATAAAGAGAGAGAGAGAGAGAGAGAGCTGACGTGAGGACAGTGGTATACCAAGCACGAACAGGCGACCCGCATCAACATCTGGTTCTCCTTCAACGGCTGGGCCCAGATATTCGGTGGTCTGGTGGCCTACGGTATCGCCGTGGGCTCTCGCACCCTGGGCACCGCCATCGCACCCTGGAAGACCATCTTCCTTCTCACGGGCCTCTTAACCGTCGCGCTGGGCGTGTGGTTCTACTGGCTGATACCGGACAATCAGCTCAACGCCCGCTGGCTAAAGAAGGAAGACCGCATCCTAGCCGTGGAGAGGGTGAGAGTCAACCAGCAGGGGATAGGGAACAAGCATTTCAAGTTCTATCAGTTCAAGGAAGCGTTGCTGGACCCGATGACCTGGGCCTTTGTCTTTTATGCCATTACAGCGGATATCCCTAACGGTAGGTCGAGCGTAGCTATCGTCGGTAGGTATAACAGGTTGGCTAACTGGGAATAGGCGGTATTAGCAACTTCTTCAGCCAACTGGTAAGGTCTAGTGCTATAGTTGAACTTGTTATGCATCGGCTAACATGGATAAGATCGTTGGATTCGGCTATACTCCTGAACAGAGTCTGCTATACGGCACTCCCGCGGGCGCTGTCGAGGTGGTCGCCCTCCTGCTCAACGGCTTCCTGGGCGACTACTACCAGCAGCGTCTCCTGGTCTCCTCCGGTGGCCTGATAGTCGCCATACTGGGCACTGCCCTCATGATCGCGCTGCCAGAAACCCTCCCCGTCGGCCGTCTGGTGGGCTACTACCTGACTCTCGCCTGTCCGACCCCCTTCGTCTGCATCCTCGGCTTGATATCATCCAACGTGGCCGGGTACACCAAGAAGACCACCGTCGCAGCACTCTACCTCATCGGGTACTGTGTTGGAAACATCATCGGTAAGTCGACACAGGATCACACGCGTACATCCATTCTAACGAACGACCACAGGACCACAGACGTTCCGCCCCGAACAAGCGCCAGAGTATACAGCTGCCAAAGCGACTATCCTGGCATGCTTCTCTGCCTGTCTAGTAGACATGTACTTTATCTGGTGGTGGTATACGCGGCAAAACGCAAAGAAGGCCAAACTCAGAGCTGAGCCGGGCTACACCAAGGTCGAGAACCAGGAGTACGTCTTGCCTTTGCCCTTGGAAACAAATGGATACAAGAACTAACTGACGGACTTGAATATAGGTGGCTTGATCTGACCGATATAGAGAACGCAGAGTTTACCTATTCAGTGTAGTTACGTATCCATTTGCTAATGACCACGCAAGTACCAATATATGACCAATACATATCGTAAATCATGGACCCCATCTTTTCATCCTGCTATGGACGAGAGGAAGAGGCCGACAGCTTTCGCAGCGCATGCAGCGATATGCAGCGAACATGTACTATGTATGCATCGCAGGAGATCATGTCACCGCTACTATGCAAGTGACCGACAGTATATAACTTTTTCGGTGGCCAGCGACCATTCTTTGACGTGTGACCTCGTTCGACCCGCTATTCTTCTTCTTATCATCAACACTATTGTTTGACCGGGATAGACAGGACGGATAGACATGAACGGATGAAACTCCTTTATCTTTCTGCTCAAAAACCCGCGGGATGAACATGTTCGACCGCAACTTCGCCGTCGTTTCTTCCCCCTGGCCGATCAACCCCAACTAGCTCATGCAGACCCTTATATTAAGACAACAAGGTCCTGACAGGGCCATCTGCAAGGCCCAATAAACATCCCAAGCCCGAGGCAACAAGCCAGAGCTCGATGCGCCGCCACGCAGAGTCACCATTCGCCAGCTTCTTCTGTTCTTCCGGCCTTGCATTGGATGGTCAGGCGGCCCTCCCCCCCCTTTTTTTGCTTCTTCTGCTTCTGCTTCTTCTTCCTGGCCCATCCATGCATCTTGCAGCGAAACGCCCGCTAACTTTTCCCGTCTCTCCTCTCTCATGGGGTTCGCCCTTCCCGTGTGCCCCTGCGCGGGCGAGTGATGGGATATCGGACACACTTACGGTGTGTGGACGCCATGAACGCCCAATCAGACGAGTAGTCGATAAGGTCGAAGCTGTTCGAGGAAGATGAAGAAGATCGATCGATGAAGAGAAGTTCTTGCCCCGCTCTTCTGCTCTGCTCTGTGGGATCTCTTCTCTCTGCTTTAAAGCGGTTTGCTTCCCTGTTGCTGTCTGGTCCTGATCCTGTTCCTGTTCCTGTTCCCGGAAGTTATGCGCGCGCGAACAGGAGGAGATCATGACTGGTGAGCTGTCTGTCACAGTAGCCGCCTGGATATATCAGGTCTTCCGTCTCTGTTTTGGATAAGTTTCGGGTCTTACCTCGGCGCTTCTGGTGTCTATATATAATATATCTATATATATATATGTGTGTGGGTGTGTGTGTGTGTGTGTGCGTTGAGATATATATACCGACCTCACTGCTGGACGGTGGCCATCATCTATCTCAACTTTCACTGCTTCAACTTCTTCAGCTGTTAGCAAGGCTCCAAGTGACCCGGCCGCTTCGTCTCCTGATTACCTGCGCGTCCAATCATCCAGTCCCTCTTTTGTTTTCTTTTCTCCTTCACATGTCAGCCTCTATATCCTTATAATCAGAGCATAGAAGAAGTCTCAGACAAAGAGTGTAAGTTGATTCATTTGATTCATCTTCACTGTGATTTATCTGCTGACTGGATAGAAAGATATATATATAATAAAGCGTTGTGAGCGACTAAGCATGGCCCTCACATATACAGAAGCAAGTGGTGGCAGCATCAACTTCACCAGCGATGATAACGCTGTCTCTTCACCATTTCTATACATACCCAAGACAGAGCAGAAGAGCAACAGTCCGTCAAAGCAGGGCTATATAACACCCTTCCTCCTCGAAGACGGGCGTCGGTTTGATGCCACGGCTGGAGATGAGTCCTACTTCCCTCCCTATCAAGTGACAGACATCGACGGCCAGACAGACCTTGCCGTCCCCAGGACATACTCTGCCACCGGAAGCCCGATATCGACCTTCTCCATGTCCAGTGCAGACGACGAGGACGTCCCGGAGGTGCAGAGCTTGATCAGGCAGGCAGCCTCAGGTGCAGACAGGCAGCAGTCCATCAGCACGTCGGCATATACATCTATAGACAAGCCAGCTCCTCAACGCAGCGATGCAAGCTCTCGAACATCGTCCTTTTCGATAGAGCGTCGTCGACAGTCCAGAGGAGGGCAGGAATCGTCTAGATCTCCCTCGTCCACCAGGCCGAAGCGTAGCGTACAGCATCTACGCGGCAAGTCAGGGACATACGCCAAACTCACCCCTTCCCGGTCCGAGGTTGGCAGCTCAGGACGCAACGAGCGAGATCTCCTAGCCCTTCACCGCGAGAGCTGTCTCCTCTTCAGCCAGACGGGTCCGTACAAGGAGCTGTCAAACCAAAACACTGACTCAGACCGTACCCCTTTATCAACCCGCCACTCTCACTCAAGCAAGCAATCTCATCAGCATTCAGCTTCTTCGTCTCCACTGCTCAGACCAGAAAACACACCCACTTCCCCCTTTCAGTCTGACGGCATACCGTCACCGCCCATCGACCAGTTCACATGGACCCCTATTCATGATCTCTCCTCTTCCATAGCAGATGCCACGCCACTTCCGCCGCCGCCATCTCTCCCCAAGACAGTAATAGACTGGACATCTCCCTCCACTCGGCGACGAGAATATGAAAAGATCGACCGCGCCAGCCGAGGGATACGCGGTGCATGGAGAAAGCTTGCTCCCCAGTGGTGTCAGAGCAAAGATGCTCGAGCCCCTTTTTTTGAAGAATGCAAGGCTGGCCATGCAAAGGATGACGGTAGTGTAAGGAGATTCCGCATGGATATCCCCGAAGAAGAAGAAGAGGAAGAAGAAGCAGAAGAAGAACCCAGGTGCCAGGCTCGAGGTGTGACGGTGCTGCGAAACGGGCTCGTCTCAGTGCTCACCAGACGCAAGTCCGAGAACGAGGCCGTTCGATCTGAGAGGCCTTCTGCCGTCATCAAGACCTGGCGTCTCAATCACAGACGCAATTCGTCCTTCGTCTAATACAACCACTCTCTCATTTTGGCCTCTGATCGATTTTTCACATCGCTTTTTTCATGCATTCGATGATACCATACGCCTTACAGCTGCATAGTTTTGTTTATTGATTTAAAATATTCCCCAGCAGTCACGAAGCACTGAACGACGATACGTGCATAAAGACTACAAGACATATCCCCTTCGCACCCCATCGTTGCATTTGATATTTTCCAGGTACACATGCTTTAATCCCCGATTCCTGCATTCTTACTATCTTGCAGTACCCCTTCCCATACAGTCTGTCATAATGATACCAGATGTTTTACGGCCAAAAGCATTTACCAGCGACAAGGGTTAAGAACAACCCCATTTTCATATGTTGTGCATAGCATAGTACGCAGCGCATAGAGATATATACCTTATACAGTGATACTTATATTTTATTATATGCATGCCTATTGTAATGTATCAAAACTTGTCAAACAAAACCAGACTTAACTCCTAGCTCCAAGACCGCGGCCAGACAACGCTTTTATATCGAGTAGCCATTATGGGTATAATAATCCAGATAACGAAAAGGTCCATATCAACAGGGCGATCATAACAGGTCGAAATCATCCAGTTTCTCCTGGTACCGTAGAATGTTTCGCTTAATCTTACTCGAGTCAACCCATGTGACGAAGTCTTCCATATTTCTCGTAACCAGGAACGCAGGATCAGTAACAACCTCTGTGCCAACACGCACATGGCCCTGTTCAATAAACTTGACCGCCTAAACACAGCCACGCCGTTAGCCAGGTACTTCAACATCAAACGCATACACCCAAATAGAGAAACAGGCAAACACACCGAAGGAACGTTCTCTACCATCCCGTTCCGCGCCATCACCACGCCCAGTCTCCTCCTTGCAAATGTACTGACGGTAACTTCCCTCTCGACCTTACTTAGGCCCGCGCCCTGTTCGCGGTTCTGTTTTAATATGCCCATCGACCATAGCTTTTCTAGCATCTGAGATTCAAGCTGTTTGCGAACTGGGTCTGAGTCTGGGTCTAGCGCAGACAGCTTATGTGCTAATTGGCGTAGGGAGCCGCAGAGAGCATTGTATTTCTTATAATCTAGAGGGTCCTGGAGGTGGTAGCGGCGACGGATTGTGGCTTCGCGGTGGTTGTTATCGGATTTATAGGTGTATAGGTCGACTTTCTTAAGGAGCCTATCGAGAAGCTTTTTTTTAGCGGGGGATATGTGAGAAAGGTAAACAAAATCACGAATGCCTACTTTTGCTCGTGATGCTTTAGTTTTCGAACCATCTTGTTTGTTCAATCTTCTTTTTCAACTTGGCTTGCTCTTCGCAACTCTGGACAAGTTTGATTTTTTTTTAATATTTCGCAGAAGATAAGAAATGACTAAGCAATAACATGCTTATGTAAGTAAAATAATGATGTAACTTTATTTATGCATAAAACTCAAGCTTACCTGTTGTGAATCACGTGACATAAGCATGAATAAACGTCATGACTTAGCTCTGACCAATCAGCTTCAGGTATCGAACTTTCGTCTTCTACAAGCTCATTCGTTAAGAGAGAAAATGTCTGAACCAAGATATAAATATATACAAGTATACATCTACAAGGGCCAAGGGTAAAAGCAACTTGGCAGAGACAAACACGAAGGCCGTTTCGTCATATCAGAATCTAAAAAAAGGAACAGGAAAAACAACCCCCCCATCCCCCCTCCTTCATGTCGTCTCCGCGTGTTCTAGGCCGGGAGTCTCCGCCACCCGGTATACCAGCTTGCACCTGGTTACTTTACCATCTCTCATCATTTGAAGGCCATCTAATGCGCCGGCAAGCCCGCGGCTGCATACCTGTTGAGGGTGTACTTTGATCTTGCCGTCCGCGAGCAGTTGGTTTGCCATGGAGACGAACTCCTTTGCATATCGAAAACCAGAGTGATCTGGAGGTATCACTGGGCCATTTTCTGACATCTGAACTTTCTCGCCAAACATATAGTAGGCCATCGTATAGCTCGATTCGACGTCGTCTCGAGGACAGGGTTCTGGCAGGAGAGCAAAGTATCGACCTCCGGGACTGGTGGAAAGGGCATGAGCGCATATGCGGGCACTGACAGGGAGTGATATAGTGTCCCAGGCCAGTTTTAATTTGTTGCCGGTAAATTCACGGATCTTGAGGCCACAGTCCAAGTCATGGTAGTCGAAGGCCGCCACGGCGCCTAGGCTTTTAACGAATTCGAAGTTATGCGGAGAACAGACCGCGATTGGGGCAAAGCCGGACCTGTATCGTTTATACTAGAGTGTCAGCAAAGCGGTCGACTCGATGGAAATAAATTCCCTTTTCTAGGCAAACTGCAATTGGCTGCCCCCTAGCACATTGTGGTTGAACACGAGCCAGGTTTCCAATGGGTATATTTTTATTCTTATCTCGAACATACAGTTTTGCAAATTGGATGCCCAACGAGCCAGTCGCCGTGCTCCCCCCGTATACCAGCACCGGAGTCCTTCTGAAGCTGGGGGATGTAGGCAGATCCAACCCAAGACCGAGATATAGCCCTTGACAGACGGTGATGATGCCTACACCAAGAGTGGCGGCCTCCTCAAAGGATATATTGTCTGGAATATGCGACTGGACGTCTGCTTTGACAAGGATGTAGTTGCCAAACGCCCCGTCGTCTGGTTCCTGTCTGTTGCAGCCATGAACGACGCCGTAGACCCTATCACCTTTCCTGAACTTCTTCCTGACGCCCTTGCCTATGGCTTCCACGGTGCCGGCATAGTCACAGCCCACGACGGCTCCCACCATGCCAGCGTCAACATGTTTCCAGTCTGTGGGATTCAATGCTATCGCGACTGGCTTCACCAACATAAACCTGTCTCTCACCATCGGCAGTGGCCGATCAACAAGCTCCGCCCGGCCTGGGCCAAGTACTGCGATAACCTTCCTGGATGTCCCCATAGTGACCTCAGAGCCTTCAAAATTTCCTCCCACAGAGTTTTACTTCCCGAGAATTCTCTTCCAAGTTTCACGGCCGCTTCATGCTCAACAGCCTGCCCTCTTTTATGTCCTTGAAACTACCGGATTGCTCGATAGCCTTGGGGAAGAGACAAGGGCTTATGTCAGTATGATCCTTCTGTTAAAACGGCGAAACCTGCTAGGCATGATTGGCCGCTGGCTAGGGGGTTCATATCTCCATAATTAATTTAAAGCCCCATTGCATCATGGTTCCACAGCGGCCAGACTTGAGGTTGCGTAGCAACTTGCCGCTAGCAGTTGATGACATGGCCTGGCCAGGAGGGAAGAGGTGAGGAGATCCTTGATTTCAGAGTTGTAAAGGGGGGGATCAGTTTACGGACGGGATAAATAACCCCCTTTATCCTCTCTCGATTAGCTGCCCCAGACAAATCCTAGCAACCCATCAAGCTGGAAATTTGATGCTCGCTCTCCCTCCCTTTTTTCCTTCCTCCCCCTAAAAATATCTCTTGCCCTACCACGCCCCTTAAGAAGGGACATAATCGGTACCAATACAAAAACAAAAACATATACGCAAGAACGATCAGGATGGAGTCAATTGCTCCTATATCGATAACCACCTCTCTATTTATCGACGAGCCAATTCTTGAATCACCAACTACTCCTCGTAGCTGCGCAATGGCCCTTGCAGCTCGTCATCCAAATCTACACAACTCTCATAAGAACCGCCATCACCAAACGTCGCAGCTCTCCTCACAGTCTCCTCCCTCACCACCCGCCAGGATACTGCGTCATCCATCACCAGTCCGATACCAGTCTACTCCTCCTTCGTCTCGCTGCTTCGCCGACATACTCGACCCTAACCTTAACTTCTCAGACGACAATGGCGACAGGTCGAACGACGTCGACCTACAGGTTAAACTCGCTCTGATCGATCTGCTCAACTGCAGCGACATCAAGACAGATCAGGAATCTCGCCTATGGGTGCAGAACAAACTGATGGACACCGAACACCGATTAAAGGCCAGACGGAGAAGCAGGGTCTTGCACTGCTAGCTTTTCCATAATCGAGGCTTGGGCGGACGGTCCAAAAACCATTTACCGTGTCGCTCGCTTGTTTACCTTCTTCTTCTTATCTCACCAAGTCGCTCTCTCGCTGCGCATGAGAGTTACACGGTTTTACTCTGGGCGGTTTGTCTGGTTTATTCTTGGAAAGCCTTTTTTTTATGTTCCAGCTGAACATTTCTTCTGGATGGAAGTTCTTAGCGGAAGCGCTGCTCTGCATCGAAGCACTTTTCTTTTCTCTATCTTTTCCCACCCACCTTCTGGCATGGACTTGGCATCTCATTGGGGCATATCTCTTTAATACTTTCTTTTTCAAATGTATTTATTATTTAATATTGGCATACTTGACAATGCAGACATGCATTCGTTTCTCGACTTTCCCGCCTATCAAGCGTTCTATCTGCAAGTTTATCCCAGGATCTAATTATCGTATGATAACATGATCTAACCCTCATCTGATATTCCTTATTAATACCGTTTAGGAAAGCCAACTTAGAGACGTACAATCGTACAACCACATAACCGACACCCATCCCTTTGCATAAGCCATGAGAAGCTACTTAAGTTACGCTGTACAGTCGAAATAAGCATTGCATATTTCAAGAGAATACACGGATATGCTACCCTCACTCGGTCCTCGCCTTTTTCTTGCCTGGGTATATCATCAGAAAGTTCTACCTAGCGTCTTCTTGCACCCCCTTGATCAAACATGCACTCGTTGCATGCCATCTTCGTCAACTTGTTGATGGAACTTTCAAGTTCCTGGATTTGCCGCCTCTTAAAGACACCACCAGAAAGAAAAGATTTCTGCACATCATGAAAATCCTTTATGCCTCTCTATACCTTATCTGGACAACACCCTTCCTCTCTTCTTGGATCAAGTAAATTCAGCTTCTATAATAAATTTAAAGAGCCCTCCATTAGTTATCCAAACTGCTTTGACAGTCGGCTTGGAGCTGCTATCAATCGATTATTACCAGACATAAACTCTCCATCAAAGCTTCCATCTGGCTCTCCCACCGCCATCAAGTCTGGTTACCATTCCGCTTATCGTCAAACCCGCTAGCACTGGCCCACCAACGACATCCCAGAACAACTCACCAGTGAACCTGTGGAAATCTCATCAGCATAATCGGCGAAGTTAGGGCAGGATTTTACCAAAGAGAAAGAGTTCGTTGCTTTGCCACTTAGCTACGAAAGAAACTCAGTCCGCTGAAGTCCTTAAAATGTGGTATCCACTCAGCTATCTCAATTGTTATTGTAACCTGCAGGAATATCCACCAGAACCGATAACCTTGAGGGGAAGTTATGGTCTCTGGTAGATTATCAACTCAATCCCTCGTTGCTCTTGGATTCTCTGGGCCGGAGAATGAGAAAAGAAGGGAAAATTATCATAGCATTTTTGGTCTTCATTGTACACGCCTTGATAAATCCTTCTCTCCAGAGGTTAAGATCAGATAAGAATAAGAAGTCACTAAACTGACCAATAGAAAGTTCAAAGTATATAATGGATTAGTCAGACATTAGCTTACTAATAAGGTAAGTAATAGATACTACCACGAAGTAACTACAACTATCATAACTACAACTACCATCTTCATCCTCATCTTCGTCTCGCAAGCCATGCCCTCCCGCCCTCAGCCTATGGTCCGTATGTCCCAACTCCGTTCAGTGGGATGTGTTGGGCCGTGTTGCAGAGCTACAGGAAATAAACATCCAGACTGCTATCAAACTGTATCATGAAAAGGAGCTTACCCTCACTTCAATTAGGGCTTTTGGCAACTATCCTATCAGGCTATGATTCCAGCTGTCGTGCCAGAGCTATCCTCTGCTCCCTGTCCAAGAACGAGGTAATTTTTTTTTACTAAAGTTAGTCTATTATAAGGACTGACTGGCTAGTTTATATCCAACCCCCCCTTTAATATTATGCGATAAAGTTACAAGAACTACAAATTGAAATGTGTATTACCAATGTAGTCTACATAGCAATGAATATCAGAATAGTTAATAACCCATGACATTATGACACCAAGGCAGAGATACGTAATGGTCCGTTGATATAGATTTGCACAAGTCAGGTATTCGGAGGCCACCTTTTCCTTCAACCTTCACAAGTCAAGATAAAGCTGACATCCCCCCTCTCATCCTCTATTAACTACGTATCAGCTGTTACTATCCAAAGGAGTGTTACACTGGCCATATAATTATGATGCATTTATCACGTGTGGTCTTACTCTCCTGAATCCTGGTAATGGAATGAATTGTGCAGAATGAAGGCCATACCAGACATGGCAAAGAAGAGACAGCAAATATGGCTCATATTGGATATCTGTGGCCGCCTGTTCGTGGACGGGACGCAGCACGGCGCAACATAGCTCCATGTGGATCAGATGCCAGTGTTTTGAACAGGACCAACTTTCCTTTATGTACATCATTGATTTGCCCATATAAAAGAGAATGTTACTAATAGATATCTAGCCCATGGTGTACTAGCACTTTTGATCCAGGGAAATTCTTCAAATACCCAAGTGAGTATTTCATACAAAGAGAGTAAGTAAGTCCATTAATTTTGAAGGCGTTGGTTGTTGCTAATATGTGAGATATTTTAGATCCAACCTCCAACGATGACTTTACCATGCTCATAGAGCTAGGTCAAATCAAAGACGTTGACCAAGGCTATAGATGCTATCCTATTCCAGACCCGCCAAGAGAGATCAAGGACGGCACAGTTGCAAGCTTACAAGCCAAATACCAGACTCAATCTGGCCGTGATGAAACAAAAACATTTTATGCATGTGCCGATATCAGATACATTTCCACCAGCAAGTTTGATACTCAGGCCCCCTGCTTTAATGTGACCGTGGGCGATTTTATCACTCCCAACCGTAGCTCGACTGCACAGCCTGGATCCCATCCTACAGTCAAGTCTGATATAGCTGGGGGCTCTGGAACAGGGCTAACCCGAGGGGAAGTTGCCGGTATTGCCATCGGAGTGCTGGTGGGTGTTATTTTGATTGTCCTCTCATATATTGGATACCTGAGATATCAGCAAAGGAGAGGCAATCAGCCCCATAAGTTACCTGTAAGGAATACTAACTGGGATGGTGTTGGAAACATTGTTTCTGCCAACTAAGGGTATGTTGAATTTGAACACAGCGGCGATGTCAGGAAACGGAGGAATTATTTTGCAAGCTAGGTTTATCAGAGAGTAAGGGTCTCACTTAAATCAACAACTGGCTTCAAATAAAAACTAAGAACAGAGTCTTGTCAATTTCAACTTGAAAAATAATGTACATAAAACATCACAAAAACAACAAGAACATGTTTAAACTTGGGTAAACGAATATTAAGACTTACCAAGTTTATCCTACTTCTAGAAGAGGCGCCAGACCTATCGCTCCTCTACTTCCTGGATAAAGGGCATTTCCAGGCTGAAACTATACGGAGCACAAGGCCTGTCTCAAAAGGGTCCCATTCATATGAATTATAGACATCTTCTTGGTTTCAAATATTTTGCATAGTTCAGGATAATGCCCTGCGAATGCAACATATACTGTTTGTAGCCATAACCCAGTATACCATGTTTCAAGTAGTGCTTTCACTGCGTTCGAGCTCGCCGGAAGATAAAAATCTAGATCGTTTCTTTTGCAAAGAAGTGATTGAAGCATAGAGCCATCTAGCCCGTTGTCGGTAAGCCTTTTGAAACTTATCATCTCGCAGAGCTTCGAAATTTGCTCTGCGCTCTCGGCAGCCCCAAGGACATGCAGCGCCAGGATGATAGTTTTCATGCTTATGATGTTAGTAACGGGGCTTTGCGATTCGCGACGAGATAATCTTTCTGCTAGATGTTTCTGATTATGTTGTCTGAGAAAGGTTGGTTGCCCGTCCGTAGCAATATGACAAAGGATATCACTGGTAACAAAATCTTGAAGTACATTTCCTGGTACGTATAGCCATTAGCCTAAGTCTTCTATAAGAAGCTGGGGTGTTTCATGTACGAAATGGTGATATAAAATATGGATAGAAGCTTTCAATATTTGAACTTACCCCCGAGAATGTGCTTCCTTTCGCCGGCTACCGGATCACTGATAAAGTCCAAATCCTCCACACTTTTCTCAAAACCGCATCGATTCGATTCGCCGGAGCTTATGATTCCCGTGGTAAGCTGGGACAGCAGGGGCACAAGTAGTAATAGGTATCTTGATATTTTCATCATGCCACAATACGAATTTGAAGATACTGCCGAACAAAGGACGTGTTGACCTCTTGAAGATATGCAGGCGTATTAGGTTGACGAAACTCTGGATTCATAGGCGAGGGTATTGACGCCATTTAACTGTTTGCAAGTGAACGGACTATGTATTCCAAAAGTCTTTATAGCCTTTAGTGAATAGGTAGAAAGATTCTTTGTTACAGCCATTGGCTTGCTAGATATTTCGGCTCCAAGAGACAGCTGATTCACTATAGTGAAGTTAAAGAACTAAACGTATATACAAGTAAAGGGAGGTAATACCTGATCTATCCTGTTTCGCTCATCTTCTAGACCCTACAATTGCTGAAATCCCAATCGTGTATAGAATGAAGGTGGAAAGGGTTCAAATAAATACAATAAGAAGAAAGAGGATCATAAAGAGTAATGAACAAGCCAGTGGCGCGGGACATAGTAATGGTAATGTATGATTATAGTTCATCGTGTTTATCGACCTTTGTACGGATAGGCCTGCCGGAATCTTCTTGAAGGTTGACACCGTTCTTCTTCCGCCACTTCTCAAATAGTGCAAAGAAGTCCTTTTCCATCCCGCTCTCCATTTGATCAGGTAGAACAACAATGTACTCGACGTAAAGTGAGCCGTACTCGTCGTGTGGAGATTGCTCATGAATATGGCCCTCGTGATATATTGGCATACCCTGCTCTGGTATTTTCTCCACAGTAAAAGGCTGAACAACTTCACCTCGTTTGCGGCCTAGTTTGACGATGTGTCCATCCAAATGAGTTAGATTGCGCGTCCAGTCTCCCATCCAGGCTTCCCGAACACTGAGAACCTCTCTCCAGAAGAGGTCATTGCCCTTACGGCGGAAGAATGTCCCATCTGTGCGTTCTTCATCGTTTTCGCCTAGGACAGGCTCTTTTTCTCTTAATGTCACGACTAAATTTCCAGCAACCCAGTCAGGGCTTTCGTCTGCTTCATTTTCAAACACTAGTTTCGATCCTTTGCCCATGCCCTTTTCGACTGTTCCTGAAATCGGGACCTCGGCCCTGATGACTCGGCTGCCGCCGCAAGTTTTACAAGGGTTTCGAATCGACTTTCCTTTCCCGCCGCACTTGTCACAGGCCATTTGAACCTGCTGATATATTCCCGGAGCAATCATATGTTTTCGTATAACGGCACCGTGGCCCTGGCATTGGTTGCAGACGTCCACTTTCCCATCTGTCGAGCCCGAACCCTCACAAACATCACATATTTGTTGTTTTTGAACCTTGAAGTCAATCTCTCTACCGTTGTAGAAGTCCTGGAGGGGTAGATCTAAGCGAAGTTCCATATCGGGCCCACGTCTATGACCTCCTTGGTGACCGAAATGCCCTCCACCACCGAAGAAGCGGGAGAAAAGGTCAAAGGGATCGTGTCTGCCACCACCCCCACCTTGTTTGTGCTGTTGCAGGCCTTCATGACCGTATTGATCGTAGATTTTCCTCGTAGATGCCGTGGAAAGAACATCATATGCTTCGGCAATATCGACGAATTTCTTATGCGCGGAATCGTTTCCACTATATCGAATTAGCCCTGATTATCAATTCTCAGCCATTCAAGGCTATTGTCACCCCTGGATAGATTTGCGCTGTTGTTGCGCGGATTGTAACTCACGGGTTTTTATCGGGATGGAACTTTTTGCTCAGTGTTCGGTAAGCTCTTTTTATATCACGTTCTGATGCCGATCGATCGATATCCAATATCTTATAATAGTCTTCTGCGCATAGTGCCAATGGAAGCAGAACGAACAGTGTTGATAGCACTAGAAGTGGAAAGGCGAGCATGATGGACGATTGGGGTTTAACCCCTGGAACCCGAAGGAAGTAAAGATAGGCAGTCTCGTAAGATAGAGAAGCTTAGCGCGCTCCAAGCGCTCAACTAGCAACTGGGCTTAAGATATCAGGATTCAAAGTACGGCTCTTTCGGTGTAGAAGGAATATAAGGAAGCAGCGTGCTGAGATGATGTGGCAGTGCTAGTTACTAAATTATCAGCGAAACTGCTGAAGCTCTGCACTCCTCAGCAGTAGGATAATGAACAGCAGGCCGTGGGGACGGAGGAGTGGAAGAAAGCTGCTGTATGGCTGAACTCTGGCCTCTCTGTAGATGCCAGATTATCAACTTTCCATAGATTAATTTTAAGGTTTTGGGAGGACTTCGAGCTCCTAACGGAAGAATATTTTACCGATTATATTACGTAATATCACCGTTCAAGGTTAATTTGAATGAAGATGAAGTTGATTTCCATTTTGATTGCATAAAAGAGCATAATTGATAAGTTTGAGGTGATCTCGCCCGAAAAATATGACAACCTATAACATAAGGGGAATTAAACACCGAACTGGCTTAAGGCACAAGACATATATGGTCGAATTAGCATCCTGTTGTTCTGGTGGCTGGGACATCAAATATACTGTTCCTCCAAGTCGGCCGTTGATTCACGCTGGCCTGACTTCCTCTCTCAATGAGGTCATCTGCTCTCTGTTCTTCATCGTGTCAGGCTTTGGCCAAGCTGCCTGGCGCATATACACCATCAAATATACCTCCTCGCTGAGCATCGAACCCGAATCTGGTGAATACATCGGGGTCCGCCCTTCCGCTCAGCCTGGTCAAAACTGCACGGACAAACGTCAAAAAGTCACCAGGGTCAGCTATGCGAGTGGCGCGTAGACGCTCTCTCATAAAGAGTAGTTCTCGATTCGCCGCACGAGCAAAGCTAACTATTTTTTCGGCTATAACTTTCTCGAGGCTGCGCCTGATCATATGTTTGAGGAACGGCTTGAGGGCCCATAGGATACATGCCCAGCGGCTTTTGCTGATGGAGTAGTCGAGCTTATGGATGTGAACACGCACTGAACGGAGGGCTAGAATCTGTTCCAGACGTTCCTTGCCAACTTCAAACTCACATGAGACATCGATTCCACGCTGATCAAGGCTGAAGCTGGCGATACCTTCGTCAAAGATGGATGGTAGCAAAGGCCGATGTGCCCGAATCCAGTAACCGAAGTCGTTTGCGGAAAAACAAAGTCCATTTAGGGTGACTTTAACCACATTTTTCATGCCAGATACAGCTTCCTTGGAGTGCGTTTTGCGAAGCTCCATATTACTTATCGTGGTGACTAATACTCGGTATGGCAGGAATGAAGAGTTGTGAATGGTGTGACCAGGCTCGATCACAACGTTTTCAAGAAGTAGGTCCATCCGTGGAACTGAAACCTCAAGCCTTGGTATGGGTATGTGCTGTATTGCTCGAATCAAAAGAGGGAGAAAGATGTTAAGTGCATCAGCCATGAGGCGAATGCCTTCATTACGGTAGGCTTCGCAGACGTCCAATGCAATTTTCTTTGAGGCGGTGATGAGTTTGACAACACTTGCATCTTGCATTACCGATACCAGTGTTTTCTTAAGCTGATAGATAAAGTCCTTGATTTCCTGCTGTGGTAAGTCGTCTCCAGCCTCCTTAACCTTCTCTTTTAATGTCTGCACGGTATCTTCACTTGTATCCCAGAAGGAGGGATCGGTGAATAGTCTGTACACCGACTGTCCAATGTGTTCGAGGGTATCGTTGATCTCCGTGCTCTTCCCAGAAGTCTGCATAAGCTGCCGGAATTTATCCTCGAGAGCCTGCCATTCCTTCTGACTTCCGAATGTGTTCACAAAACTCCATAAATTCTTCATGGCGTCTTGCAGTTCTGGGTCAACGTACAGGGCGTTCGAAGCACCTTCAACCGTGGAACCTATTGTACGCATATATATTCCTGCATAGCGTTGGGCCAGTCCAGATAGGGTTGACACTGATTTATCATAGTCGGCCCTTAGACGCAGGTCTTCGACTGTCTTTTTCATCCGCAAAAGGAGTGAATCTTGCACTTCGGCGGATATGTTTGCTTGTGCACTCTTTTTAGCAGTGCGTCCAGTATCCCTTAGCCCTTCTTTTGCAACCTCTATTACCTGCTCGCCATTTTGGGCTAGCTCATCAGTTGTAGGAGCTTTGCCACCGTTACCATTAAATGTTTCAACACTCTTTTTCTGTGATTCAGATGGCTCAACCTCGTCTGCAACCTTGTTTATGGCATCGGAAAGTGATGCTGTGGTGTCTGAGAAAATACTTCGACCAATTGTGCTAATGTCTCCGATCAAACGACGGAAGTCTGCATTGGTCATAAGAAGGCTCCCGACGGTACGAACACTTTCGTATGCTAGGAAAAGAACAAATTGTTAGCCAGTCCACAATTAAAAATAATACAGCAACATAAACTATGCCCCTATTATTCATCTGGTAGGTGATAAGAGCTTAAAAATACCAGCCACAGTGTCTGCCCGTGCCTTGGATGACGATGCAGCGGACGCAATTTGAGCAGTGTTTATAGAAGCATTCGAATTAATGCATTGGTGAATTATTTCTTGCAGCTGGTCTCTGTTGTTCTTCTCCCTCAACAAGGCAATGAATACTCGGATCCAGGCTCGACAGTCCTTCGCTATTTTCCCCCCACTTGGGCTCAGCATAGGATTATCTGGGTTGAGTAAGTCGGAAACGAGGACAAGCCGTAATAGAGCTGCCGCTTGCTCCGTGGATGGCATATAGCCAGCGGACAACGCCCGAAGCATCTCATATTGACGAAATTTCTCCTTCGCCTTCCGCTGCAGCTCAGTTTCGGCCTCTGAGACAGGAAGGAGAGGCTCTCGTTCACTGGAAGTATCCTTTCGTGACCTGCAACACGACAACATGGTGACCGTTCTCCAGCTTGAAGCTGATGGAAATAGAAGCTCTGTAGATTGTCGTGGCGGTAGAGCTAGCTATTTAACTTGCAGTCCTCACACGGCAATGCAGTATCAAGTTACGATGGAAACAAGAAGGCAGCTGATTTGGTCAGCTACAGCTATTCAAAGAGGAGTAGCGACGTCACACCCTTCAACCCGCTCCCCGCTGGTTTCTTCCCAGTTTGCTCTTTCAACCAAGCTCAAACTACGTAATAAAGCTTGAAAGCTTGGGGATGTTGATGCCAAGCCGGGAACCGAGGCTTGGCGGTTCTAGGCTAAAAGAAGACAGCAGCCAAGAGGTTGTTGCCTGATGGTCGCTTTAATGTATAAATTGGTAGGTGATACCCAGGCTTGATGTCGATATATACGAAGTATAATCATAGATATACACAGCCAGAAGGAGAAGAACATGTCTTTGCCAAATCCTTTAGTCGAACACAAGGCGTTCTTTGTCGAGAAAGTCGGAGAATTCAAACCGGCAGAAGGGAAGAAGAATGGAAACGAGAGCGAGGCTTCCTCTGACACGACCATCTCAGCTAGGATACGCCCAATCCTACACCATGAGTGGGAAGCTGGCCATGTCCCTGGTCTGTTCACTCGCGGCGATGGAGGTGGCAACGTCGATGTACACGAGCTTCGACTCAAGGTCAACGGACAGCCCGCTTTGAATGTATGTACGTGAATATCGATATTTCCTCAAATGGTACATACTCCATGGCGCCTATTCCACGTTCATATACCAAGACATGCCATAGTCGTCTAGCTTCCTCGTCGACCGAGCATACGGACCAGAGTGCACAACAAAATCGATGTACGACGACTTTGTTGCTCCTTTGGTGCCATGGGCATGGGGCGGTGGTATTGGAACGTTCTTTGCATATGGTCAAACTGGGTCTGGCAAGACATACACCGTGAACGAAATGGAAACTTTTATCGCTTCGGACTTATTGGGTGGAAATATCCCTGGGCGGCGCAGCATTCATATGTCTGTGTTTGAGCTGGCAGGAAAGGCTGCATTTGGTAGGACTGACGTCTATCTTCCTCTCAAAATTCAAAAAGAGCTGAAGTAGCCTTGCTAACCGTATTCAGACCTTCTCAATGATAAGCATCGGATCAGCGTCATGGAAGATTCATTTGGAGAAACCCAATTGGTGGGTATAGTCGAACGCTCCCATCGACGATCGAGGATTTCCTCGACCTGATCAAGACAAGCATGTCGTTCCGGCTTAGTGCCCCAACTTTGAAAAATGATGCCTCTTCGCGTTCACACGCCATCTGCCGAATCAGAATCGAGAACAAAGATGACCTTGATTGCCCTGATGGTCTCCTCTTTCTTATCGATCTAGCAGGTAGTGAGACAGCGGCTGATTCCAGGGACCACACTCCAGAGCGCATGAAGGAAACTAGGGATATCAACTCATCCCTATCAATGCTCAAGGACTGCATTCGAGGGCGAGCTACTTGGAACATTCAAGAGAATACGGCTTCCAGCACTAGCTCCAAACATGTGCATATCCCGTTTCGCAATACTACACTCACCAAGGTGCTGAAACACGTGTTTGACGTCAACAGCCATCGTTCCTGCAAGACTGCCGTCGTTGCATGCGTTAGTCCCAGCGCTATCGACGCAAGTCAGGGGAAGAGCTCCCTTCGATATGCAGAGATGCTCAGGGTCCAGGTACCCAAATCGAAGCCTGTTGCATATGATCCAACAGCCCCGCGCACTTGGACAAACAAGCAACTACGGGAATGGATCCAAAATAACGTTCGTTCATTGTCCCGTCTAAATTTTCTTTCCGCAAACAAATTCAGGAAGTGGTATGCTAACAAACGAATGACAAAAAATATAGTCCGGCTCGCCTGCTGTAGATCCCTCGCATGTTGCGCCTACTGAGTCCGGTGTCCAAATATGCAAGCTGCCCAAAAGCGAATTTGTCTCCCGATGCCTAAAGACTGCTGGAGTACGGCCCGAGCAGGCCAGAGCCTTTTTCGATAAGATATGGCAGCTCCACGTTGATTCCCGTTCCTCGAATACTAAAAACGCCACAACAAACGAGACCAAGAAACCTTCCATCCCCTTCAAAGAACGCCTCAAGCCTGGAATGTTTGTGCGCGTTACCCCCCAGTCACCAAACGACCCGATCCAATTTCTCATGCTGCTTGCTCCCGAAGGCGCATTTGATCCGACCACGACGATTGCCAAGCACAATGGCGACGGGTGTAGTTCTAAATATATCTGTGCAGCAGTGGCCCCATCAATTATGATAGATGCATATGAATTGTATGTGGCCCAGCAAAGAATTGTAAAGATCGAGGATATGGAGGCGGAGGTTTTGATGGAATATGATTCCGCCATGAGGTACTACTTTATCACCGTTTAAAGAAGATAGGTGATGACATTGGACATTCGTTAAAGAGTGCAAATATTATAGGGCATGGGTTTCGGATATAGTGTGAGTTGTGTGTAGAAGTTGCAGCTGAATGGATTGGGGGGTAATCAAATTGCGTACTTTCAAGGGCTGATTAACCCCCAACCGTCCCTTCTTGCATTAGTTTTTTGTCGCAGAGGATCAGCCATACCTGAAATTCATTAATCCTCTGATAGCTTACAGCCGGTTGTGCTCAGGGTTGTTTCCATTTTAGAACCGAATCCGAGCTGTAGGCTGTGACGCAAGCCTCTTATAACTTTCTTCAGAAAGTGAATGCAGATTTTATGCTCTAAAGTCCCTGATTCATGTAACCTATCAGACATATGTCTCTCATCCTTTTCACCATCATGGGCACTACTTAGTCGATCACTCCGGTTCGCTTGCAAACTAGCTGACCAATGCGGTAAGAAGTCGTGCGGGACGGGAAGAAAGGGAGGGTAGGGGTGATATCTTGCATGAAAGGGGCTGTGGTCGCGAATGCAATGCGAAATCCTACTCCGTAAATCCTCAAACAGTTGCAGATATGATATTCCTGTGAACCTGGGAACGTAACATCAAACAAATCCATAAGTAATCAGCTCGTCTTGCCACGGTAACTTGATTCGCCAAATTACTAGCGCACTGTCAAGGTAACTCGGCATTAACTAGCCACTTCAATGTTAGTGCCGAGTAATACGAAAGACCGTGCTATCGTTTTGGTGGCTGTGATTGGAAATGATGCAAAGTAGTTTGTATATTCATCTGCAAGCTGATTATCTAATTTTCGGCGCTAGTCGGTGTTCTGGAAGGCGATAGAAGGGCGAAACGGTGCCTGCAGCAGCATGGGTCCATGGGTTGTTACATAGTGCTATGTAGACCCGACTGTATCAGAACTCTCAAGGGGTGGTTTGCGATGGGACAAGGAGCCGACTGTGGCCATCACTTTCGTATCGGAACGGCGATACGGAGTATTCCATAAGTAAAGACAACCTGTGTGAAAGAAACCTCCCGGCTGAAAGGCGCCGTCTGAGGATCAAATGTTGATTGATGCTGTCCAGTGAGGGAGCGAAGCCTCAAGACAATTGTTCGTGATTTATCAAAGGGATGGGTTCGGTGGCTTATTGTTTCTGCGTAAATTATTATTAGACATGATGGATACGAACCATAGTGCCATGAAATATTTGCCTGCCTTGCTTCAGCCGCTCGATACGGAGCAATGATCCTTACAGCGCCACGAATGAGCCTGTGACAGATTATTGCGCCATTATTAGTAAAATTCGGATATGAGGAGCATCACGATCGCCCTTGCTCATAAACCTGGTGGGAGTAATTATCGACCAGAGCCCTCGTACAGTGCGCCGAACGAGGCATAATCTCAGCGATAATACACGGGTAGCCCGAGTAGGCGCATCACATTCGCTTTCATTTTCGTAGTCATTCAAGGGCCCTCTTGCGCCAGGAACTTACTTTCTTGATCCGTCAAAAACATGTATTCTCTCGAAGTCCATTGGACGGCTAGTGATTTGTAACTGTGCCCAACGGTTGCTGTAATGTGGCTTGTGAATCATATACTAGAAGTGTGATTGGATTGTTTGCCCACAGTCTGGGTTCTGGGCCTCATGAAATTTTGTTGGGCTGCCCCAAAATCAAACGTCTGTCTTCAAACCATGGCCGGCAGGGTTTTTCCCTGTTCATCCGCGGTGGAGCATCAGAAGCATATCCACCCCCTGCCTACATAAGGATATCCTTGTCACAGCGGATCGGGAGCTTGCCTCGTCGGGATGTCGAAGGAAGAAGAAATTCAGGCAAAAGTGTTCAATACTCCGTACTATCTATTGCCCAAAAAGGGGGACTTGAAAACAATCGTAATTTAATTTCATAAATGGTTGTAACAACAACCCAACCCTTAGGTTCGGGGTCTTCCGGAGCTGGGCATGATGATCAAAGCACCCTCGCAGGAAGGGACGGAAGGGAGAGAAGAAGCAAAAACAACAAGTTAGAAAGAAGCAATTGTAGGCCAAGACGCAAGTTCGTCATTGCACGATCGGGCAAAGGACGGTTGAACAACGTCTTTCCTTGGTGATCGTGCGCCAGAGCATTTCGATGTAGTTCTCTCGATGACCAGACCAGGAACGTATGTAGATGACTTGAGTCCCAGCAACATACTGCTATGCGCGTTCAGCGCCGGGGACGAGTCTAGCCAGGCCTGTCGCATTTCAAATTCTCGGGAATAGTTGCTCTCCTTGGGTTTTGGTGAAACGCAACTCATCCAGTCCAGCTCGAGCGCGCCAGCGGCGTCCCAGTCAGACTCTTCCCGACATCGCCCGATCCGAAGGAGTTACCTCCGCAAGGCATCGCAAGCTTCATGCTGAGTTTCCTTGTCGTGACGGCTAGCAAACTTCTATCTTCTTGTTCCTTGCCCTTGCTCGCGCTCCCTTCCCCAGAATCCGGCTCCAATCCTTGTTTCAAAGCAAAGCAGAGAGTGAGAAACCATACAGACGTGGGCCCCTAGAGAAAGATTTAGTTAGCCATATATATCAACAGCCTCTTCCTCGTTCCTTGGGAGGGAAATGCTTCTTCCTCGTCCCCATCTCTCGACGCACCACAGGATTGCTACTTACTCTTGGAAACTCTCCTCTCTCTTGTCTTCTTCTTCTTCCTCACTGCCATTGCGCCCCAAACCCAGCATGATGGGCCCTAGTCTGTACTGTCCTCAATATAACGCGATGCACTCTTCATCTCCTGCTCAGTCACCTGCTGGTTCGACCGGTTCGCCAGTGTAAGTTGTTCCCAGACGTCGCGGATTTCCCTTTTTGGCCAACCCAGCAGTATATCTTGTCACCGCCTTTACTTCTTCATCTTCTCATCTTTTGCTTCTTTTACAGTGACGGCTACTTTGACACCGCCAACCCAGGCTACATCCGCAAGTATCTTCGAACATACGGCCTCACGCCACCCCGTGCTGAGAGCTACGAGGTGCAGAAGACAAGATGTAAGCTCTCCTGACTCAATTGTGATGCATGGAAGCTCATTCTTGTCTGCAGGTCTTGCGCAGCTAGCTCTCAAATCCACCCCTATCGAAAAGTTCCTCTACCTTAGCACCATCCGCAAGAACAGTGTGCACTTGTTCTACCGTTTGGTCATGGACCATCTACGGGTATGAAGGATGACGGAAGCTTGAAGAGTTTTGTGGATGCAAGATTGACGGCTTTTAGGAACTTACTCCTTTGATCTACACGCCTGTTGTTGGTGAAGCTTGTCAGAAATGGTCCGAGATATATCAGCAGCCTGAAGGTGAGTTTCCGAATGAGACCTTGCTCTCCTTATGGAGTCTCGTTCTAATCAAGAGTGTGGATAGGCATGTACCTTAGCTACGAAGACAGAGGAAACATTGCCGCAGTCATCCAGAACTGGCCACAACCAAATGTCGACATCACCGTCATCACTGACGGCTCTAGAATATTGGGATTGGGTGATCTTGGAATCAACGGAATGGGCATACCAATTGGGAAGCTTGCTCTCTACACTGCCTGTGCTGGCATCAGGCCTGAAGCTACTCTCCCCCTCACCCTTGACTTGGGTACTAGCAATAAGACTCTGAGGGAGGATCCCCTATACATGGGCAGCCGCCGCGGAAAAGTTACCCAGGAGCAGGAGCTCGAGTTTATGGATGAGCTCATGGCTGCACTGACCGAGAGGTGGCCTGGGTAAGCAAACCAATTCTAGACTTGTTTTGAAGCAAGCAAATAACTAACAGTGTGACAGCATTGTCATACAATTCGAAGATTTCAAGAACCCCTTCCCTGCACTCGAAAAGTACCGCCACAACTACACTTGCTTCAATGATGATATCCAGGGAACCGGCGCCGTCATCTTGGCTGGTATAATAAATGCTGTCAAGCGATCTGGTGTCCCGCCAAAGGATCATCGTGCTGTATTCCTTGGTGCCGGAAGTGCTGGTGTTGGCGTTGCTAAACAGATTGTCGACTTCTTCGTCAAGGAGGGAATGACCGAGGATGAAGCCAAAGCTTGCTTCTACCTTGTTGACACCAAGGGCCTTGTCACCGCGGACCGAGGTGACAGACTTGCCGCCCACAAAGTCTACTTTGCTCGCCACGATAACAACGGCCAACAGTTGAAGACCCTGGAAGAAGTTGTAGACCATGTTAAGCCGACCATGTTGATGGGTCTCTCTACCCTCGGAGGCGTTTTCACACCCGAGATCCTCAAGAAGATGGCAGACAATAACAAGCAGCCTATCATCTTCCCTCTCTCGAATCCCTCCGCAAACTCGGAATGTGACTTCAAGGCCGCCATCACTCACACCGATGGACGTGCCCTGTTTGCCTCTGGATCCCCATTCCCTTCCTTTTCCTTCAAGAACAGTGCTGGAGAGACTGCTACATACTACCCGGGCCAGGGTAACAACATGTACGTCTTCCCCGGTATCGGGCTGGGAACCATCCTCTCCAAGGCAGTAGAGGTCACCGACAGCATGATCTACGCTGCAGCAGATGCCCTTTCGACCTCACTTACAACCGAGGAGCTCGACCGAGGCCTGCTCTACCCTGAGATCACAAGAATCCGTGAAGTTAGCGTTGCTGTCGCCAGAGGAGTCATCCGCGCCGCCCAGGAGGCCAAGGTGGATCGCGAAACGGCGATCCGAACTTTCACCGATTCCGACCTGGACTCATGGATCAAATCCAAGATGTACAACCCACACTCCGAGGTCAACTCGGTAGAACGGGAAGTTGGGATCCTTCTGTCGTCCATCGGGCGTATAAACGGAACCTCGACCGGGGATATATCGCCTCGGGGTGAAGACCAAGGGTCCAAGCTCTAGTACTGAATCCCTTTTCCTTTCTCTATCTTCTTCTCTCTTCCCTTTTTGCATTTCACTTCTCATCTTCACGTGATAACGTTGACCAATTTGCCTTCTAATCTTTTTTTTTTTAACGGTTTTCCTTTTTGTATAGTTACTTTTCCTCCTAGTCCATACCCCCCAAGTTCCTGTCCTGTCCTGTCTACTACTACCACTTACTACCTACCTTGTGTGAGCGAATATCTTTGGCTTTTGCATGGCGAATCGATGATAGCATACAAAAAGAGAACAAATGTCGGAGTTATTTTTACTTCCTTGACCTGCGTGTCCTTCTTCCACTATGTAGATTGCCCGTAGTAACACCTTTGACTGTTCCCCGCGATGAAGTCACAAATTCGCCGACTGCTGCCCCTACACTCCATCCTAGGAGGCGCCTTTGCCAAGGGTAAATGCCATGTATACCAAGAGCTGCTGTCATACAACAAACATCTTGACTTGCTCCATCCATCCTGCACGTCCATAACGTGGTTTGATAGCGTGTTCGTAAAGTCACACACTACAAGCCGTCATGTATGTAAATGTATACAACTACATCCCTGTTTGTTGTTATTCTAGCTGCTTGAATCCACTCCACAGTCTAGTCTCCTTTTATTGTCCGTCTGCTAAAGCCAAGTGCTTCGAAAATAAACCACCTCGGCTCGGATTCCAGGCGAGAAAGGAGGATGTATGTGATTCCTGAATCTTCCGAGTTGTCGTCCTCTTGCGTCTGGAATGGTATTAGCGATTGGCTGGGAAATGATATTGATAATACGAGAAGTTTTGATGTTTGTGCATGCTGCATGCGTACGCAGCTAATCAGCAACTGGGAGATTCCGTTGGATCTTTTTGGGATCGGAGGAATATCGGGGCTGGACAGCTTCGTATTTACGTTGTTTACTTTGACAGTTTACATAGTGAGCAATCTAATACTGGGTTACTGCTGCAGGATTGTCCTTGAAGTGGCCTAGGATATGTATGCGTATCGATTATAGATTAAAAGACAAATATCGTTCAATTAATACTTATTTAGATATATGAAATTAGCAGAATAATGGAAACTCTGCCTCGGTCATGATCAAATACTGAATAGGGAACCATAAAAGACACCGGAATGCTACATCTTGCCTCCTTTTATTTTGAATTAGACCGTTTCAAACCGTATACCTTGCCTATGGGTCTGCAGCCGGTAAAAGGCGACATGTTTACATCGGGCTCTTTTCAGATTATGGAGGTTTCGTTTGCGGCAACAGGCCTATCTTCAGTCGATTCCTTTTCTTCCAGGGCATTCATCTCTTCTTCCGTGGAGTTATAGCGACTGTAGAGAATCCAGAAGATAACACCAGCTACTGCCGACGCAGAGGACAACCCGGTATACATCCACTAGAAAGAAGTTAGATATTTGTCCGAGAAGGCCTGGAGGTATGTTTATGAAGGCCGGTATACTTACCACAAGGTTAGGGTCTTTTGCGACAGGGGATATGGCAATGCCAAGAGCAGCTCCAAACGCAGAAGTGAGTAAGAACATGGCCATGACGAACGATTTCATCGAGGGCGGCGCCTTTGTGTATGCGTATTCCAAGCCAGTGATACTAGCAAAAATCTCCGAGAGCCCGATCATGAGATATGCGGGAGATTGGACGGCAACATGGATTTGGTTGGGCAGTTTCCCACCCATGCTGGCAGCGCATTTCATGGGGTTGTTATAACATGGTGGGCTGCTGTAAATGAGATGTTGCACAATCGCAGCATATGCCATTGCGAAGGAGGCGAAGAAGAACCCCGTAGTAATTCGAGTGATGGGCTTAAACTTGATGCCTATAATAACATTAATGTGGCGCCATCCGCACAATGATATATGAATGACTTACCATTTTTGCGCAACAGTGGGTAGACAATTCTATCGCATATCGGGATGAATATTATGATTGCTAACGGGTTAATATTCTGCATGATGTCGTTGGGGATACCATGGAGCTGCATGGTTGCTGCCTGGGAGACAAAATTATTTACCATCTGCTGATAGCAAACCCAGTAGATAGGGAAATAACTATAATCTCAAGTTAGTAAAATAAAAAGACTGGAAATATGGTAGAATGACTTGCATGAATACCCGGCAAGCTACCAAGGCTCGCTTTATCTCATCCACGAATTGGTCATCCCAAGGGTATATGTGTCCTCCATGGGTTCGTTGGTAAGAGCTTTTTGCAGCTTCTAGGTTTCCTCTGTTCTTTAGGCCAATATACATTACCCTTAGAGCGCGAGGGTAGATCGAACCCTTTGGTGGCCGAACAACGTAAAGTTTCCTTCCCACAATAAGCACTGTAAATCCAACGAGGAACATGCATAAGGGAAGTAAGAAAGCAGCCCAGAATCCAATGTGCAATTCCAGTTCAGTTGTTGCAATTGCAGCCAGTGATCCAGTATTGATGCACATATAGAATACCATGTCTATGGCTTTAATTAGCATAGGCCGCTAAGAGAGTGCGACAATCGATTGTAAAACTTACAGACACGCTCCACGGTACGCGCGGGATCGACAATAACTCTCTCCCCAGACTTCAAGGTCTTGATTTCAGGTTTCCTCTTCTTCACTTGCTCGGCAATAAGGGGAGAGATATTTGACTTGATTCCGCCGGTACCCAGGCCAATAATGATCATCGCTGCGATCAAGCCGCCTAGGGATGCTCCATGCTCGATGGCAATAGGAAGTGAGGTGCAGAACAGAACGATGAGTCCTGCGATATAAACTAGAGCAAAGATAACGATAGTGTTGTATTTTCCCATATATTGATCGGCAATGACAGCACCAATGATTGGGGTCACATAGCACCAAAACTACAACGATAGAAAGTCGATTAGAACCACATCTTGGGATAAAGTGTGTATCATCCTTACCTGGAAGAAGCTGCTCAAACCTGTTGCTCTAGACTGACCAAGTCCTATTTAGAGAGTAAATACAAGACCCGATGAAATCTCCAATTGACGATCGAGAGAGCTTACCTATGGCTCCAGGAACTCCACTTGGGTCTTTGTAAGGGCGTTGCATATAATTCTAGGTGTAGCAGTTAATATTTCGGATCTCTATATATGCAATATCGCAGCCAATACCTGAAAAGGTCCATTCAAACCATAGTACGCGAATCGCTCGCACAGTTCAACAACCGCAACGAGGAAGGCAGACCATGGCAGTTTACCCGCCACCTTCCTCAAAGTTGCAAGTTCCTCTTCCGTTGGCGTGTTTTCATCCTCTTCAAGTTGAACAGAAACATCTTCCGGATCAGGAGCGCTAGATGGTATAGGCTCAATGTCTTTTGGTTCAGCCATTTGTATGTTTTCGCCTTGGGTTGATTGGGGTATTCTCGTATAGGCAAAAAATCGACGAAAAACCTGAACTGTTGAAGTACGAAACCATGGGAAGCGAGCGGGGACTCTCGGTAGTAATAAAGAGAAGCTCTCATTTATTGATTGCGGGGATTGCCTGCGGGAGTCGGCGGGAAAAACACCACTAATGTGGGGAGCTGGTGACGTTACTCGTGACTATTTCCTATTATGGTATGTATGCATCCATGGGATGTTCATCTGGCTAGTCAACCATGGTATCGAAAGGCATCAATACAACTCGCCCTGCAACGTTTCATATATTTGTTGACTCAACGGTTGTCAGCGCTTCCTTAATTTCTCCAGCATAGGAGTAGAACAAGAGACGCGCAGCCTTTTCCAACCCCCCTTTTTTTTTGCTATCTGTGATAAGCTGCAAGCATATAAAATATCTCTACTTTATATGACGGCTGTAAGGAAGAGATAAGCTTCCTCTCATCCATGGTCAGGCTTAACCAAGTTGCAGTATCTCAAGCTCCCTTTTTACCGTGAAACACACTTCTAGGGTGGGAACTGCCGGAACAGAATAATTCGACTGGTGTGATTTTGGCCTGGTTATGGAGACTGATGCTCATAGGACGGCATATCTCCCACTGTCAGAGGGGTATAAGCCCATGGATAACGTAAAAAAAAATCTGGAGTCATATGCAGACACCGGACAGCAGCTGTGTATGCAGGTCATCGTCTCTTCCTGATATCCTTCGTAGCAACGCCACCGGTTGACGACGTAATTTATTCCCCGCAGATGGAAGTAACCCTATGCAAACTGTAGTCGCATGCAACCCATTTTCATGGCAGGCAAAGGAACTGAGAGAGGCGAGGCAAACTCTCGACGTTAACGTCCTTCTTGAACTTGTTGGAGTTTTTTGAATGTTGAAGTTGCTTTAAACTACTCTGGAGACACTAAGCCTATTTGGGCACGCGCGAAGCTTCTGCGAGTTTTTGGATCTTTCAAGCTTCCATCAGGTTTCTTGCTCTTCGTTAAAACTGGTAGATATTTATTTGTTTAGCCACATTCATCAGGCTAGAGACGACAGCCTTGAAATGGAGAATTATTCGCTCTTGGATCAAGCGGAAGAAGGTAACTAAGATTGGAAGGCCACTTTGCGAGATCATCACAAAATGTTTAAAAGCTGGAAACTGACAACCCATGCCAGATGGACTTCACAAATCCCGCCTTTTAAATGTTGAAGAGAAGCCATTCAAGCGAATCACTAAGCGCCTCCTTGCTCCAAATTCCCTGGTATCATCACCCAGTTCATTCCTTGCTACACCGCCTCCCGATGCGATCCCGGAACGTGAGGCCGAGAAGCAGAAGATGCTAGAGGAATGGAGACAGCTCCGCGAAGACATTACGCTAGACTTTACCGCTTTCGAAAGCAGCCTGGTACGGATCCAGCTTCTGCTAGCGAGCAATGAGAAAGAGCGTGAACGATATGCGGCCGAGAAGCTAGAGATCATGGCGACGGCGCAGGAAGTTCGAGACAACACTACGGAGCTAAGGTCGCAGCTGGAGGAGGCGCAGAATACGCTTGCTTTACGAAAAACGTACGACGAGCTAGCGGACAAGATTACTTCTAACCGACTACTTCGGCCACGCGACGATCAGCAGGCGAATCTGGAAAAGCTGCATGCAGAGATCGCAAAGCTAGAGAAGGAGAGCTCAGAATATGCACAGACATGGGCAGAGCGAAGAGAACAGTTTGGCCGCATTGTTGATGAGGGAATGAACCTGAGGCGGCTGATCAGGGATGAAAAGGAGGAGGTTGAGAGACGAGAAGGAATGGAAGAAGATGATGATGGCGACGAAGGGGATGCCAGTTCCAAGGGGAAGAGAAGCGCAGTCAGCACGCCCCGGCCTGACGCAGATAGCAACATGACTCCCTCACAACAAGCTAGCGGGGAAGAGACAAACCCGGCGATCACGAAGCTCCAGGCCGAGAAGTCTCGACCTGCAACTCGCGGTGGTACTCCGCTTAGACAGGCTATTACTGCGTCTGCGTCCCCCACCCCAGAGGGGAAACAGGCATCTCCGGATGACGGGGATGAGGATATGGTTGATGAGGGAGAGGTTTCTGGCGATGAAGGGGAGTCTCGGGACCGAGCAGCGTCGCAGACCATGGAAGATGACTTTGAAGAAGGAGAAGAGATACCGGACAGCCGCCCGACAGAAAAGATGGACACGACGTAATTGGATAGATGACGATCCCTAACGCAAGCCAAGTATCACTGGCCTAGCAGAATACTGCATTGAGGTGGGCAATATTGATACCCCATGAACGACTCAGAGGATGCCACGGCCAAATGGAAGGAACCAAACTATTTTCTGCGCGGCATGAGAATTACGATTGAGAAAGAATATACACATACATTGTGAACCCAGCTATTTACGCTTGTCCATTTTTCCCACCCCGAACACATCTACATCCTTGGAACTTTTAAAGGTGTCATTCCACCACCATGTCCTACGATATCTCCCTGACAGCAGTCTTGGATAGAGCTATCGCTTCCTTTGCCGCAGTTATCTGAGCAACGTCACTGTCCGCTCCCTTTTGGCCTTCTTCAGCCTGTCATCGATGAAGACCGGTTAGTTTCGATTCACCCACAAGATAGACAGAGATAGCAAATGTAGAACCAAACGCAAAACTCACAATCAGACGCTCCAACTTTGAAACTGCCTCGTTGATCTTATCCTTCAGCTGAGGTAGAAGCTTCTCGGTTTCTTCTAGTGCTTTGCGCTAAGGGCAGGCTGTCAGGGCTTGACTTCGTATAGATGGGGCAGAACGAAGGTGGCCAACCTCTTGATTGAGCATGTACTCGCGGTTCTCGTCGTCTGTGGCATCCTTTGACAGCTTCTCGATACGTTGTTCCTGGTCCTTCTTTTCACGCTGGTAGGATGCTTCTTCCTTGACTAGTCTCCGGACAGCGCCAGTCGAAATGGAGAGGGGCGTCGAGGGCGCCATTTCACCAAAAACAAATCTGTTCAAATACAGTGATGTTTGCTAGGTAGCCGGCCACAACTGATTGTTATCTGGTTGTCTTGTTGGTTTGCAAGTCGAATGGATTTTTTGTTTTTAGAAAAGCAAGTGGGATGGTCTTATCGATAAGATCACGTGTGCTACCCCTTTTTCTTGCGGTAGAAAAAGCCATGGAAGATGAAGAAGCTGAAGAGAAGCGGAGAATACGAGGTAGAAGTGTATAGAAGTATATACGGAGAAAAGATAGACGGTCATGTTTACCATTATGGACAGAAGGAAGTGGTTACATCGAATTAGAAGAGACAGACAGAGAGAGAGGCGCAAAAGGCAGGCTATGCGCCGACCTCGACGGTAAGACAGAGTGCTGGCCCTCGCTGGGTGTTATAGAGGCCCATCTCGTTGGCGATGCGCAGGGCAACATCCTTCCAGACAACAGAGACCTTCACCAGACCCGTCGGAATCTTACTAGAACCCTGATCGGCCGGCTCTTCGGCACGCCAGCCCAGCTGCTGGTCGTTGATCGTATCGTCTGAGCCCGCCAGACGGCCCCAAATGGAACGTCTCGACCTTCCTTTCCGTGACTGCGACTGCGACTGCGACAGTGTCTGTTGTTGCTGTTGCTGCTGCTGTTGCTGCTGAGCGGGTTCTCCAGGTTCGGACAGGGGAGAGGCTGGTGGGTCGACATACAGTCGATGTCCTGACGCGGCGAGACGAGCGCGCATAGCTGACTCTAGTTCGAAGACGACGGCAGGCTGTCTCCAGAACTCCATGTTATGGCTCTGGCCCTGGAGACGGACAAGTCTGACAACCTCGTCGGACGGGAAGCCTATGACCTGCGGCTCTTGCGGTGTGGTGTATGCATTGCTGGGCGCGTCCTGGAGACTGGAGACGCTAGAAGGAACGAGAATGAAGGTGGTCTTGTATAGGCCGGCGGCGCCCTGGGAGAAGAGCAGAGGATCGACGTAGGTGGTGAGTATAGACTGGATGCGCTGCGTTCTCGTCTCCGCGAGCTGCTGCGGTAGTAGAGACGGCGAACCGAGCTGCTGCTGCTGCTGCTTCTTGTCAAGTGCGAAGGAGGCCTGCGACTCCTCGTACGAAGGCACTTCCTCCATCGTCATATCACTTTTGCGTATTACTATGCAGTGGGAGCAGTCTTGTAGTGGTTCTATAGAGTGGTGATGGTTGGGGGGAAGAAGCAAGGCTCCGCGGGCCAGACAAGATATATACGCACATACGTTATATGCCCTGCTGCTTGTCCCTGGGCGAAAAGACGTGGCAGTGTGCGGAAGTTACCTACCTCAACGGTTCTACCAAACTTCCCCGGAGCAACGGCATATCTTGTCGGTTTCACGATAATAATCCACGACCTCTTACCAGGGCTACTTTGTACAAGGATGGCGGAGTCGCCCGGAAGCAAAGTCAACCGTGGGAACCAAAAAAACATCGCCCAACCTCCCCGTATGACGTGCACTGCCCCAAGCAATAAGCAGAGAAGAAACAGATGAAGCCCCAAGAAACGGAAAATGTGCCCGACCCCCTCTAAGCCCTGCGATGCCCGCTCCGCTCCGCCAATGAGGACATCGCCCCGTATCGACTAGCGAAACATCCCTGGCAGTCTTGCGGCTCTGGCAGCTTGATCCTCCACAGGAAAAGTGGTTCGTCTTGAAGCGCTAGGCTGGAGCAAGACGGCGCATTGAATATGCTTTTTGCTATGCGAAGATGGAGCATGGCAAGGCGGCTTCTCTCGTTTCCTGCGCCAAATTCCCGCTCGTATTGCTGGATGTTGGTTGGTTCCGCCGGTTCGCCTATGCGAAAAACGTACCATGGCAACGCCTTCTAGTCGTTCCGCTGGATAGACTCATGAAAGAGGGCAAATATCGGGAGTTTGGGAGCAAGAGATTAGCTGGGATCATTGCATTGCCTGGTTGTGACGGCATGGATATGACGGTGTCTACCGGGCTTGAGCCTTATGGCTGTCTATATAAACCCCTACCTTTCTTCACTTCCTCTTCCCATCTTCATACTCGCTCATACTCTCTACATACTCACTCATACTCACCCATACTCTCTACATACTCACCCATACTCACTCATACTCACCCATACTCTCTACAGCCGCAACAGCTGCACTTTACAATCTAACACCTCAACTCATACACCATGTGGTAAGTAGCCGCTGCAGGTTAGTCGAATATAGTCTAACATCATATAGGTACAACGTCTCTGAACCAAACGAGTACCTGGTCATCACCGGTGCCGGCATCCAAGATGTCATCATCAAGAAAACGGCTTTCCTCATGCCATGGCAGAAGGTGGGTTGAGTTCCATGGCCAGCAGAGATGTTCAAGGGGCCCATGGCTGACGGTTTCTGTCCAGTGTACTCGCATCTCTATCTCTCCCTTCGACTTTTCTCTCAATCTTCAGGCCATGACCATCGAGAAGCTCCAGTTTGCTCTCCCTGCAGTCTTCACCATCGGCCCGGATAACAACCTGGCGTCGCTCAAGAAATACGCCCTCCTGCTGTCTGGTAAAGCCGATCGCAAGAGTAACTCCAACCAAGCCTCTGGAAACTATGTGCAGGATATCGTCAAGGGTATTATCGAGGGTGAGACTCGTGTCATCGTCTCTGGCATGACCATGGAGGAGATCTTCAAGGAACGCCAGCTCTTCAAGCAACATGTCATCGACAACGTTCAGAAGGAGTTGGACCAGTTTGGTCTCAGAATGTAAGCCATAAATCCACTGAAGGAGAATATCCCAGGCTAACGAGATAAAAACACAGCTACAATGCCAACGTCAAGGAGCTCCAGGACGCCCCTGGAAGCGAATACTTCACCTACCTCAGCCGCAAGGCCCATGAAGGAGCACTCAACCAGTCCAAGGTCGAAGTCGCCGAAGCTCGCATGAGAGGTGAAATCGGAGAAGCCGAGAAGCGAGGAAAAACCAAGCAAGAGATCTCCAGAATCGACGCCGAGACAGCCGTCCTCGAGACCAAGCGTCGAAGTGACAAGCTACAGGCCGATGCCCAGCTCACCAACCGCCAGACGGAGCTCAACATGGGCATCGAGCTAGCCAGAATCCAAGCAAAACGCCATGCCGAAGCAAAGGATTCCGAATTACAGAAACATGTCGAGACCAAGCGTGCAGAGACGGAGCTCGAGAGACTTCGAGCCATCGACGTTACCAAAAGCAGAGCAGCCAGAGAAGCCGCCGAACAGACCGCTGAAGCCACTTACTTCAGCCGCACTAAGGATGCAGATGCCAACCTGTACCGTACCAAGGTGGATGCTGACGCAGCCTGTAAGCTATATACTCAACCCCTCCTTCACCCTCCCTCGTCATAAAATACTAACCGCCTCAAACAACAGTCTACCGCCAGACCAAAGAAGCCGAAGCAGCATTCTACGCCAAACAGAAAGAAGCCGAAGGTATCATGGAAATGGCCAAGGGCTATGGCGCCCTCGCCGACGTCCTCGGAGGACCACAGGGTCTCCTCCAATACATGATGATCCAGAACGGCACGTACGAGAAACTCGCCAAAGCAAACGGCCAAGCCATCCATGGCCTCCAGCCCAAGATCTCCGTCTGGAACACCGGAAGCGCAGAGGGGGGCGCAGGTGCAGCAGACCCAACCGCACCACTGCGCAATCTCATGCAGTGCATGCCCCCCCTCTTTTCAACCATACACGAACAAACGGGCATTGCGCCCCCAAACTGGGTGGCTCAAATGCCACCACCAGAGAAGCAGCAGCTGCTGCCAGAGCACCCCCAGAAGGTTGGAGGTGCTAAGGTCAATGGATCGGGGAAGTAAAGGGATTGCTACTTAGGTAGCGTTTGTGCTTCGGTTTTTATCCGTTCGTCCTGGCTGTTTTGCCTTTATACCCTTAGCAAGTTTTGTTACCTGTGCCCATCCCTGCCCCTATAAGCCATATCTTCTTATACCAGCTTATCCAGGCTTAATAGTAAGGGGTGGGGATGGGGATGGGCACAGGTGTTTAATGCCTCTCACTGTCTTTTTTTCCCTTTTTCTTCCTTCTTTTTAAGCTTATGTTTTCATTTGTTTAGCAATGTTTATTTTTACCATAGAGCCATCCTAAGCTTTAATATCATTACTTTATCATTATCCAATCCCTGAATTTGATGACCTAGTCGAATTTGTAGCCCTTAAACCTCCGAGTAGGTACATTCCTCTCAAACATGATATCAAGTTCCTCGTACGTCCTACCCTTTGTCTCGGGGACCCTGAAAAACGTCCAGACAAAGCATACCGTGGCGAGGCCCTAGAGGTATCCAGCATTATTAGCATAGATACGCTAATTTCACCAGCAAGATGGCGACGTACCCCGAAGAAGAAGCCAAGTTTCCCTCGCCAGTTCGCCGCATCCGGGTTGATCATGTACGGAATGGCGACTGTCATAACTATACCTAGCATCGCCTGCACTGCAGTCGCCAGAGCGATAGTCTTAGACCGAATCTTTGTCGCAGAACATTCACATAGTATAACGAAACAAACCGGCCCGACAGATAGACTGTAGGCAAAATTCCAGACTACCATCATCGATACTTGAGCCCAGATGACACTAGGGCGTTTCTCGTAGTTGGGAACACAGTCGAGGATGCCGATGATAAACTGGAGGAGTGCAAGCATTGCCAGGCCGTTGCGATAAATGGTCCGACGGCCAAAGTACGCCAGCTCAAACCACGAGAGAACAGTACCGAGGAAGCCGACGCCGAGGAATCCAAGCTGATAATGTGAGTGAAGCTGCATTTTATTTAAAAAAAAAAAAAAAGAATGAGTACTTGGCTTACCCCCATGCTAAAAGCGTCATCAGAGCTAAGCCCGGCAACTATACAGATATCAGTATCATGTTAATGTTTATTTTGTGAAGTACTGAAGGGAAGAAGTACGGGTGAAGAAGTAGTTTGAATAGCCAACGAGATAAATCCCACTGAGGACCTGGATCGCATAAACTCCAACAGCAATTTCTGTGCGTCTGACATTGACACTTTTAAAGCAATCTAGGAGCGTAGTGCCAGCTTGCATATGCTGCTCTAGTCTGTCCGTTTCAATAATCATAGCCTTTGGTAGGAGAAGAAGTTAGATACGGCTTCGCAGGCTTCCATATTTGATCCACTTACAAGAGTAGGTTTAACATCGACTTTCGACGAAGCAAGTCGACGCAAAGACTTCTCTGCGTCCTCCATCCTCTCCTTTCTCACCAGCCACCAGGGACTCTCGGGAGCAAAGGGAACTGTGCATAAAATGATAGCCGGCCAGATCCACTGTAGAGCAAAGGGGAAGCTATAAGCCCAGTGTGAATCCAGGTTGTGTGTGCCGGCCGAGATACCATTAGCAAGGAACTGGCCGATAACAAAGCAAAGGTTGACGTAGGATGTTAGGATACCACGCAGGGCCACCGGGCAGACTTCAGAGGCATACGTAGGAGCGATGACGGTATATGTACCCAAGACAAGGCCACCGAGTAACTGACCGACTATCAGCACTTCAAGTGATCGTGCGAAAAACTGGATAAAAATGAAGCCCGCCGTCATCATCACGCAAGCCTTAGGGAAAGGATATAAGTAAGAGGGATATTCCTCGTCGTAATCAGGGCGACAAAACGGTACATACAAGGAACGTCCGCTTCCTACCAAACCACTCCATAGGATAGCTGACGAGCAACGCGCCAACCACCTGTCCGATGGGGCTCCCCATACTGTCTCCATCATATTAGCCCTGGTTAAAATGCATACATATACATCGTGGTCTCAGTACGCTCACCTCAGGCCAGATTGCCAGGCAGCAGATATATTCCATTTCCCCTCGAACTGGTATCCAAAATCTCGCTGGAACCTAGCCACAGGGAACATGTTCCCTATCACCTGAGCGTCAAACCCGTTCATGATGACACCCATGCAGAAGAGTAACGACCAAGCGATGGCCTTGGGGTATAGCTTTATCGCGCGCATGATACCCATCTCATGTTCTTTCTGTGTTGCGAGCTGGACATCAGCCTCTCGCTCATCCTGATTCAGCTTGTGCAGGTCATCGTCTGTTGCCAACGCCATCTTCAACGGCCCTAGGCTGCTAGTCGTGCGTCTGTCTCGGAGCTCGATCAAACTGCTTTCTCAACCGCTGCTTTAGCTGGGCTAAACGGCCAGCAACTGAATAATTATGTCTATCCATGGGTAGATAGCATGAAGGGAGCTTATCCTCGTGCAACACCAGCAGGATACGGGCGTAGGTAGCTTGTACTTCATCTGCCATAGTAAAACACACTGCAGCATAAGTATATGGTACTTCATCATTACCGAGGGATCGTGTTTTAGCCGTATATGGCGTCTAAACGGCTACCAAAGCTGAGATAAACGGTATGTCATCTAGAATATCACTGATTAATATCCGTACTCCGTACATTTCACTGTCTAACTAGATGATTCTTCGAATATCATGAAGATACGTTTCTCTCTCCTTTTGTCGCTGTGTAGAATCACGTGATAACTAACTAACTACGGACCAGAAGACGACGTTTTTTGTTAAGCAGTTAAAACACAAGGACGGGGACTGTTGTCATGGCATCTCCCTTTCCCCTGGCTGGATGTAGGAATACAGGAAATCTCTCGAGCCCGCCATTTCTAATGCCTAGGAAGAGAGCTCTGAGATATACATTGGCGAGGGACAGTGGTGGGCTGCCCTCTCTCTAATGGAATTTATGAACAACACCTTGCGTGGCGTCTACTCACCAACGAATCCGGCAGCCTCCGTGAAACTCAAGGCCAGTCGGTGATAGTGTCTTACATAGTACACGGTCTGCTCTTTACTATCTATGGTGCCAGGGCATATCTGACTTTAAAGACTAGTTTAATAAGCGTCTCGTGTTCGATCGTGTTTCGTACGACAATCCCGGATTCTCCGAAAACCCCCCAAGCTTATTTATATGCCACATGGACGTCGCCCCTCGCAGCATGATACTTAATAGAGATATAAGATTGGCTATTTGACTGGCCCAGTCGGGTGGATGTCCTGCGCTATCTGAGACAGCCGCGCTCTTGAGGTCTGGCTGTCCTGACTTTACCCAAGGAATATTGGGGCATGTGGATGACTACCAAGAGGAAGCAAAGCATTTGCTGACAATTGGTTTTGCTTTGACAACGGCAGCACGGACAAAACCACCTGGCCATATACCGCAAAGGAGTTGTTAATAGAAAGTACCAGGACTCATTCCAGTAAGCTGAGCAGTTGGCACGCACTGGCCTTCGGACAACCAAACTTACTGAAAAGCGTTATACACTGCCTGCGTTTCAGTTTAGTTGACGGTGATTTGGCGTTCCTGCACCAATACAGACACAGGTAAAAATCCGACAAGATAACAAATACCTCAATTTGAGAACTGGCAATAAACACTGCTTTCTATTAACAACAAATAGTTCCCAAAATACCCCCAATTTTTTAAATAAATAAGAAAAGCACAGGAGTTGATAAAGAAATTAATCAAAGGACCCAAGATGACAAATTATGAATTGGTGGACAACCGGCAAATCATATCCACAAGTACGCAAATATCCGGGAACATCTATGGCACATTCCCCGTGTCCGTGACGTCTGTTGGCACCCAATGCTCTGTTGGGTAGGGAGTTGGTAATATCCTACTCCGCCGGGAGGTACTCTTTAGATATATGAATTTCGCAGGATATTTGTCCCCAGGTGGGCGGGACTGTTCTTCCTGCGAACTTTGCCCTTCTGTGTTTCCCGCACCATCTCCGCCCTCGTGCGAGTAGGACTGTTCCTCCTGCGAACTTTGCCCTTCTGTGTTTCCCGCACCATCTTCGCCCTCATGCGGGCGGGACTGTTGCTTCCGTGAACTTTTAGGTATGTCTTCCATTTCAATTTCGTCGGCCCCTTTTTGCAAGCCAGTTCGCCGCGGATGATCCCCTTGCTCCGATTCAGTCCTTCTTGTCAAGTCTGCATTTCTACGGTGGGTCAAATATGCGATAGCTAGGGTTCCAAAAGACCCTGCACTAATCACGATGCAGGTGCATATGGACACGATAATAGACGCCTCGAGAACCATATTGAATTTGGCAAGCTGAGAGAAATGTCCTTGGCTTGGGACTGTGACAAAATTCGTTGTAGTTTGATATTCAACGAGGCAAAGTTTGGTGTTTTCTTGGAATAGTCTGTCTGGCTTTTTCAGGATAGCGTGGGGCTATGAGGATTATCAACTGGAAGCGGTTGTCAGTTTACCTTCTGTGTGGTGGAATGTGTTGACTTTTATAACATATGACTGCCATTACTGAGACAGATGGAGGGATCTCAATCCATTATCACCAGCTTTTCTGGCCTTTGGGAGAAAAAGCTGGAATAGTAACTTCTGTCTTTGTAGCATCTCCTTCATCTTTCTATATTCTTCCATTACCACTGTTTGTCATGTACAAGCTCACATTTTACAATTCCTCCTTACCTTCATACGAGTAATTAGCTATGATAGCACTGTTCCCAGAAAACGTATACATGTCCAAAGAAGGCGCTAACTATGCTGTAATATATAAGCCGCATATCAGCTATTTGATAGCTTAACCAATTAGTTAATTACACGCCCACCCTTGATATTCTACTTAAAATCCATCCAATTGCTTAAAACGTGGAGTTATAGCGTGCTTTAACGGCTCTATATCATCGTCGTATTATTAGAATTCATGACAAGTAACATTATTTTTTAGCTACGATGAAGAATGCAGGTCCTCATACGCTAAGTGGTCGTTCCCAGGAGCTAGTTAAGCTAACTACTGTGAGGACAAAGCCTCATTCTATTCTAGAAATAGCACAAACCTCTAGCTGAAACTGGGTTTTGAAACTGGGTTTATCATATATTGTCTACACTCTTAACCATGAAGCACTTCAGATCCATTACGTTCTTCCTCTTTGTGCTTTTGTCTAGCATTATGATGAAGCCCATCCTTTGAGCAGTATTGTCATCTAGCCTTTATCTCCATAGACCTCTTAACAGGTTTATAGCGTCCGCAACCTAGAATTATCATCTCACTGAGGAACCGCACCACTCCAATAGGCCTAAGGAACTTGCATGCCATAACTAAGAGGCTACCACCTAGTGTACTTGGATAACACTAGATGGGGTTACGATTGGGCGGCCAATATATCCACCGGTCCAAAAGTCTCAGCAGAAGCAAATAACTCTATCCGAACTGATAGGGACCATCTTGAAAATGATAGATAGTGATGGTTCGTTCTATATCTGCTCCCTTTTTACCTTTACCTTTGGGTAGAGAGAATAATGGCATTGCATTGTGGACTTGGAGGGATAGTATGATACAAGAGGTAAGGAGGAAATTTCCTACTCCCAACCTTGTCATTTGTTTGGAAGAATGGAATGTTGTCAACTGCGGAACTAATCTCATGCATAGTTGGCGGACCATTCCCATATTCTAGAATGAAGCTATTCATTCCTCATGGGCTTAATACGTGCATCCAATATGCTAGGGTGTGCCCTCTCACCCTTATTCTATTCCTATTAAATCATACATACCCAGCGGAGTGAGCCGTAATAATATAATCATTCAACTCTGTCAATGGATCCTGCCGGGTTCATTGTAACCAGTTCATCTTATTTAAACGATGTTCGATGCCTTCGACATGAGGACTCACAAACAACTATTTTCATATAACTCATGTTTCGAATAACTATACAAGCGCACAGCTTTCAACTTTGATCAAGATGACACTCGGAGGAGCCTGGAGCCTGTTCCATTATCTTGAAGGCTTCCGTGGTGGTGGTCTTAGTCGCCATGATACCCGCGATCGGGATGAAGCTGAACTTCACAATATAGAGCACAGCCACTTCCACAACTTGCCTGCAGAACTACTTTGGATCATCCACGAGTTCCTGAAGCCTGAAGATTCATTTGCACTATCACTCACTTGTGCTCGGTTCTATTATTCTGGCATCCTTGAAGGTGTTCAACGTGACCTAAGGTCAACCAAGCTGGGGCATTTTATCACTCTGTGCATGTTCGAAGGTGTCGGAGAGCTAAAAGAGTTCTGCTGCCGGGGGTGTCTCACTACCCATCCCGCCTCAGATTTCTCAATGGATGAGCTAGAAAAACGTCATGCGGAGCGCTATTGTCTGAGAACAAAAAAGGTCTTTAAGTTTACTGATAGAGAGTACAGCTTTGCTGATATTAAACGGATAAGGGATGGAACACAATCGGAAAGCAGCAATACTCCAACACCTCAAGGAAACGCCTTCACAAAGTTATTTTCTTCGCCTGAGATGACGATAGTAAGCAAGGTGCAACTATTTCCTTACAACAAGCCGGTTTCCAAAGCTCAATTTGAAGACCTATGCAAGAAACTAAACTACGCTGTCTGTAATCATATGATGCTAGGTGACAAATGTATCACGGATATGTTCTTCCCCGAGTGCTTTCTTAAGGAAACCGGCAGCTCCCTTGAAGAGTTGCAGAAGTCGAGGCCGGATAAACAATTTCACAAGTGTAAGGAGTGCAACACGACGGTGGCTATAACCGTTGGATTATGTCCTAGAGCTTGTTGCTATGAGACTTGTTCCGCCATCGTCATGAGACGAGTCGGTAGGCTTCTTTCTCCTCTGGAGCCTGAATGGATAGCCCAGGCCACTTCTTCTGCTGGAACCCCTGCCGACCATAAATTAGCGATAGAAGCAAACAAATGGTACAAGAGACATTGGGTGACAGATGGGGGCCATGGCGCTGAGATAGATTGTCCTCCGCTAAACGATGATGCCCTGTTTGCCCCCATCACCCTACATAGATCTTCATGGATGGCGAGGCTGGGTGTAAAGGCTTGGTCGTTTGCATGTTCGTGGGTCCCGGAAGACATCCATAGGAAATATGGCGAGAAAAATGGCGAGAAACACGAGATGAACTTCGCTGGTCGGTATCGTAGGATTAACAAGGCGTTGGGATTCCCTAAATCTGACTGAGGAGACCTCAATATGTCTTTTGTATCTTTAACTTGAACTCATCTAGAGATTACAAGCCGTGTTTGAATCTGACCTCCAGGTCGTCCGGTGTTCATTTTTTGGAAGTCCATTCCAACCGGCCCTTTATTTATCCGTAAGCTTTCTCTGACGTAATATGTCATGTGACTATCATAGGGCGAAACTTCCAACGTCTTTTTGGTCGGCAGCAACAAAGTAGTTGTTGGCCATTTTTCATCATTGTCGTATTCACTCATCTCTTCCGCCCATGAGTATATAACACTTGTTTTAATGATAATATTTTGCTCTCTCCAATGCTCTAGCCCATGAAATCCCTCCACGAGTCCCTCGTCTTGCTTCCATCCCCCTTGATTTCTACCTTCGCCTTGACAACTCCTAAATTCCGTTCGAGTCGTTAGGGTCTTATTTCTTCCTTAGTCCGTTCCTAGACCTCTTTCTTCGGTATTTGTAGGTAGATAGAGCTTCTTGAACATATGGTTTCTTCGTCGCACCAAAATATAGGGGCTCCGTCCCTCCTATTGATGGCCCGTCGGATGTGTGTCAAGGTGGTCAGGGGTGAGTAGACGATGTTTCTATTGCACTTTTTTTTTATTTCATTCAGTGTCAGTTTAACTAATAAATCTAATAGAAATCACAGATGTTGGCTTGGCTCGTTATGATGTTATACGTCCTATCCTTCAAAAGATAGAGAACCCTCAGCAGCTGGTAAGTGAGCCCCTTACCTGGCCTTAATTTGATAGATCTCACTTTGCTGACCTGTGTCTTCTTCATTGCTTTCTTCCCCCCGACCAGCACGAGCTTGAGCAAAGATCTCCACATCTTCTTGAGCATGATGCTGAGCTCTGGATTGAATTCATTAAACGTGATATCTACTTCTGGGAAAGCCTTGATCTATCTGAAACTCCGGAGAGTTGGTACAGCTTTTATACCACTCTTAGGGAGAAAGCCGCCAAGAAAGTTGATGAAGATGCAGAGCGCATGAGACGTGCGTTACAAGGCCTTGACAAGGAGAAATCAAAGCACACTCCGAAGATCGTTGACATAAAGAAGATGCGTCTACCAAGGGAGAAACCTACTTCTGTTCAGCGATATGCCCATCATGACCGCATAATGGGTGGCATTACTCCTACCTTTGCACTAAATACAAAAAATAGCGATTCTAATAATAGCAAGCCATGGGAGGATAACTCAAGGTGGAAACTAGTCCCTCCCAAGTTGCCTTCTAGACCTAGCTCTGGTGCTTCTTCTGGGAGTAGGAAGTCCGCTTTACCCGCAGCTGTTAAACGCAACCCTAAATTATCCACACCAACTCATCAACTCAATAGCATGGCGTCCCGTGTCAGCAAAGCCCCCAAATCTTTTATTGAAGACCACAAACCTGTGAACCCCATTAAACGCTCCATTAGGCCCGCACTTCGCACCAGCAGTCCTATAATACCTTCTTCTCCACTAAAATATACCGCAGCGCCGCTGACGGCCGCGGGAATTTCTAATACAGCTTCACGCCGTGCCCCTATTGCTCAATCTATATTTTTGCCTCCCAAAACCCGAGTCACTCGCTCTATTGAAATACCTAAATCAAATTTTAGACCAACTACCACCACGCAGGTGGACTCGTGCACTGACACCCCTCATCTAATTATCCCTAATGACGACCGTGAACACGATACAAGACTCCAGGACGGCGGCACCACCTCTAGCAGGCCAAATTTGGAAAATAAGAGACATGCTGAACGGGGTTCCCCCAGCACCTCATTCGACCATAAACAGAAAAGACTAAAAGTGGCATAAAGCACAAAGGAACAAGGCCAAAAAATTACTACGACAGGATACGATCACACGAATAACTACCGAACATTTTCATTAACCGCCTTTCCTCAAATCTCAATTCCAATTTCAACTTTTCTCTCAGATTCAATCATATTGGCGTATTTATCTGGGTTGGTACTACAGAACTAATTTGGCATCTTTTCCACGGCGCTCGGCATTCTCTCTAGCGCACGATATATGGGGTATACCCGATGAACCGCAGTTCAGCTGGCTCGAATTGCATTTCTTGCTTCCCTCTATTTATGCCATTCAGAGTCAGTATGCCTAGGCAAACCCTTCGCAATTTTTACCCGGTCGATAATGTCACTTTCACTGTCTATTCTATGCTATTATTTATTTGGGGTTTAAGGGCGTGACCTGCGTTGGGATGAAAATTGGATATAAATGATACACGGAGAGGTCATCTGGAAACGAAGCTGGTGGGTTTAGGATGGGGTAGAATATATACTACATTGGCGCCGCTTGGATTGAAGGTGATTATTAAATTATGTATTTCTTAATTTTTTTTTCTGCGTTTCCGTATTCATATAAATTACAAGTTCTCATTATTGTTCATCATGTTAATTCCCTCATAGTCGATCTGCCTTCAGTTGGAGATTCTGGTTCCTCATCAATTGCAAATCGGACATTAGTGCTTGCCGCGCCACGCTTGAATGCACTTCGCCTGCTTGAATATATAGGTTGTAATCTGGGCTCGCTTGCGGCCCACAGTTTACTAGGAAATGAAGTTGGTAACGGTGTTGCTGGCGTTGTAGACATCTGGACCAATGCTTTGGCTCTTGCAGCCCGCTTTGAAGGACTGTTCAGATATCCTGGTGTCGATATAGGAGTATGGGATATAAAAACCGGCTGCCGTATCGGTGGCTCTTCTCTACCTTGGCCCATTGTTTGCCATTCATTCGGGTCGTCAAATTGAATGTCATGGCCGCCCTTTGATGGAGTAACAATTGGGAACGAGTCAAAGTTGGTTTCCTTCGAGATCCGAGCCTTCTCGCGCCAATGATGGATCATATTCCGGTAGTGCTTTCGAGTGTTTCGGTCATACAAAGCATCAGCGGTTTCTAGCCGCGTTTTCACTTCGAAAATACGGAGACTTAGCTTCCGAATTTGTGCAAGAGCGACGCCAGAAATGTGGATTTCTAGAAACCGGGTCGCTTTCTCATCAAGCATTTTGTAAGACCTTTGCATACCTGCCCAATGGGTTAGGTTGTTGTAGACTAGCTGTCGGTTATAGTATAGTTGAGCATCGGCAAGGTTTTGCGAACGATGCGTCGCCTTTTCTGACCAGAGATGGAACATGTTAGTCCCGGCCGCAATCAGCTTCGCTCCGTATATCTCAGTCGATTGCTGGTGTATGTCACGCACAGTAGCGCAACGGGATCGCCAGGCGGAGATGACTGCAGAGGCGAGATTCATTTTCACTTTGCGCCTAATGGTTGCGTATGCTTCTAGCCTTCGTCTCTTGGAAGATTCTGCTGTTGCGCTACGCCATTGCTTCAACGTTTTCGTTGTCAAGAAGAAATACTCTGATTTCTTTGCCCAAGTATCGAGAGTCTTCAAATGTTCGCTGCGCGCTTTCCAGTTCTGAAGTACTTCTTGTTGAACTGGAGGTGCATAGAATGCTCGGCTTACCAGTTCGCGTTGCTTTTGAATATCAAGTCGCTGTTTCCAGTAGCTAAAGATAGCTTGGACTAGTTTTCGTTTTCTATCGGTACGGAATCTCGCTTCCTTGATAAGAAGCTCGTTGTACAAACTCCGTGAATTTTCCATTAGTTTTTTGAGATAACTAGCCTTGAGCCGCTGTTGATGTATTCGATCCAACAGGCGCAGCCTACCCATAAGAATCCATTTGTATAATGCCTGCAAAACAAGCCGTTCCTCAGTTCGCGACGACAAAGCCTGACAGCGAAGGTGGTCATTCCAGGCTGTCCAGCAGTTACCCATAACACGAAGTTTGTCCGCGTCCCGCGCGCGTCTCTCCATGCGTGTCTGTCGAGACCAGTCATTCAAACATGAGCGCACAAGCTTAGTATTGACTAGGCAGGTCACCATTTCAAAGGGCCGTTGATATTTCTGTTTGACGGACCATTCTGTCAGGTAGTATGATGTGAGGCGGGATTTCCACTGGCTATCCGCACTGCATTCAGCTGAGGAAACTGCACGATATTTCTGCACCAGAGCTTGGAAAGTTGCTTTTAGAGAGTTACCGGTGCGATTAGAGTCGATTGCAAGGTCTCGTTCCCTTTGGGTTCGAAGGGCACGGAGCCAAGCGATGAATGATCGCTGCTTCAAGCGTTCCTTGTTCCACCGGGGAGCTAGCTTGTCACAGAAAGACCAGAACCAATGCGAGTACGCATTCTTCTTTAGGCGTCGCCGGCGAAACTCGTCTGCTTCAGAATCGAGGGGGACTATGCGGCGATGTTGAGAATGCCATATTTTGAATGGCCTTTTTAGTATAAAACGTTGAGCTTTAAGTTCATTCACTGCTGTAATTTCACGCCACGCGTTGAAGTATTTGATACAGATGAGGTGGCGTCGAGCAGCCTCAGTTCTATGAACCTCGTCGGAGGCAATCTGCGACCAGTGAGTAAAGGCTTTTGTAAGCAGGTATAGATCTCGGGCACGCGCAGCCCGCTCCTCCAGGTTGTTAAAAAAATTCTCAGTTTGTGCGGCTAATCTCTCGGCCTCAGCGGCTTGACGTTTGTCTCGCAGGGCAGCTTTCCACAACTCTAGAACCTGGACAACCAGTGCTCTACTATCATAATAGATGGCCCTCTGTTCCATCGCCTGTACTAATTCACGTTTTTGCTTCGCCATGTCAGACCAGCTTGACAGCATCAGCCGTAGAGAATTTCTTTGTCGGTACATATCAAAAACCGAGGCATCTCTTAGCCGTTGCGTGTTTGAGGGTTGATAGAACAGCTCAGCGGGTACTTGAGGAGGATCGGGTGTATCATCTGAAGCACTCGAAAGTGCTTTTTCACTATGCTGGGGCTCTAAGGCACTGTCCGGGTTACTTTTATAGTCAGCAGCAGATTCCTGGGTATCAGAGTGTCGTGAACTCCGCGGAAGGGAGAAAGAGTTTGTATCATCACCCGAAGCCTGAGAAGCTGGACCGTTGGTATGGCAACCTGCAGCATCTTTTGATCTATGATGTTGGGGAGAGTGGTCCGATTTGTAAGGATAGAATTTTTTAATTTCAGCATCAAAGTCTAGAGACCTGACCGTCCCATTCTCGAGTCTGGATAGGGATGACCTTGAGCTAGGCCTATTGGTAAAGCGCTGTGCAAGGTCCTGCGTTGCATCGTATACCGAATCAAAAGAGGCACGCCGCCGGTCTTCAGTTTTTCGCGGCTGAACTCCATTTGGCCTCTGATGTAGAACATGTACGCTGTCTTCTCTCGTATTCGACGCAATACCATTTGGTAGGAGCTCATGTACTTCTGTATCCTCGCCATATTCCAGTCGAATGCCCAGTGAAGCTAGAAGAGACTCGAAACGTTCGGAGAGGCTGCCATTTCGTTCAGCCCCGAGTTGGAACAGGAAAGGGAGGTATGTTTGATCGCTTTCTACGGGGATGCCATGTTCAGCCAGGACAGCATCATATGCTGAAAAAATAACGCGAAACGGAAGAATATCTGCGTCCGGATGTTGTTCGGCGCGTGTTACGATCTCGTGAAGAAGCTCAACATCTTCGGTTTAAATTAATCGAATCAGCTCAAGTTTCTCCAGCAGGCGCAGGCAATAAGTCCGTAGGACTGACCTTGGTCTGACAGGGCTAACTGCTCCAATGATGTGACAGCCCGGTCTTTGGGATTTGAAGGCATCGAAGATTAATTAATAAACCGCGATCTACGCCGTTGTCGCGAGTTGCGCAGCGACGTCATTTCGAGAACTGACGGAGAAAAAAAGGCACACCCCAGACTGCATAGTCTTTATTTGCCAGTTCAAAGGAGAATGCTATCCAAAAAAAACCAACCGCGCGCGCAACTGCACGTTAATGAGAACCTCGTCGTCTCATCGAAGCCGTTTCTTGTTGTTCTGAAGTTGCGCGTAACTTTTTTTTTTCCTTTGGTGGCTGGAAGATTATCTAATACGATTAAGTAATGATGATATAAGCGATTATATAAGCATATATTAGTCATTCAAGAAATATCGCTGGTACATATACTATTTGCCAATTTGAGCCTTGATATAATACTGTTCGTCGACTGACTTTTATGAAAAGAGACTTCTCCTGGTTCAAACATTTTGACCAAATAGAGATACTTATATTAAAATAGGCTTGAACGGGCCTATGCGAAGACGTCAGAGGAATAACGGTCACTCTTGATCTCCCGGAACCAACTCTCAACCTCTTCATCTGTCTTTGGCTTGCCAGCAGAGAGGCAATAGTCCTGGAAGATTTTCTTCACCGTCGATGCCACACCCTCTCCGACCATGCTAGTTCCGCAGACATACAGTTTTGCACCATGGTCGAAGACCTTTCTCATCGCATCTCTCTCCTCCCAGAGTCTGTCTTGCACATGCCGACAGCCCTTGCTCTGCTCACTTGCTGCGGAAAACGCATAAAACACCGTTACTACACCGTCCTTCTCCCATTTATCAAGTTCGTCCTTGAAGAGAGCGTCCTTGTCAGGATGTCTGCAGCCAATGAAGAGGTATGCCGGTGCGGCCTTTCGTCCCGCTTGACATTGGATTGCCCTCTCTTGAACGAAACCACGGAAGGGGGCAAGGCCTGTCCCGGCACAGAACATCATGATGGGTGTGTTCTCGATGTCCTTGGGAGGGTTGAAGTTGCCATGACTGGTCTTCACGGCAACGTGAATTCTATCGCCTTCTGCAACTTTGGAGAGGAAGTTGGATGCCACACCAAGGAACCGTTTTGAATCAGCGATCCGGGAGGGCGCATCTAGAACCGACCAAGTAAGGGATGCGACTGTCGGGTCCGCCAATGGAGACGAAGATATCGAATATTGACGAATGCGCATTGGCGGCAGCATTGCGAGGAAGTCACCCAGAGGCAGCTCGGCAGATGGGTATTCTTCAAGCAAATCCAACGGAGAGCGGCGCTTCTTTAGAATCTCATTATCAAAATTTTCCCTTGAAAGTGCTAGAACTTCCTCGCGGGTTTTCTCGTCTGAGATACTGGAAGCAATACGGGCCACGTTCTATTTATAAAAAAAAAAAAAATTGTGAGCTTTACTGGATGGGTTTGCACGGACATCTGTTATTACATACCTTTTTTGTTGCTGGTTGGCCCAGTTCTACATATGCACTCAAGACATCCATTGCTGAAACGGGGTGACCCGTTGGCAATGTCGTGTTTGCACCGACCTTAATGGTGAGCATGGCATCCCATGGCAAGTTGTACCGGTTCAGGGCTCGCCGGATATTTCTCTGGTCGTTGATAGGGAGCACAGCAAGATAATCTCCAGACTTGTATGACATCCCAGTGGGAAGTTTCAAGACAATGTGTCTCTTCTCCGGTTCCCCTGGTGCTGTCAACACCCTATTGCTGATGACGGTTGCTTCTCTAACGTCCTGTCGGAGAGTGGATTTGCGGGCATCCGTATCAATTTCAACCTCTACTGTACCCTCTTCCGTAGGATCTACCTCACCTCCAATAGAGGACCAGAGTTGCTCATCCTGCCATTTATCAAAGTGGTTGAAAATGTCCCCATCAGCTACATCCCCAAGCCCAATGCCTGCAACTCTAGTTGCTCCAGACCTGTTGAATTCGGCGTCCAGGAGCTTTGGTACCCGATGGAACGTGGACGTCCAATCATCTGAAAAATTTAGCAATTACCTTCATGGATGGCAAAACAGATGTTAGGATACGTACGATTTCCACAGCCATATACTGCGTATTTCACACCAGAAAGCGCATTGCTACCAAGGCCTTGAATCCATTCGACAAAATGAGCAGCATTATCAGGAGGTTGGCCTTCGTAACTGGATGAAATTATGATCACGGGCTGGTCTTTGGGTATCTTGTCAACACCCGAGTCTAAGGGTCCAACTTGAGCAGCATAACCTCTGCTGGATGCGTCTCTAGCCAAATTCTGTGCCAAGGCCTCGCAAGTCCCAGCATTTGAACCGTAAAGTATCGTCATAGGCTTCTTTGCAACGCCAGTTGACGAAGCACCAGCATTCCTGTCCTTGTCTGTCACCCTAGTTTCCGCCTCTATGCTCACATGAAGCATCTTCTCAAGCTGAACAGGGTCAACATCGTGCCTCAGAGTCGCACGCATGAAAAAGCCATTAGGCTTGATAGTGAGAGTCTGCTTTATCTGTAGCTGATAGCTTGGGTCATCGAAACGGAGATTGAAATTTTGAAGGAGCATTGCGACAGTGAGGATGGTCTCTTGCCACGCAAATGGCCTGCCAATACACGCACGTACACCATTCCCGAACGGCTTCCAGGAGTTTTTAGGGAGTTTCGCAAATGCCTCATCTAACATCCGTTCTGGTTTGAAGAGATTTGCATCATCTCCATAAACTGATGGGTCACGATGGATTTGTGGTATAACGCAAACAATTGGCTGGCCCTTTTTAACCTCATATTTCCCGTTGGCGAGGTATACTGGATCCTCTGTACCGTCCGGCCGAGACTGCATCTGTATAGCAGTTGCAGAAGGCGACAGCCTGAGCGTTTCCCGCATGCAGGCCTCTATGTATGGCAATTTAGACATGTGGTCTACAGTAATCGGGCCACGGCCCACGACTTCATCCACCTGGCGTTGTGCAGCTTGATATGCCGATGGATGTTTTAAGAGGTAATAAAACAAAAACGACAAAAGGCCGCTAGTGGTTTCATGACCTATATGATCAATTAGCATGGCACACTTTCAAATTCAGCTGTGAGAATGGGAGGAGGATAAGCATACCAGCGATCAAGAAGGTAATCATATTGTTCATTATACTCTCTTCCGTCATTTGTTCTCCGGTTCTGGCATCCTTTCCTTTTAACATGGCATTTAGTAGGTCCTTTTTATCATTAGGGTGAGATTTCCGGTCCGCAACCAAATCCCCAGCCACCTTCTTCATCAGCTCAATATCAGCATCATACTTTTGCTGAGCCGAGTGCATGAAATATTGGACAACAGCTGGTCGATTTGCTCTGGCTCCAGATTCAGCCAAGAACCCAACCATGGCATTGACAAATGGATGCATCTCCTCGTGATAGAAAGAGTTAAACCGGGTTCCCATAGCACAACTAATGAGTTCATCAGTAAATAAGCCTGAACTTACCGTTTCAAAAGTGATGATCAGGCTTACAGGGCAATAGAGTCGAGCGTCAACCTCGTGAAATCGTCCGTCACATGGATTTTTTCATTGGGGCCAAATCGTGCCCATTTGATCACCAACTGCGACGCAATATCATGCATCTCATCAAACATGGACCGGATAGATAATGGACCAAATGCTTATTTCTCTATATCAACAAAACCGTGTCTGACGGAAATTAAATATTCTCGCCCCAAGGCTTACCTGGCATCAAAACACGATGTGCAATCTCCCAGTTGTGCTCTCCTGGTTGAGCCGTGAAGAGCCCATCTTTAACTCCATTTCTAATCTGAGCTAAACCGCCCGCAACTAGCTTCGAAAAGCGTTTCTCATCGCAAACCTCATTCATCAAAGCCTGAGTCGTGATGAATATCTTCTCTTCACCACCCAGCGTAAGCTTGAAGACGGGTCCTTCGCACCATCCTATCAGAATAGCTTTTTCAAAGTTGATCTAGGAGACGAAGACGCACCATATATATCTGCGAGGTTCCCAAAGGTAGTAAAGGTGTTTACAAGGTCGAGGTTATGAGCGTTGCCAACGATCGGCAGCGGTGCCGGGCCAGGAATCGGTTCAGGCATGATCTTGATACAACTATGTAAATGTCTCACGAAGTGATGAGTGATGTGTAACAAGACCTTGCTCTACATAGTAGAGATTTATATAACCCCTCGATGATGGGAATGGACAGCAATATAAGAAGCCCACCACAAGAAGGTTATCAGGCGCCATTTACGTCAGTCGTTATTGAACCAGGCATGATTGGGCTAGCCTAGCGAGTTTCGCCCTCAATATTGATGCATGTTCTTTGAGCCATGCAAACCGGTCTTCCCGATCAAACGGTCCCAACCTTACCAATAGGATCTACCGGACCCGCATCCGAGAGTATAATGCCGTTCTCCAGAGACCCAGAATTATGCCTTGGTAGTTATCTATTTGGAAGAACCAAAGGAATTCCTGTGTTTGGCGCGCAAACTCACATCAACCGAGGCATAAGTCACGTGATATAGAAGCTCAACCGAGGTCTGTTTTTCTGTGCCGGGACGGAATGATAGATGTTGATGCCTTGCAATGCATAAAAAATATTCATCTTCATCCGTCAACGGGATTAACAATCGGCTCTGCGGAATATTTTATTTATCGGAGTATTGCATACTTTGGTTATTTCTGTGCATAAAATAAGGACAATCATGTAATATTAGTCATCAATACTTAGTTACGATGCTTGGCTGTGATTGGTTATTTTCACTACGAAGCAAAAATAATGTCAAGTGTCTTTTGACTCGAACTTGATATCAACCAGGAAGATATACCCAAGAAGCCTCCGTGTGGAATCTTTGTTAGTTCAGTATGCCTGGTAGGACAAGGCCAATCGAGAAATTTGCACAGGCAACTGCCAAATGCTCTGCAGAGGTGAGATTCAACCCTATATCGATAGAGAAACAATGTCCATATTAACCTAGTAATCACAGGCAACGGTATATGGCAAATGCATCCTGGCTGATTATACTGCTGTTTCCAAGGACATGTGTGCGAAAGAGTTTATGAAGCTGAAGGATTGTTTTTTGGTATCTATTCGTCCGATGCTTATGTCCTTTGCGGATACTAACTACCATCGTAGGCTGCGGCAAAGAGACGATAACACATTGGAAGTAATCCAATAAATAAGATCAAAGCTACAACGGTTCAAATTTAATAGACCGGAAAATGCGTCTAAATATTGTATCTAAACACTACAAAACAAAACTACCTTTTTTTTTATAGCTTAACTAGCCGGAGCAAAAACATCGCCTTTTGAACTTCTTGAACCTCCTCCATGATCACTGGTTCTTCGGCATCTGGGATCTTGCCCTCAACTTCAGTAATAACGTGTTTATCCATAGGCCTTCGAAGAGCCTTTTCAAGAGCCTTTGCTTGTCTATCGAATACCTCTTCAATACCAATTGAATCAGGATCGGACAGAACACGATACTCCATCCCAACGTCATCTGTTACTTGCAAGCCAGCCTTCTTTCTAAGCCGCTGGACTCTGTTGACGATCTCTCGCGCAATGCCCTCATCCGCGAGCTCGGGGTATACGGCTGCATCCAAAATGGTAAGCACATCGTCATCCGTGTTAGTTTCTAGCTGCGAGGAACCTTCGTCTCGCTTTAATCCTCGTTTCACCACCAGGTCACCTGTGACCAGCTCAATTCCGTCGACCAATATCTTTCCAGTGTCTACGTACTTCTTCACGTCATCGCTAGAAAGCGATGGTAGGGCTTTCTTCACTTTCTGCACATCCTTCTTCAACTTCTTGCCAAGAACGGGCCAATCAGCATCAACGCTGTATTGGACATTGTATTTGGCTTCGTCGGATGAGAGTATCAAGTCGCGGATGTTAAGTTCTTCGACAATGTATGACTCTAGTGAACGCACGTCATCTAGGTATTCCTGATCCTTATGGATAACGACAAGGGACTTCAATGGGCATTTCAAGCCGATGGTTCGGCGCTCACGAGAAACTCTGCCGAGTTCAATCACCCTCTGCATTCTTCCTACTTGTCTCTCAATGGTCTCGTTGAAGAGTTCCTCTCGAACCTCCGGGAAGGGAAGGAAATGGACCGACCTGCTATCTTCTCCTCGAAGCTGCTCCGGAATATGGGGTAGGAGGCGAAGGTAGATTGTATCGGTGATGAAAGGCGTGAAGGGTGCAAGCCCACGAACCAAGGTATAAAGTACTTCAAAAAGAGTGTTGAGAGCATGCAGGGTATCATCCAATCCAAGCTCACCTTTTAGACGTCTCCGGTTGAACCGAATATACCAGTTGGTTGTGTTATCAATGAGTTCCAGTAATCTTGGAACTACCGTGTAGAGTCGGTAACCCGCCATCTCTTCGTTCACAAACTTCAGCAAACTTTGACAGCTGGCCAAGATCCATCGATCCATGACGTTGGTATTCGTCGCCTCTGCGGCAGGGTCAAAGACGTAATCGATGTTTTCAACCTTCTTTAATAATGCAACCTGGCCTTCAAAGAATTTATAGCTGTTCCACAATGGAAGAAGAACCTTGGAGACGATCTCCTTGACACCTGATTCTTTGAACCTTAGTGGCTCCGCACGAACAACTGGCGAGTTGATGAGATATAATCGAAGGGGGTCTGAGCCATAACGATCCATAACGACGCCAGGGTCGGGATAGTTTTTCAGGCGCTTTGACATCTTCTTTCCATCCTCTGCAAGGACTATGCCGTTAACAACACAGTTTTTGAATGGCAGTTTTCCAAAAAGATGCACTCCAAGAACTGCAAGAGTATAGAACCATCCACGAGTCTGGTCCAGACCTTCGGCAATGAAATCACCTGGGAATTTGTCTTCAAAACGCTCCTTGTTCTTGAATGGATAATGCTGTGACGCGTATGGCATGCTTCCGGATTCAAACCAGCAGTCAAACACCTCTTCTACACGGCGGAGCATGCCCTTCCCTTTCTTGCTGGGGATGGTGATATGATCAATCTTATCACGGTGAAGGTCGGTCAACTCGCCAGTGTAACCACTTAGTTCCCTTAGTTCCTCCACGCTTCCAACTGCAATGATTTCTTCAAAATCTTCACTAGCCCACAGCGGAATAGGAGTACCCCAGTAGCGGTTTCGAGAAATATTCCAGTCTCTTGCATTTACTATCCAGCTGGCAAACCGTTTGTCCTTGACAAAAGAGGGAACCCAGTAGGACTTTTCGATGGACTCTAACAGAGCAGGGATAACGGGCGTGACTTTGACAAACCACGAAGGCACCGCCCTATAAATCAAAGGGGTATCAGACCTCCAACAGAAAGGATAGCTATGGGTGATCTGGCTATCCACAACTAAACGGCCTGTGCCCTTTAAATGTTTGATAATGGCCTTGTCAGCCTCTTTAACATGCATTCCAGCAAAATCTCTGACCTCCTTAGTGAATTTGCCCCTTTCATCGACAGGATTTGGAGGCAGTCTGTCCCCGCTGATGACACCAGCCTTCATTGCAACATTATAATCTTCCTCACCAAATGCTGGAGCTTGGTGAACGATTCCGACACCACTATCTGCGGTGACATATGATGCAGTCAGAA